CATCCTGCAGTGTTCTGGTTCTGAAATCGGTGAGACCACAACCTTTGCCTTCGGATGAGGTGTCCCTCGCACCGTGATGGAACGGCACCCGCTCTTTGCGACACGCCTCTGTTACAGGCAGCCGGCAGAGCAGCTTGCACTTTGCTCGGCTGTTGGTCCGTCAGAGAGCTTGAGGGCTCACAGCTACTTGCAGGAATCTCGAATTGTTTTTGCAACACCGAAGACTTAGCAAACCCGTCATACAGACACGGTGTCCGGAAGCTCCCGTTGCCCCGAACTCCCGACCTCCTTCGCGGCGTTTCAGAGCCTTACTGTAACTGCTAAAGCCCCGAAGTGCACAGGTCCGAGGACTTCTTTTTCTCGTGGGCTTCCAGTGCAGACTTTCGCGCCGAGGCAGCTGTGATCGATGCGCAACGTCGCTGTAGCCATTATTCTAGTTGTAGCAAGCTCGAAGAACTCCTTCAAAAGGCAGATGCCTTGCGGCAGTGGCGCCGAACGATGACACTCAGCGCCGAGCGCGGCGGGGTGGCAGGAGGCTTCACATAAACCGAGAACGAGGGCCATGACAGTCGTCAGTCACTGCCACGTCAGTGTCGCCATCTACGGCCGCGAGCCGTACCTGGCCAGACGAGGCCAACGCTTACGCTTAGCTGTGCTTGAATTTCGCTGCAGCAGCAGCTCCCATGCAGGCTCGCCCAGACGGATCTGGAATTGTTGGAACGGAGACTTGGCTAGCTCCAGAAGTATCGTTGTGGCACATGGCTAATTTTTTGCTTCAAAAAGCCAAGAGCAGCCTGAGTTGTGGAGTTTTCAGCAGCCGATGCATCGGAGGAAAGCTCAGAGGAAGCCGGCAAATCAAACCCCTCCTCGGATGCCAACGAGTGACTGCCTCCTTTGTGTGGCATTCTGGGGTCTGCTCAGCGGGATTAAAGAGCCACCCTACTTCGAGGATCCCGGAGCTGCGGCCTGATGAATTATGCCTCGAGTTCGCCGTAGGCACACGCAGTCGCATCAAGCCTCAAGCCGTTTCAGAAGTAAACTCCTTAGAATGTGATCCCATCTGTGCTTACCCGACGGGTCGTGTGCCTTTGCTCGCAGAAATAGTGTTCGACGTAGTATGCTCCATCCCGTAGCAAGAATTTACGGTGATGGAGCCTGTGTAGTTGCATGCAGACCGTGGCGAGTGCAGCCATGAACACTGCAACTTTTTATCCGCACTGTATTAAATTGGGCCGACTTTGGCAGCTCAAGGGTCCGTGGCGAGGCCAGAATGGGCCGGAGCACGTCCCATGCCTTGGAGCCAGAAGTGCTCCTGGCGAGCTGCCGAGCAGTCAGCCCACATCCCCTCGATTAGTGCTTTCGAGATTTCGAGCAGACCAAAAGTAGCTCATTCACCGCCTCGGAATCGGAGAAGTGAGACATCGATGCATCTCAGAAATCCAGACTGGCTCCGATCCCAACTTAAGCCAGCGGACAGCGGCGTGCACATTTCCACGAGGGCGTTGGCCATGGAGCAGTGAGAACCATGGAGCAAGCACAAGACCCGGCCTCAACATGGGATGCTCTGGCTGACAAGTCCCTGCGAAACTTCCAGAGGCATCCTAAAGAGCTCCTACCATTGCTGCGACAGATGAGTCATGCCAGCATCAAGCTGTCCAACTTGCACTACAACCTGGCAATTGGAAAGTGCCGGCGTGCAGATTCATGGCCAGTCCCCCTCGCGATTCTAGAAGACATGGTATGTCAAGTTCAATCACCGGACGTTATCAGCTACACCAGTGCAATTGCTTCGTGCGGCAGAGGCTCGCAGTGGCAGCTAGCACTGCAGCTTCTCTTCTTGCTGCCAGCCCGCAAGATCACCCCCAACACCATCACCTTCAACAGCACACTAAACGCAGCAGAGAAAGCAGGGCAATGGCAGGTAGTGGTGGAACTGCTCTCTCTCTTTAGCCTGTTTGCATCGATGCCAAATGTGATCAGCTTCAACACTGCCATAAGCGCTTGCCAAAAAGGCAAAAGGTGGTCCTCCGCGCTCTTCTTGCTGCAGCTGATGGAGAGCTCCAAGCTCCGGTCTGACGTCATCAGCTACAACACTACGATTAGCGCCTGCAGTTCCCTGCAGTGGCAGATTGGCCTTGAGCTGTTGCGAAGCATGTCTTCTGCCATGATGCTGCCCGACGTGATCAGCTATAGCAGCACCATTGCCGCATGCAGCACTTCTGCGAAGTGGCAGATCACGGTTCAGCTTCTTGAGGACATGTGTTTCAAGAACATACTGCCCAACATCATCACATTCAACAGTGCCATGCTGGCCTGTGAGAAATCCCGCAGATGGGAAGTGGCACTCTGCCTATTGAGACATTTACGAGGGTCCGAGCTCTCTCCGGATGCAATAACTTACTGCTGTGCCATCAGCGCATGTACCCAGTGGCAAGTTGCTGTGCGACTGTTTTTCATGATGCTCGCCGAGGGAGTCCGGGCAGATGTCCTTTGCCTCAGTGCACTCATAGGCGCCTGCAAGGAAGGCAGCTGGGCGACAGCCTTGTGGGTCAGTGGTCCGGCCCGCTCCGGGGTGGGAGGCCTGGATACGAGGCTTTACAACATTTGCCTGAGTGCCTGCGTTTGTGATTTGACAGCGAGTGGCTGGCAGACTGGCCTTCGACTGCTAAGGGATTCACCGCCAGACCAGATCCGCCTAAATGCTGTCTCCTACAACACCGTTGTCAGCGGTTTGCTGGACCGTTGGCCAAGTTCTCACCTGCTGTTGGGCGAGATGAGAGCTGTCGCCCTCCAGCCAGACATCATCACGTACAATAGTGCGATCGCATCATGCGAGACTAGCGCCAGATGGGATGTTGGGCTTCACTTGCTGTGTTCTGCGGAAGCAGTGAGGACAATGCCCGACGTTATTTCTTATAGCAGTGTCATGACGACATGTGAAGGCTCCCGTGACTGGCAAACTGTTCTGCAGTTGCTGAGTGACATGCAAGAATCCATGCTTCGGCCAAATGTGATCACATACAATAGTGCAATCGGTGTTTGCGACAAGAGTGGGAAATGGGAATTGGTCATGGTACTGCTACTGGAGATGCATTTAAACCTGCTGGAACCTGATGGAGCTACCTACAGCACCGCTATCACGGCATGCGGAAGGGCCATGCAGTGGAAAGTTGCTGTTCGTTTGTTGGCAGATATGCCTGCGGCGCAGGTACTGCCCAATACTATTACCTTCAGCAGTGCCATCAATGCCTGTGCTGCGCTGGGTCGTTGGCCAGTCGCAGTACAACTGCTCGAAGATATGTTGCAAGCGAGGATGCCTGCCGAAGTCATCACCTTCAACAGTACCATCACGGCATGTGAAAGAGCAAGCAGATGGGATATTTCAAGAGAGCTGCTATCTTGCATGCGCAGAGTTCAAGCTTTGCCGAACGTAATCACATATTGCAGCATCATCGCTGCATGCGACAGAGGCAGTCAGTGGAAACTGGCGTGCCATTTTCTTCGAGACTCATGGGAACGGAGAGTCTGTCTGACTTCCATCTCCTACAACAGCACAATCAATGCATGCGAGAAATCCCATCAGCCGAAGCTGGTTCAGTCACTCATTAGCGACCTGCAGGCTGATTGCATCCAGGGGGAGGCAGGATGTGAGCAAGTGTTCCGGACACCGTCTGCTGACTGGGAAAGCAAAATGAAGCTTTGCCTCCACTGAATCTCCACGTGGCGGGAGTGTTTCGCATTAGTTTCAGTCTTCGTGGTTTGTAGTGCAATGCACTTCCCAGGATGGGCTACGATAGGTAGTGCAGGGCCTTTGGGCTAAATCAGAGCCAGAACCACCTTCCCTTAAAACCTTTATCGCAAGCCATCCTCCAGAACTCCTGTTCAGGCATAGCAGTATCAGTAGCAGGAGCATGCAGTTGTCGTCTTGCAATAACGGCATTTCGCCATAGGTTTGCATGTGTGTTGGTTGGCACGTGCTGCATCTAAAGTCTACCTTCCGGGGCTCAGACCGAAAGCCCTTGCCACTCCAGGGGTCGCGGGCTCGCGTCATGTGCCTCGCAGAGAATGTTCGCAGGCCGACCTCGGAGCTTCACTTGGAAGCATCCCTCAGAGGAAGGTCTGAAAAGAAGTCTTATGGAGAGACACAGTGGCAAGGGATTCTTGGAGTCTTGAGTTCGATGCGTTCTGATCGTCTGCCATACGAAAAGAGCTGCAACGCTGCGATCCGGGTTTGCCGCCGAGCCGGGCAGTGGCAATGGCTTCTGATTCTTCTGGGAATCATGCGGCCAAGTCTGATCGCTTACAGCACGGCCATTGCAACACTGGAGAAGCGGGGACTGTGGCAGTTGGCAGTTCGCTTGCTAGCAGAGATGGATTCTGCAGAGGTTGTGCCCGATGTGATTGCGTACAATAGCACCATCAGTGCCTGCGAGAAAGGCTTGCAGTGGCAGCGAGCGGTACACCTGATGATGCATATGTCAAGCAGAGCCATCTTGCCAGATGTTATTAGTTTTAGCGGTGCCATCAGCGCCTGTGAGAAGCTGGGTGAGTGGCAGGTGGCGCTCAGCTTGTTTGCCGCGATGTACACATCGCGACTGGAGCCAGATGTGATTAGTTTCAATAGCAGCATCAGCGCCTGTGAGAAGGGAGGCCGATGGCAGGAGGCTCTGCATCTCTTCGCAGATATGTGCATGAGGATGTGTCTACCGGATGTGATCAGCTACAGCAGCACCATCAGCGCTTCTGAAAAGGGTGGGTACTGGAAGGTTGCCATTCACCTTCTCGCGACCATGATTGCCGAGGAGCTGGTTCCGGATGTCATCACCTGCAACAGTGCAATTAGTGCCTGTGAGAAAGGCGGTGAATGGCAGGTGGCTTTCGGGCTCCTGGAGCAAATGCCGGCACTGACCGCTGTCCCGAATGTGATCACTTTTAATAGCGCCATCACTACTTGCGTGAAGCGCGGCCGGTGGCAAATTGCGACCCAGGTACTGGCAGACATGTCTGAGAGTAGAGTGACACCGGACGAGACAGGCTACAACAGCATCCTCACTGCCTGCGAAAAGGGGCGGCAGTGGGAGATGGTGCTCTGGTTACTGGCGACGATGCCATCTCTTCGGTTGGAACCGGATGTCGTGAGTTACAGTGCTGCGATCAGTGCATGCGAACATGGCCAGTGGACGATGGCGCTGCAGCTTGTGGACGAAATGGTGGATGCTGAATTGGTGGGTGATGTCATATGCTTCAACAGCGTACTCAGTGCCCTTGAATCAAGTGGCCAGTGGTTGCTGGCGCTACAGATGCTGCAAGAGATGGAATCTTTTGCTGTGACGCCAAATGTTATCAGCTTCAGCACCGCCGTCAGTGCTTGCAAGCAGAAATGGAGAACGGCACTGAGTATGTTGTTTCAGGTACCATGCTTAGAGGCATCTCCCAAAGAAGCTTATAACAGTGCCATCAAGGCCTGTGAACTCGCTCGTCAGTGGCGCCTGCCAGTGCGACTGATAGAGGACATGCTCGCGGCAGGGACCGAGCCCGATGCAATTAGCTTCAATGACACCATCACTGCGTTCGAGCACGCAGGCAAGCCAGGACTCACCATTCCAGTCTTGATGCAACTGCAGCACAAGTACCAGGGTCGGTGCCAAGCGATAGACGCCGCATTGCCCAAAGTCGCGGACTGACGATGCAACCACAGTCTGCAATTCACAGCGACAGAGCCATAGCCAACAGCAACGCTGGGAGCATGCCGCTCATTTCGTGGTCTTTGCATCAGGGCCATCAACGATGACAGTCACGGTTGAGCGAACTGGTTGTGATGGCTACTCATTGAGAGTTGACTCGTGGACACATGCCGAAAGACGTCTTCTACCAATGCCATCATAGTCAAGAGTGCCCTGGAGGCTTGTTCTTTGCTGTTCCTGCATACTCCGTCTTCGCCACTACCTTAAGCAGTTTGTAAACTGTCGCTGTCCCAAATCTTTTGAGGCCTCTGGCGACAGCACCAGCAGAGGCCGCCGGCACACCGAAGACGCAGAGAACCACCGACTCCCTTCGCCTCAGCAAGGTCGGACGATTTGATGGCTTGAATGTGCATATTCTAGCTCTTCTACTCGAGAGCCTCCAAAGGTGTAGCTCAAGGTACTCGTGCAAAAGCTCTGCCAGGCCGTTCGACGTGGAGGCTTACTTGGTGAAAGACTTCACCTCGCTGCCGAAGTAGCTGCTGTGTGATGACTGGAGACAAATACCACGCGATAGATGGAAAGCATTGCAATCTGTCGACCGCAGACCCTTAGACACTTGCAGAGTAAGTCATTTGGACGGCTTTCTCTGAGATAACAGTGATATCCAGTGATGCTGAAGAGCAAGCTTCCAAACGCCACGTAGTGGGGTTTTCTGCACGGGGGCTGGGTTTCGACACGTGCACGCGAGTCCTAGAGTCGAGTGGCGACATCCCCCGAACTCGAGAAAAAGGGCCCACGCACACACCCATTCCGAAGCGAAGGAGGTATCGCGCTTGTTCAATCAAAGGCAGCAGCACTGAGGGGTTCCTCCTTTCGGAAAGTCACGGGAACACAGGGCTTGCGGAATGCATCCTTGGCACCAACATCTACTTCTTGCATCCATGTGTCCCTAGATAGATAGGCGATACAAACACAAGCCACATGCCACAGCAGAGGAACCAGATCAGCACGTCATGCCGAATACCTTAGCTTCGGGTACCGGGTGACTCTGCTAGAGACTAACGCGGTTTCAACGACATTCCTTCTCCAGCAGCGTTTCGCCTCTCCGTCCCTGAACTCGCTTCCTGGTGGTTTACCATCATCTGACATGAGCCTCGAGCATGGGCTTCGGGCGCACGACCAACTGCAAAGCCCAGCTTGTTCGCAAGAGAGAGCATACAGCTGCAGACGACTCGGTGGGCGTGGCGGTTGTGGGGAAATACTGCCGACAGTGCTGCGCAAAATGCACAGCGAGAAGCCCGAAGTCTCGCTTGTGCACTGCACAGCTGCGATTTCACAGTCCAGACGCGACGTACGAACCTGGCCAACAGTGCTTCTTTTATTTTGGGATCTCAGTCTTCTGCGGATGTCTGCAGATGTAGTACTGTGCACCAGTGCGATCACAACACTGGAGAGGACTAGCCAGTGGTACATGGCTCTGCAGGTCTTTGACAGCATGCCTGCGTTTGCTGTCAGACCAAACGTCATCAGTCGGAGTAGCCTTATCACTGCTTTCGACAAGGGTGAGCATTGGCAGGCGGCAATCCATGTGCTGATAGGAATGCCAAGCGCAGGCTCTCTCCCAGACCGGATATCTTACAACAGTGCAATCAATGCGTGCCAGACCGGAGAGGCATGGGAGACGGCTTGCCAAGTATTGACCAAGATGCCGTCTGCCCGGTTGGCGCCAAACCTTATCAGCTACAACAGCACGGTTGCCACTTGTGAGAAATCTGGGCAGTGGCAGGCGGCTGTTGAGCTGTTGAGCGACATGCAACACTCGCAACTACGCTTGGATGTAATCAGCTATAACACTGCGATCAGCGCTTGTGAGAAAGCAGGAGAATGGCAGATTGCCCTTCATCTCCTGGCTGCTCTGCCGTGCTGCCACTTAGAGCCGGATGTCATAAGCTTCAGCGGTGCTATAAGTGCGTGTCAGAAAGGTGACCAGTGGCAGGCGGCTGTCGAACTGCTTGCTGCGATGCCCTTGGGGCGAGTAGTGCCAGATGTGATCGCGTACAACAGCGCAATTGCTGCGTGTGAGAAAGGAAAACGGTGGGAGATGGCAGTTCGTCTACTCTCGGACCTAGTTGCAGCAAAGCTGAAGCCCAGTGTCGTTACATTCAACAGCGCCATCAGCGCCTGCGAAACGACATGGCAAGCTGCATTACAAGTCCTGATGGTAATGCATACCTGGACGACGATGCCAGACACGATCACATACAACAGCACCATCAGTGCGGTCTCAAGAGGCGAGTGTTGGCAGCGTTCCTCGGCGATGCTTAAACATATCGCCTCGAGAGCCCTGCGGCGGAATGTTATAAGCTACAGTAGTGCCATGGCTTCCTTCGAGGTCGGAGGGCGGTGGAAAGGGGCCCTCGGCCTGTGCTTGAAGATGTGTGGATCAACAGTGCTCCCAAACGTAGTCAGTGGCAGCACCCTCATCAGCGCCTGTGCGGAAGCAGGCCCCTGGCACATTGCATTGAGATTACATGCATCCATGCACTCAGACTCAGCTGCTGGGCCGAGCATTGCCAGTTCCAACAGTGCGATGAGCGCTTGCTTGGCATCTTTCCACTGGCAAAATGCCTTGCAACTTCATGCAGGCATATGCCTGCCGGACTCAAGAGTTACGCCAGATGTGCTGAGTCACGGCAGTGCTGTCATGGCTTGTGAGAGGGCTTTCCTTCACAAGAATGCTGCGAAGGTCTTAGCTCAACTGCACGATAGTTGTTACTGTCTGTGCAACAGCAGATGAAACGGACATCCAAAGCTGAGATCACCAACACCATGCAGCATGTTGCATCCGTGAGTCGCGTTCTTGGGCGGAGCCACGAAGAGCATGAAGTCTGTCAGCTTTGCTGCCAGTGCTTGCTTTTTGTTTGAAGTGATGCCACCCTTCTGTGTCACATGTGTCACAGAGTGCCCGCGCTGCTTCACGAGCCGGGCTGCAGTGGAATCTCTCTGCCTTCAAGACACCAGGTAGTCGTCTGCTCTTTTTGGGCTCAGGCCTTCATGCCATGCCTGGCCAACATGCACGCATGCACGGAAAAGAATGAAAGATATGGAATCATGATGCTAGGACGGGTAACGGCGTTCCTGCGATGTTTGGCACAGGCAATGATCCTGATTTCAGGCATCGGGTATAGTCCCTGGCATACACTTGGTTGTGGTGTCGTTTTTCTTTCGGACTTCCCAGTGAGTTTCTTTTGGGTCATGCCGCCGTCTTAGCCTTCTCCTAGTGGTTTTGCTACCATGCTGATTGTCAGCCTTCGGCATCCTAAGCCACGTGCTTATGAGCCACCCGAGCGCAATCGCAAAAGACCTGGACTCCTGGAGGGATGCGCCAAAAGCTGCAGTGCAGTTTCTGCGCCATTCCTCCCTGAAGCCCAGTGCTTTGGTTGGCGTCTTGCAGGAGATGCGCATCCAAGAACTCCAGACCTCAGTCTTCCACTACAACGCCGTCATTGCGCAATGCCGACAGGGAAACACTTGGACGCTCGTCTTGCAACTGTTGAAAGATATGTGTGAACATGAGATTTGTGCAGATGCTATCACTTATGGCGGTGCCATTGCTGCGTGTCGGGGTGCTGGACGCTGGGAGCTTGCTCTCAAGGCTCTTGAAGACATGGCGGTGGGCAGGGTGGTGCCGAATGTGATTGTTTGCAGCAGTGCCATTGCTGCTTGTGAGCGGGGCTCACAGTGGGAAATCGCACTGCGGCTCCTGTCGGGCATGCAAGAGACATCTCGTCCAGACGTGATTTGCTACAACAGCATGATAAGCTCCTCTGAGAAGGCCGGACAATGGGAAGTAGCTGTTCAGCTTCTAGAAGACATGGTGCAAGCGAGCATCATCCCTGACGTTATTACATACAACAGTTCGCTGAGCGCATGTGAGAAAGGCGGGCAATGGCAGAGGGCTCTGCAGTTAGTCATGGCAGACATGCAGCTGGCGAAGATTCTTCCAGACGTCATCACATACAGCAGTCTGATACTTGCATGTGCACGTGGGGGTGAGTGGCAGATGGCCCTGCAAGCGATGGCCGCTATCTTTGAATCCAATTTTTTACCCAATGTGCTCAGTTATAGTGGAGCAATCAGTGCCTGTGGGCAACAGCACCGTTGGCAGACCGCTGTAGAACTGTTGTCCGGCATGCCGAAGACGAAGGTTGTCGCCGACACCATCAGCTTCAATAGTACGATCACTGTCTGTGAAAAAGCCGGGCAGTGGCAAGCTGCTCTCGCGATCTTGAGCAACATGCCAGCAGCCAATGTGATCAGCTACAGCAGCGCACTTAGTTCACTCGAGCCCAAGGGCCACTGGGACATTGCGCTGTCTCTCTTCACCTCGATGACTGCAGTGCAGGTCATGCCCAACGCAATCACATGCAGCAGCCTTATCAGCACGTTCGAGAAAGGGCTCCAGTGGCAGAGGGCACTTCACCTGCTGAGCGAGATGCCTCAAATGCATGTTTTGGCAGATCTCATTTGTGTGAACGGCGCCATCAGCGCTTGTGAGAAGCTTGGGCACTGGGAAATCGCACTGGGAATTCTCCTGCAGATGCTTGGGAAGGGGCTCGTGCCGGATACGATCAGCTATAATGGGGTCATAAGTGCTTGTGAAAGATCTGGTGAGTGGATCGCTGCGTTGGCCTTGGCGGAGCGGATGCTGTCAGCGGATGTCGTCCCGGATGTGATTACCTACAGCAGTTGCATCGGTGCTTGCCAGAAGCGCGGACGGTGGCAGGTCGCAGTCCTCTTGCTGGCGGGAATGCCTGGAAAGACCATTCCGCCAAATGTTGTGAGCTATGCTAGTGCCATGCGCGCCTGCCAAGCAGCCGGACATTGGTCTAAGGCCTTTAGGCTTCTGCTGGAGATGCAGTGCGAGCCTCCCGGGGGGCCCGGGCTGCGAGCCAATGAAATCCACCTCGCCTCAGCGCTGGAAGCCTGCGAAGAGGCCAGCCGGGACTCCCGTAACGATCTCAACGTCTTGGCGCATTTTGCCCTCGAGTTGTATGCTCAGCTGCAGGAAGCCCATTGGCATTTGAAAAGTCTCCAATAGCTCGTCTCAGTGTTATTCATCTTCATGCTTCTTTCTTGCTTCGGCCAGTTCTGCATGAGAAGTAATTCCTGGGCCATCATGGTTGATCGGAGGAGCCTCTGCAGATGTGACTCCTTGAGTTCCACTCTCTAGTGTGTTTGTGGACAGTTTCATGCTGATTCTCCACCGTGCTCAAGCAACATGTTCCAGAGTAGCCCAAGCGCTTGCCCATAAGCATGGCTATCGAGAGGGTGCTGCCGAATGTCATCAGCTTCAACGACACAATCGATGCCTGCGGGCGGCGCTCAGATTGGGGCATGGCACTGGAGCTGTTGGCACGCATGCCCGTATGTCGGGTGTCTCCGAATGTGTTCAGCTACTCTTGCGCCATCAGCGCGTGTCAAAAAGGCAACCAATGGCAAGGAGCAACGGGTCTGCTCTGGGAGATGCAGTGGGCGAAGGTCGCTGCAAATGATTTCTGCTTCAACAGTGCCATCAGCGCCTGCGAGAGATGCGGCGAGTGGCAAGTTGCAGTGGATTTATTGGCAGGCATGCCGCAACACAGCACGCAGCCAGACATCATATCGTTCAACAGCACCATCAGTGCATGTGGCAGAGGCAGCGAGTGGCAGTTGGTGTTGGAGCTGCTCAGAGGGACAAGGATTGCGAGTGTTGACCCAACGGTCATCACATTCAACAGCGTTATCAATGCATGCGGTACTGGAAGCAGATGGGACATGGCGATCACGATCTTGACAAGCATGCTGCTAGCTCGGATCACCCCCAATGTAATCAGCTTCAGCAGCGCAGTCAACGCATGCAAGGAGGGTGCTGAGTGGCAGATGGCACTGCAGCTCTTGCGAGACATGCCCAAGAGCGAAGTGCTTCCGAATGTAATCTCTTTCAACAGCGTCATCAGTGCGTGTGAGAGAGGCGGTCAATGGCAGGCTGCCTTAGAGATCTTGGCGGCCATCCTCTCATTAAGGCTGCAACCGAGCGTTGTCAGCTACAGCAGCACCATCAGCGCCTGCGAAAAGAACGGGCGATGGGAGATCGCTTTAGGTCTGCTCGGCGACATGCCTTCGACCGGCAGTGCACCGAATGCGATCAGCTTCAACAGTGCCATCAGCGCCTGTGAAAAGGGCGCCGAGTGGCGTTGGGCGCTGCAGCTCCTGGCAGACATGGCTACGTCGCGCGCGATCCCAGATACGATCACTTTCAACAGTGCCATCAGTGCCTGTGAGAATTCCTTCCAGTGGCAAGTTGCCCTCCAGCTGTTTGCAGACATGCCAGTCTCGACGATCGAACAAGATGTGTACAGCTACAACAGTACCATGAGCGCATGTGCCGTGGCCGGGCAGTGGCAAGTCGCCCTGTACATTCTCGCCCAGATGCTACCTGTCAGCATCGAGCCAGATGGTGTTAGCTACAACTGCGCGATCAGTGCCTGTGAGAAAGCATGTCTTCTCCCAGAGAAAGATAGCTTTCTCCAGACTTCCTGAAAGCAGTTCCACACGAGTCACGAGTCGAAGAAAGAAGGCTCCCGGCACCAGAGGTTTGGGCTGGGGGAAACTGTGGAGTGGTCAGAGGCTTGAGGTTTCTCTTTGAATCAGAGGCCGGGCTCCACGCTTTCGAGGAGGTTTCTGCTTCTTGGTGTCAGGGTGTGGTTATTGTCTTATTGGTATTATTGTTAGCATTGATTATTGTCAGTAGTATTACTGTTAATACTATCATTGTGAGTTAGCTAGATGATGACTCTCCGCATTGCAGAACTTGCGCGCGTTTGCCGTGCGGAAGCCATCAATCCCAAACCTTCAAGCCTCAAAAGCTGAAGGCCAAAGAAAAGTATCTCTCCTTGGAATGTAAAGGCACGGGCAACGGTGCTGCATCTTCCCATATTAGAAACCCTGGTCCGAAAAGTAAGAAACATAAACGCACCAGCGAGCTGCACAGTACTGAAAGTGTAGGGTTTGGTAGGATCCAGGTGGGACCTTGCAAGTTCATCTGGCTTCGCCGCAAGCCTGAACCATAACGGCCCGACAACCCAAGACCACACGGGCCTTCATCATCCAAGGCGAAGGTTATTCAGGTTTTCGGGGCCCCGGGCCGCTCAGCCGGATGGGTGTATCAGTAGGCCCGGGCTTCAAGCCGAAGATGTTATTTATGGGCTTGACACGGGATTGGAATTGCTATGGATGTTCGGTTTGAGACCCTCTTCCAGGACAGCTACGTGCCTGAAGACCCTGAAACAACTAGACCCTAAACCATAAGCCAAACCCTAATCAGCAGCGATCCCAGCGAGTGTTTGGGGATGTTGCTCCTCATCTCTACGTGTGTTTGATTGAATCATTGAAGCTAAGTTCCAACAGCTCCAGCCGAGCCGATCCGATATTCCAAAGCCCGTGATAAGATGTCGAGTGCAGTTGAAGTCGTGGTCGTGCATAAGGGAAACTCATGCCTCAGCTTGCCTAGCAAAGTAATTAGACTGGAGTTGAGATAGGGCGCAGCCCAAGCCCTTGCCCATAAGCATGGCGATCGAGAGGGTGCTGCCGAACGTCATCAGCTTCAACGACACAATCGATGCCTGCGGGCGGCGCTCAGATTGGGGCATGGCACTGGAGCTGTTGGCACGAATGCCCGTAAGTCGGGTGTCTCCGAATGTGTTCAGTTACTCTTGCGCCATCAGCGCGTGTCAAAAAGGCAATCAGTGGCAAGGAGCAACGGATCTGCTCTGGGAGATGCAGTGGGCGAAGGTCGCAGCAAATGATTTCTGCTTCAACAGTGCCATCAGCGCCTGCGAGAGATGCGGCGAGTGGCAAGTTGCAGTGGATTTATTGGCAGGCATGCCGCACCACAGCACGCAGCCAGACATCATATCGTTCAACAGCACCATCAGTGCATGTGGCAGGGGCAGCGAGTGGCAGTTGGTGTTGGAGCTGCTCAGAGGGACAAGGATTGCGAGTGTTGAGCCAACGGTCATCACATTCAACAGCGTTATCAATGCATGCGGTGCTGGAAGCAGATGGGACATGGCGATCACGATCTTGACAAGCATGCTGCTAGCTCGGATCACCCCCAATGTAATCAGCTTCAGCAGCGCAGTCAACGCATGCAAGGAGGGTGCTGAGTGGCAGATGGCACTGCAGCTCTTGCGAGACATGCCCAAGAACGAAGTAATTCCAAATATCATCTCTTTTAACAGTGTCATCAGTGCGTGTGAGAGAGGTGGTCAATGGCAGGCTGCCTTAGAGATCTTGGCGGCCATCCTCTCATTAAGGCTGCAACCGAGCGTTGTCAGCTACAGCAGCACCATCAGCGCCTGCGAAAAGAACGGGCGATGGGAGATCGCTTTAGGTCTGCTCGGCGTCATGCCTTCGACCGGCAGTGCACCGAATGCGATCAGCTTCAACAGCGCCATCAGCGCCTGTGAAAAGGGCGCCGAGTGGCGTTGGGCGCTGCAGCTCCTGGCAGACATGGCTACATCGCGCGCGATCCCAGATACGATCACTTTCAACAGTGCCATCAGTGCCTGTGAGAATTCCTTCCAGTGGCAAGTTGCCCTCCAGCTGTTTGCAGACATGCCAGCCTCGACGATCGAGCAAGATGTGTACAGCTACAACAGTACCATGAGCGCATGTGAGAAATCTGGACAGTGGGTAGTTGCTCTGAGGTTGTTTTCTCAGATACCTTCGTCCAGATCGCTACCCGACGTTATCAGTTACAACAGTTCAATCAGTGCCTGCGAGAAGGCTTCCAAGTGGAACCTAGCACTCCTGCTCCTGTCAGACATGCTTGAATGCAGCGCGCAGGCTAATGTCATCAGCTTCAGCGGTGTGATCAGCGCCTGCGAGAAAGGAAACCAGTGGCAGCTGGCTCTACACCTCCTTGCAACGATGCCACACGTCCACACGTCACCCAATGTAATTACCTACAACAGTGCGATTAGTGCCTGCGAAAAGGCAGGAAAGTGGCAGATCGCCCTGTACCTTCTGGAGCAGATGCCATATCACCTGGTACGACCGAACCAAATCTCGTACAACAGTGCAATAAGTGCCTGCGATAAGGGTGAGCGGAAAAAGTTGAAGTGTTTGTAAACGTAGCTAGCTACTAGCCGTTACTAGCCCAAAGCTTAAAGCCCTAAACCATAAAGTCACTAGAACACGAACAGACATTCCGCCATCCAGAAGCCGACACCCCGCACATTTTAGCCAATTTGCTGCACTGTAGACCATCCGAACGACACCCACAACACAAGCCCCAAATGCTGAGATGCCACAGGGATGCCAAAACTCGACACCCTCAGCTTTCGGCCTGCAGCCCTCGATGCCGAACCCTGCCGTAAACCGTTTGAGCATGAGAAGCTATAGATACAACACCTTGGCGGAAGCCACGAATACCAAACCCGAACGACCCCAACAAAGCCAAGTCTGAACTGCTCTGAGGCTCAAAGCAGGAGCTCCAAGCCGAAGCGCATTTTTGATCATCTCCAAATCTTTATCCTTCAGCCGCGAAGTCTCAAATCCTCAAGCCTCGGAAAGGAGCCTTCTAGTGCCGCCATTGCCACAGCCAGCGCTTATGGTAAGGCTATTACTACTGCGAAAACCACCAACAACATCTGAAATACTTCAGCTACTACTAAACTGCTGCTGCTGCTACTCCTACTCGTACTCCTACTCCTCCTACTCCTCCTACTCCCGCACCCGCTCCCACTCCCACTCCCACCACTACTACTACTACTACTACTACTACTACTACTACTACTACTACTACTACTGCTACTGCTACTACTACTACTACTACTACTACTACTACTACTGCTGCTACTGCTACTGCTACTGCTACTGCTACTGCTACTGCTACTGCTGCTGCTGCTACTACTACTGCTGCTACTGCTGGGCCGCGTTTGCTAGCCCGGAGAAGCATCCTGATGCAGCTTAGGGGCACCACGGGGTATGCTGTAGACGAGGGACCCAGAGAACGTGCAGACAATCCGTTACATGTACTGCATGCGGTATATCTGTTCAATCTCTGATCTTCTATTGTCGCATCATCGTCATCATCATCATCTTATCATTATTACTCATCATCATCATGAATGCCATGGCTACAGACCGGTGGGCCGAGGGTTCGGTGAACAGTGCAACATTGACAACCTGGCAGAAGGAGCCACGGCTAGCGGAGACCTTCCTCCGGACATTTGCTGGCAAACCGCTACTGGTAGTTTCGGTCTTGCAGCAAATGCTTGGATTTCATGTGGAGGTGTCAGTTTGGCATTACAATGCAGCGATATCCAGATGTAGGCAGCCGGATTCCTGGCAGCACGTGCTGCAGCTACTCGCGTCAATGCGGAAAGAACACATAAGCCCCAACATCATCAGCTTCAGCGCTGCAATCAGCTCCTGTGAGAAAGGCTCCGAATGGCAGATGTCCTTGGGGCTCCTCGGGCAGATGCCGATCCAAAACGCTCCCCCCAATGAGATCAGCTTCAACAGCTCGGTCAGTGCATGCGTGGGGCAATGGCGGCATGTGATGCATCTTCTGAGAGCTATGCCGACCGCGAGGGCGACCCCGAATGCGATCAGCTACGGTAGTGCAATGAATGCCTGCAAGGAGAGTGCTGCTTGGCAGCTAGCTACCCAACTCATGCTTGGAATGCTGGCTGCCACTCTTACGCCTGATGTCATCAGCTACAACAGCACGATAAGCACTTCCGAGAAGGCTGGGCATTGGCAGCTGGCAGTGCAGTTGCTGAGCGACATGGCGCTTGCCCGCTCCAAGCTTGATGTCATCAGCTGCAGCAGTGCCATCAGCGCCTGCGAGAAGGCTGCCCGCTGGGAACTTGCAGTGCACATTCTCATGGAAATGCAGAAGCAGCGAATTCATCCAAGCGTCATTAGCTACAGCGCAGCCATCAGTGCATCTGAGAAGTGCGGAGAGTGGCAGGTTGCCCTGCAACTGTTGCAAGACATCCTATGCAGCGAAAGCGTCAGCCCGGATGTAATTGCTTTCAGCAGTGCTATAAGCGCTTGCAAAGACTGTGGTCAATGGCAAGTTGCACTCCAGCTGCTGGAGGACATGGGTTACATTAAGCTCATACCGAATGTGATGAGCTTTAACGGTGCTATCAGCTCTTGTGAGAAAGGTGGCAAGTGGGAGGTGGCCTTGCATCTTTTGGAAGAGATGTTAATGGTGCAGCTGGAACCAGGCATCATCACCTACAGTAGTTTCATCAGCGTGTGTGGGACGGCTGGAGAGTGGCAGCTGGCTGTCCATCTCCTTGAAACCGTCCCTGTCCAGCGGGATGTGATCAGCTACAACAGCGCCATCACTGCGTGTGAGAGAGGAGGACAGTGGCCACTGGCTTTGCAAATCTTGTCTAACATGAATGCTGAGGTTGACGTCATACCAGACACGATTTCATACAGCAGTGCTATTAGCGCTTGTGAGGCAGGAGGTGAGTGGAAGATGGCTCTGCAGCTGCTGACTTGTGCCATAGCTGCTGTGCAGCCAAGCCTCATCACCTATAACACAGCCATTGCTGCGTTTGCAGAGGCCTCTGAGTGGTCGCTGTGTCTTCAGGTCCTGGCCGAGATGAAGACTTCAGAGGTTCTTCCAGACATCATCACTTACAACAGCACTATTGTTTCTTACGAACCGATGGGGCAGTGGCCCGCTGCACTCCATGCACTTGCCCTGATAGCTGCCGAAGCATTGCTACCGAACGTTATCACATGTGCCAGTGCACTCAGTGTATGTGAAAGTGCTGCGCAGTGGGAGCTTTCTCTTCAGCTTCTGGAACGAATGCGTGTCTCTCAAGTGCCGCCCAATGTCACCTGCTTTGAGAGCGCCATCGGGGCCATGAACGCAACCACTCAGTCAACTCCGAGACTGATAGCGCTGCTTGGACAAGTCCAAGTGCTCGGAGAGGGCTGGGAGATGTGGTCTCTTGTGCGAGGCGGCGAAACGCTAGATGGGATTGGTCTGACACTGATAAGTCTAGCGGAAGGTGAGCAGTAGTGGTGTTTCTAGTGGTGCTGGTCCTTTTGCTGGTGCTGGTGCTGGTAGCAGTGGCAGTGGCGGTAGGTAGCAGCAGTAGCAGCAGTGGGAGGAGTAGGATCAGGACTCGGCCTAGGAGTGCAGTTTAGCAGCAGCAGCAGCTGCACCAGCAGCAAGCAGCACTAGTAGTAGCAGCAGTAGCTGCAGCAGCAGCAACAGCAGCAGCAACAGCAACGGCAGGAGTCGGGGTAGGAGTAGGAGTCGGAGCGGGAGTAGGAGTGGGTAGGAGTAGAAAAGGAGTAGGGGTAGGGAGGGGGAGGGCTGGGGTAGGGGTAGGGGTGGGGGTCAGGGCAGAGGGGTGCGGGTAGGGGCGGGGCCGGGCTGGGGGTAGCGGTAGCACGGTAGCGCAAGCGGTAGTGGTACTGGTAGTGGTAGCAGTAGTATTAGTAGTAGTCGTAGTTGTAGCAGTTGTAGTAGTAGTTGTCGTAGTAGTATTGGTGGTGGTGGTGGTGGTGGTGGTGGTGGCGGTGGCGGCGGTGGTGGTGGTGGTCGCGGTAGTGGTCGTGGTCGTGGTAGTGGTAGTCGTAGTAGTCGTAGTAGTCGTAGTAGTCGTAGTGGTATTGGTAGTGGTAGTAGTCGTGGTAGTAGTAGCAGCAGTAGTGGTAGTGGTAGTGGTCGTCGTAGTGGTAGCAGCAGTGATAGTAGTAGCAGTAGCAGTAGCAGTAGCAGTAGGAGTAGTAGTAGTAGTAGTAGTAGTAGTAGTAGTAGTAGTAGTAGTAGTAGTAGTAGTAGTAATAGTAGTAGTAGGTGTAGGTGTAGGTGTAGGTGTAGGTGTAGGTGTAGGTGTAGGTGTAGGTGTAGGTGTAGGTGTAGGTGTAGGTGTAGTAGTAGTAGTAGTAGCAGTAGTAGTAGTAGTAGTAGTAGTAGTAGTAGTAGTATCAGTAGCAGTAGCAGTAGTAGTAGTACTGCGCCAGGACGAAAGTTCGTCGCATCCGGTAGGTCTGCTAACAGATACTTGCAAACCCCTTTCCCCCATAGGCTCCTTCACGAAATCGCGATGTCAGGCAAGGACGTCACTAATAACTCCTTCACGAAATCGCGATGTCAGGCAAGGACGTCACTATTTCCTCCGTCGGAACAAAAAAACAGTGTATGTTTATTTTGGCATGGAAATTCCTCCGCTAGCCAGGCCACGTAACATGCACTTCTTCGTACTCCGAGTCCTCCGCCAAGCGAAGACATCTTAGTGCGACAAAACTTTCATCCTGCTGATGCTCACCCGCGACTAAAAACGAGTAGGCACCCGTCCAAAAAACCTCTTCCGTGTGACACATGCTGGCCTGGCCGAACTAGCGGTCTTGGAATTCATCCTGCTCACCCGCGACTAAGAACGAGTAGGCACGCGTCCAAAAGCCTCCTCCGTGTGACACATGCTGGCCTGGCCGAACTAGCGGTCTTGGAGTTCATGCTGCTCACCCGCGACTAAAAACGAGTAGGCACCCGTCAAAAAAAACCTCTTCCGTGTGACACATGCTGGCTTCACGAAATCGCGATGTCAGGCAAGGACGTCACTAATTCCTCCGTCGGAACAAAAAAACAGTGTATGTTTAGTTTGGCATGGAAATTCCTCCGCTAGCCAGGCCACGTAACATGCACTTCTTCGTACTCCGAGTCCTCCGCCAAGCGAAGACATCTTAGTGCGACAAAACTTTCATCCTGCTGATGCTCACCCGCGACTAAAAACGAGTAGGCACCCGTCCAAAAAACCTCTTCCGTGTGACACATGCTGGCCTGGCCGAACTAGCGGTCTTGGAATTCATCCTGCTCACCCGCGACTAAGAACGAGTAGGCACCCGTCCAAAAGCCTCCTCCGTGTGACACATGCTGGCCTGGCCGAACTAGCGGTCTTGGAGTTCATGCTGCTCACCCGCGACTAAAAACGAGTAGGCACCCGTCAAAAAAACTTCTTCCGTGTGACACATGCTGGCCTGGCCGAACTAGCGGTCTTGGAATTCATCCTGCTCACCCGCGACTAAGAACGAGTAGGCACCCGTCCAAAAGCCTCCTCCGTGTGACACATGCTGGCCTGGCCGAACTAGCGGTCTTGGAGTTCATGCTGCGCCAGGACGAAAGTTCGTCGCATCCGGTAGGTCTGCTAACAGATACTTGCAAACCCCTTTCCCCCATAGGCTCCTTCACGAAATCGCGATGTCAGGCAAGGACGTCACTAATTACTCCTTCACGAAATCGCGATGTCAGGCAAGGACGTCACTATTTCGTCCGTCGGAACAAAAAAAACAGTGTATGTTTATTTTGGCATGGAAATTCCTCCGCTAGCCAGGCCACGTAACATGCACTTCTTCGTACTCCGAGTCCTCCGCCAAGCGAAGACATCTTAGTGCGACAAAACTTTCATCCTGCTGATGTAGTAGTAGTAGTAGTAGTAGTAGTAGCAGTAGCAGTAGCAGTAGCAGTAGCAGTAGTAGCAGTAGTAGTACTAGTAGTAGTACTAGTAGTAGTACTAGTAGTAGTACTAGCAGTAGTAGTAGTAGTAGTAGCAGCAGCAGTCTTAGTAGTAGTAGTAGTAGTAGAAGAAAGTAGTGGTAGTGGTAGTGGTAGTGGTAGTGGTAGTGGTAGTGGTAGTGGTGGTGGTAGTGGTAGTGGTAGTAACTCCAGCAGTTTTGTGACAGAGGTGTCAGCGATAAAAGTCAGATTGCAGAGCTTTGTGTTTTGTGTGCCGTCCGAAGGTTGTTTACGGAGCTTTCGGGCTTAGAGCCATGCTCCACCATACAGCCACGAGCAAAGAACGAGCACTTGAGATCCAATCTTTGAGCACGTCAGCAAATGCTTCATCCTGACTGGTTATCGGCGGCATAGCCATGGAAGGCCCCACTTTCCAAGCCCTTGCGAAACTCTGCTGTTCTCCTCTCCACCCGAAAGACTCTGTCAGGGTCACCGGTGCGAGTTGATGCAGACTTGCGGCAGCTAGGTTGTAGAAAGCTATACTGGCAGAAGATGCGTATGTTGGAGTGAAGCAGGTTGCTCGTGTTCGGAGCAGAGAGCGGGTTCAGTTGAATTGGCACAGCATGCGATGCGGCAGATCATCCAGAACCGCTCACTCGGCACCAGGCGACCCGCAAGCGCCGCTTTGCCATCAGTCGTTGTTCATCTGCAAGTGTCCGAGCCTGGTAGCCTGTGGTCTGCCGAAACTGTGCCTGCCGGATACCGGAAGATGCGCACACTGAATCTTTCCGTGCCAGGCTATCCTGCGTGGCCTGGAGGCCTTGGGCGAGGTGGCGAGGGGGAGACAAAGGACACGCAGCTTTGCATGATGTGCTTTCGCTGCGCAGTGTGATTACTACGGCTACCTCGCGACAGGCGCACTTGGACCATCCGGTGCTCCAACGTGCTGTGGGGTCGAAATTCCTGCCGCAGCGGCTGAGCTCCTGGCGACTTAAGGGTCGAAAGGCCAACAGAATGACTGATGAATGCACCTGAGATGCTACTTCTTTGCAGTCCTCGTCTTCGTCTGACTTGAGAAGTTTTGTGGCAAACCCAAATGTTCGTGGAGTCACGTGCCAGGCGCGAGCGCTGGCAAGCCCTGGGCATTGGAAGCCTTGCGTCCAAGTCTTTAGAGCTGCAGGGGTACATGTGGTCGCCGGCATCGCATCTTGCAAGTTCGCCTGGAATTCTGCTTGAGCTCCACATGAAATCAATCGATGTGCTCTCTGTCTGCATGTCGGCTCTGGCAGATGAACACGCGAGCAATGCTTCCAGTGCGGAAGATTCGGCAGAGACTCGCAAGAGGCCAGAGCATGGTGAATCATGGGGATTCGTCCTGAGCGGGGATATATGCTTGGCTGCGTCCAACCAGTACCGTCCAGCCGTATTCCTTTTGAAATGCTACGCCACTTCTTGGTAAGGAACGTTTAGCATCTCCTATTCCAAGCAGGAAGTGTTGCACCCAACCGTGCAATCATGTGCCCGAGCTTGAGTCAGAATCCGCCCGAGAGGTGCAGACAGTACTGAAGTACTTGAAGGGATTGCACCGAGTGTTCAGGGCCTAGGTGCGGACTTTTGGTCCTCCAGCCGTTTGCTGCAGGCGGTTTCTTTTGGCTTAGTATGGATGCATACTCTTGGGTTCATTTCCCACATAGTAACAACTTTACGTTGCCCACCTGGTTGTTGTCAGGCTCCGAATGGAAGCGATGCGGCAGCGCCAACAGGTGGGCGTGAGATGGATTACAAGACCGTCCTGTACCAAATCTCCGTGCTGTCTCCTGACACCCTCTGTCCAGCCAGCCCTGAGCTGTGTTGCTGCACGGACATACAGTCTTTCAAGACTCTTGTCAGGCTCTGATGCGACGAATGCAGCAACAGCAAAGTCAAGCTGTTGCTGCGATGGACGAGGCCGCACAAGGCGTGGATTCGCCCAAGTGTTGATGTCTTCTTGCTGGTCATCTTCTGCAGTCATCCCTTGTGTCGTTTCTGGCAGGAGCTCTCAACGACGAGACTGAGGCAGAGGACCCGGGTGTTTTGTGTTGTGTAGCAGTCAGTAACGCAATCCATGGCCGTGACCTGCCGGTAGCTTCAACATCGAAGCAATGTCTCCGGCTGTAGAGAGGCGACTGTATTGGGATGGTCACTCGTCGCTGCCGCATGGACTAGATGTGCGAAGCATCACGACCTGGCCGTTGTCGCTTTGGCTGCTTGCAGCGGCTCCTGTCTACGGCGTGTCGCCAACTGTGATCGGTTTGAGTACCGTCATCAAACGGTGTCAGGTTGGAAACTACTGGCAGATGGCAATCCACCTTTTAAACACCATGCCAAACTGTGGAATTAGGGCTAATGTCATCAGCTTTAACACCACCATCAGCGCCTTTGATACGGACGGCCAGTGGGAGACAGCCCTTCAGCTGTTGAGAAGCATCACTGTGGCAGGCACATCGCCAACAACTATCAGCTTCAACACCACTATCAGCGTGAGTGAGGACTCTGGTCAATGGACAACTGCGTTGGGTTTGATGCAAAGCATGCAACATGCCAGCATGGAAGCAGATGTGATCACATTCAGTGCGGCAGGCAGTGCATGCGAGAAAGGAAGGCAATGGCATTTCTCCTTAAGCTTGCTGGCAGAAATGCCGGCATTGAGAGCTGTGCCTAACACGGTCTGCTACAGCGGTCCCATGATGGCTGCACAAAATGCGGGACATTGGCAAATTGGGCTCTGTCTTCTTGCCCACATGAGGATCTCTTCGCTGCGTCCGAGCCTCCTTGCTTTCAACAGCACCATCACTGCTCTCAAACGCGGCGAGAAGTGGCAAATTGCTCTGCAACTGCTGGACCATATGTTGTGTGGACGAGTTTTGCTTGATACAGTCAGCTGCAACAGCGCAATCGGAACTTGTGAAGCTCAGTGGGAGGTTGCTCTGTTGCTTCTGGAAGTTATGGCTGGGCATCATATACCTGCGAACACCATCACATACAACGGCATATTGAGCGCATTCGCCAGAAACTCTGAATGGCAGCGTGCTTGCAATCTGCTTTTGTGTATGTCTGACATGGACATAGAGCCGAATGAAATCAGTTTCAACACCGTAATCAGTGCAGCAGAGAAGGGTGACCATTGGGAGCACGCTCTATTGATAGTGGAGGCAATGCCAGCTGCAGGTGTCAGAGGGGACGTCATCACTTACAGTAGTCTGATAAGAGCCTGTGAGCGTGGGGCCAGCTGGGACCGTGTCCTCCAGCAGACGTCCATCATGACGCAGTCCAGCAGTTTGCCAGATATAATTTGCTGCAACAATGCAGCAAGTGCTTTGGAAGCTGCAGCACAGTGGGAGATGGCGATGAAGCAGCTGGGGCAGATGGGTTCCCCTGATGCCACAGGCTGTTCCAGCGTTGTACGTTCATGTGGTCAGAGGCTGCAGTGGCACACTGCACTGCAGCTCTTTGCCAACTTGTCCGACGGGCGCTTGACATCGGATGTGATCTGTTTCGTAAGTCTTGCTAATGCATGTGAAAGCGCTGCGTGCTGGAAGTTTTTGCCCGAATTATTGGACACCACAGCTGCTGCCAGCATCGCTGAACAGCTTGGTGTGTTGGCGAGCCATGCGTGTTGCCACGATGGCTTGAGGCATTCTACGAATTTGTGAGACAGGTGGCGGCTGTGCAAAGCACAGTTCCGCCCGACCGGTCAGCTTGCGGACTTTGCTTGCCACTTTGCCCGAAAAGCTGATGGCATCAATACAGCAGAGCAATTTTGCGGGCACCTCATGAAATCGGTAATCGATGGGCAACTCCGGCCACAATTCCCGTTTTCGCCCCACAGAGTCAGTCTGCTGCAGTGTCAGCGCCTGGCAGACGTGCGGTTCTCGTAGGAAGAGCCACCTGAGAAGCGACAAGCACGCCTGGACACAGAGCCTCCAGAAAGTGCCAATGTGAAGTTCAGCAAATGTACATCTTGCCGTATACAACGTGGCTCGTCTTCTCGTTTAATTCGTCTTCTCCATACCTGTTAATCAAAGTTTAGAAGACGCGTGAAGCACACTTTCTCTGCAAGTCAGACACTGATGCAGGACTCCGGCGCATTGTGGCAGTTCGCCACTCATCGGTGTGGCTTCATTGATGGAATACTGAGCAATTGCAGCACGTGCCTCTCGCAAAGAGACTGTCATGCTGGCCACTACAGTACTCGCTTGAAAGGTGCGCGACGTGCCGTGAGGATCCGGGCTAAGCACCGGCATCCTGCACGTGTCTTGCGGGAGCATGGATTTGCACGGTAAACGGGTTTCGGGTTTAAAACAGCACTTTGCAGCTTGGCTGAGGCGGGAACGCCGGAAAATCCTCTTGCCATGCTGGCTGCGGCCGGCATGCCCAGTGTAGCCTTGAAAAGTCTCAATCCATGGGCTCTGGTTTCGGGAAAGCAATCGAACTTGCAATGAACTTGTCGTGGGGCTAGCACTGGTGAGCTCAAGTACCAGGCTTGATCTTTGCACCCGCGACGGTGAACATGGTACTGCGTGGTCTCATCGCCAAACGGGCTTGCATGTAGAAGGTTCAGGGGGATTTGCTGACGGTCTGGTCCTGTGGACCTTGGGCTGCGGGCGGTAGCTCTTCCACGGATGTTACATCCTTCGGCACTCCTCCGCTCTTTGCTTGTTCAGCTCTCCTCTCCTCTGCCAGGTTGTGCCATGGCAATCCAAATCCACTCATCGAGGTGGCCTTCCAGGCCTGTGCCGTGTAGGCAAAACCTGCTCCTACGGTTGATGCGCAAAATCCTGCACCACTTTGAACATTCCCACATCTCCCCCGCTACCCCTACTTGTGGGATTGCACTTATGCAGGGGCCTAGCTTTCCTAAAGCCAGGGCCTCCGCGAATGCCCAAAATCCTGCTTGACCCCATGAGGCTGCAAGATTGAAACTTGGACAGAGCGACGTGAGATACGTGCGGTGATGTAGGTCATGCATGATTTTGGCATCAAAGTAGTCCGGACTTGAACTGACAGAAGCCATCACCAAGGGACACCTTTTAAACTTGCCAAGCTGCGCTGTCAAGCTCTGCAAGGCTACGCTCGCTTTACGTCCTGTCGACATCTTGTGCATGTGTCGGGCTGAAGATCCAGTCCAGCCTTCGCATGAGCCTTTCTGCATGTGATTGCATGATGTAGGCTAAATTGGACGTTCGGACACGTCAGTGTACAACGGGGTCGCATGACCTAGATCCAGTCTAGCCTTCGCCTGTAAATGAAGCTGCATGAGACCCGCCAGTCGCTAGCCGCCGCTAGCCAGTGCACTTCGGCCATTTTCGACTTCACCGCTGGCCCCGAGGCTCTTCTCACTGTCTAAGTACGCCTCTCGTCGTTCCAGCCTGCTCTTGCCATGCATCGCGCGCTGAGTGCCTTGGTGGCTTTGTCAGTGGCTCGTGGAGTTACCGCAGACGACTGCGCCCTGCTTCAAGTTGATACACAGGGCCATTCCAAGGAACGCAAAGAACGCTTGCAGACTGACGCCAGTGATTTGAAGAGATCTAAGATGAAGGGAAAGCATCAGGTCCTCATCCCGAAGCCCCTAGTGCACTCGAGTGGAGATGCAGAGCTTCATGTTACACCTGGGTTGCTGCGCATGCTGAGAGAAGTCGCGAAATCTGCAGGTCCGGAGTCTCTGCGCATCGTTGAAGCGCAGTTCCTGTCGCGCTTGCCAGGCTTACCGTCTAAAGTTGATCAGCGAGAAGAGGAGTTGGTTCAGACATCGATGGATCTTCGGGAAGACTTCAAAGTGCACTTCCATCACCGGATTGAACTTTGGAAGGGCCGCGAGTCGTGGCAGCCCATCCGTGAGAGGGATGAGAGTTATGGCCTCGTTGTCACTCCTCACAGCATCGAGATCGACGCTCGTACTTCGTGGGGGCTCGCCAATGCTATGTCGACTTTGTATCAACTCCTGGCAATTAAGGTATCGGATGACGGTGTCCGTATCACGGTACCGGGTTGCCCACGTAAAATCCAAGATCGACCAGCCTACGTACACCGGGGCTTCCTGTTGGACGTCTCGCGGCAATGGTATTCCCTTCCTTGGATCAAAGGGCTTGTGAGTGCGCTTGCAGAATTCAAGCTGAATGTCCTGCACTTGCATCTTACCGACACGGCTTCTTGGCCGCTCGAAGTGGATGGCTACCCGGAGGTTGCGCGACACCTTGCTTACCGTGACAACAACGGCAAACCATTGACATACTCGCGTCATGATATCCGTCAACTTGTCGAGTTCGCACGCGTTCGAGGCGTGTCGGTTATGCCGGAGATTGATGGACCAATGCATGCGCCTGCGCTGGCTTCGGGTGATCCCCTCCACTTGACAGTGGCTGCAACGGTAGAATACTCTACGCAACAGTTTGCAGTTGAACCGCCACCGGGAACTTGGAACATCTCCGATGCTCACGCACTAGATTTCGTACGGCGCGCATTGCGGCAGGTAGAAGAGGATTTCTCGACTTCGCCTTTCTTGCATATTGGAGGAGACGAGCCTGTGGCTGCATCCCTTTGTACCCTGCTCCCAGAGCCTGAAACTAAGAAGTGCCTGGATCAGTGCAAAGTCCCCTGGACAAAGGGTTGTGAGCCCGTGCCCGTGAAACCGACTGGCGCAAATCAGACTTACTGGTTCCCAGAGGTGTTAAACGCAAAGGTCCAAGACTACTTCGACTCCGTGGACCCTTCGCCCGCTAAAATTCCAAGGGCCGTCTGGTCAGGAGCTGTTTCGGACTGTGGCGTGCAGCTGCCATGTACACGTCTGAAGAGCAAGTCGGCACTGCAGTTGTGGGAATTCCCAACAGATGCGTCCGGCCGGCCCAAGTTGTCTGAACAAGACTGCGAGAAGTATGACCTCATACAAAGTGCCGCTACGTATCCGGAAGGCGGTTCGCAATATGGCTGGCTATACATGGACTGTGGTTCTGGCGCGAACTGGGCATCAATGTCACCGAATTATTGGTGTCCTCGCGCTTCATGGGCAGCACTTTACTCATTGAATCTTACACAAGGATATGGGCCAATCCACACCCCTGTCTGTCAAAAGGCTTTCGTTGGCGGTGAGATGGCGCTGTGGTCTGAGATAGGAGGCATGGGCAATGGCATGAGCTTGATCTTTCCCCGCGCGGTTGCTTTTGCTGAACGGATGTGGAGCAATCCCAAAGGCTTGCGGGTAGAGGAAATGAAGGGGGGTACTCCTCCCGGCTGGTACTGGGAGACACATCTGAGAGATGCCATGGAGAGGCTGAATACCGTGGTGTCGAACTTGGAGATGCTGCACATCGGGGTGTCTCATTTGCAGCCCGAGTTCTGCAGGATCCATCCTGAGTTCTGCAACGCATACACCGCTTCCATTTATGCAGCGACGTGATCTGTGGCCAGAGATATGCTTTGGTGGGCCAAAGGCCGCCCCCCGCTCAACAAAAACACTCCCAGATGTATACAATTGCTTATATTTCTTATTCCGTACTCGAGACTAGACTCTACTGCCCGCTTTTGTTCCGTCCCAGACACCTGCTGCTAGGGCTACATTGAGGTTCAGCTGCGAAGCTGAGCTTGCGTTTAATTCCTCCGCTCGGGTGTGACACAGCGCACGTGAGCAGTGCAGTTTCTCGTCAGTCTTCTCGTGCAAGGGCTCTCTTTTCCGACCTAGCCTGCCGAACTCTGACCTGGCCCCCTGTCTGGCACAGCAAGCCCGAAGTCAATTTCCCTTCATGAGTGCAATATATAGGAGCTTTGGAGGGTCGACGCGACTCTGTAGATGCAGCACGACCAAGCGTGTTATGTTGGCTCCATCTCCTTGCAGTGGAATGGCAAGTCTTAGGATGCTATGCTGCTACGCTCCTCACAACGAAACCAATGGGGCTCATCCAGGGTACCCGTACCGTAATTTGAAGGTCGTGCCGCCTTGCTTCTAGGGTCAACATGACCCTTCCGGATGTTGTCAACAGGGTTCCGCCTTTTGCCCCTTCACCCGGTGCACGAGCAGGCAGCGACGTGTTTCAAAACTCTTGCAACTGCCGCCATCATCCTCCCAGAAGCTTCTGGAGATGTTGGAGGTGCAGCTGTCGTGCTTTCGGACCTGTTGCTGCAATAAGCGAGCACCAGCACAGAAAAAGGCAATACTGCTGGACGTGCACCCACACCAGCTCATCTTTCTTTCAGAAATTCTGGCGATGTTCTTGATGCTCCGAGGTGAGCTGTGGACTGGCACATGCAGAAGATGTCAGAAATCAGGCCAGTCTCCACTGTGCCGCACGACATGTGGTGGGACCCAGCTAGAGGTAGGGTATTCAGCACTCCTGCTGGCATTGCACTTCCTGGAGCCTTCACGATGGCGCAGGCAGGTCGATCGCAGTTCTTTTTCGTCAATGCGACCGGTGGGGAGTTTCCTTGCCCCATGCGTCGTGCTGAGCATGGCAAATGGCAAGAATTCAGGTTGCTGGTAGGCGGCGTCGAGCTCGACAGTCATTCGCGTGCGCAAGTCTTGCCAGGGATGCCGTATCTGAGGTGCCGATCTGTCGCGAACTGCTTGATCCCCTGCGTTCCTGACGAGGCAGTCGTTTCAGAGTCCCGATTCCCTCTGCAGTTGGCTCGCAGAGCGATCCAGGAGTTCCTCGACTCCGAGGATGCATCTTGGCAACCGGAGGTGAGCATTCCGAGCGCTCCTCGAGAAACGCATCTGGGAGCTTGGGAGCGAAAATGTGCATCGAAGAGTCGTCAGTCGTCCTGTAATGCCTTCCTCCTTGCGCCTCCTTGCGGCCGCCACGTCAGAAGCATCTCTGAGCTCTTGCCAGGTCTCGCACTCAGCCTCGGCTCCCAGCCGAGTGCGGCCGCCACTTCCCGCCTTGCAGTCTGCTCTGCATGAATGCATGCGCCGGGCGAGCAGGGCAGGAGCGGAGGCCTTTCAGGGCTTTGTTGCTTTGTGGCCATGACTGGGCTTCCCGGAAGCAGGCTCGCCCCGAGCAGAGGGAAGGCCAGCTCGACGACAGCCAAGGCTGGCATCCGTTTCCTGTCGCGGGTCTTTGTCGTCGACAGAAAGCAGCGGCTTCCAAGGGCTACGGTTTTGTCGTGATGTCAGGAGCGCTCTCAGTTCCAGTGCTTCGTGCAGCTGCTGCGGAGCTGCGGGCAGCAGCAGCTCTGCCCGGGACCCTGCAATGCCACGTGACGACGACGTGACGACGACGTGACGATGCGAGAGGTCGAGCTTTCGCCTTGAGGTTCCCCTTGCAACTGACGGACGAGGGGCCCCCTGCGCCGCTCTATGCGGCGCTCTTCAGGGCGGCCGCTCTGCTGAGGCGACGCCCGGGACGTGCTCCGACAAAAGCTTTGTGGACGCTTGCGGCTTGGGGGCACCTTTGGAGGTCTGGTGCTCCAACGGTGGCACCAAAGCTCGAGGCCTGGTTGCGAGATTGTGTGACATTGTGTGACATGGCTGATGCTCTTCACGACGCTGTTGATCCGTCGGAATGCTACCTTATATGCAGTTCCCACGGAGCCTCCAGCCACGTCGCGGCAGGTCTCTCTTTGAGTAGCGTCAGCGCTCCCAAGCCAATCTGTGGACTTACTGGCAACACGACGGGCCAAAGTGAGCTCCGGGCAAGCACTACAACAGTCTGGTTTTGAATCACAACCTTCAGCGACTGCAAGGAACACAGACAAAGCCTCTCAGAGTGCTGCCAGGACAGCGGTTGGCAGTCCAAGGCCCCGGCGCTACGCCACCACCGCTTGTGCTTCTACCTACTGAATTGATCTGAATAGAGTAATCTGCTTGACTGAGTTCTATGCCAAAAAGTTGTACATACCTGGCATACATCATGCTAAAGTAGATGTATGTACGTATACGACAAACATGTATGTTTACTTGTTATATATATATATATATATATATAGATGTCTGTGTCCCATTTATTGATGTCTTAATGTCATGATTATTCTGTTGGGTTCTGTTGTGGTTGATTCCACACAGACCTGCTGCACTGTTGTATGATTTGTTGTCTGGGGTCATCTGGTGCCATATTGGATCCAATCATGTCAGAACATGCCGTATGATGTCAACTTATATCATATGGTGTCATAATGTATGATAAAGCAACAACTACATTTTATTACATCGAACATATTGCTTGTCACTGTTGTCTTGTATACGACGTGCCTCATGAAACGGGTTATGCCATTGTTAGCTAGCTACTTCATATTGTATGTCATCTTACAGTGTATGACACGTCGGAACGGAATGTCATGCCATGTAGTGTATTGTAGCATAATAGCGAGATATACTCCTTCTGAAGCAAACTGTCATGTTGATTCCAAAATGTGTTTTGTTGAGCTAATCCTGTCGTATCTGATCTGGACTCATGTTATATTAGGCTTTGCTATGTTATGTTGTGGTTTGTTGCTATTTTGGGACGTTTCGCTGTATTGTATTGTGCTACATGGTATTGTGTTACGGTTTGCTATGTTATGAGAGACTATGCTACAGCCTCTCCTGCATGCCATATTATACTATAGTGTAGCATAGTGCAGGATAGTATAGCATAGTAGGGCAAAATTTTTATATAAGAGAGCATAGTACAGCAGAGTATGTATATGCTTCGAAAGCAAATTATAGCACGAAAGAACTAAGGTATAGTATACCATGGTATGATGTAGTGTAGTGCCGTATAATATCGTCTAGTCTAGTATAGTGTATAGTTCTATATCCAGTATAGTATAGTACAGTTCGTTGCAGTATGGTATAGCCGAGTATAGTGCAGTGTAGTGTGGTATAGAACTGTACAGTAACGTATAGTTTAATTATGACAGTATAGTCTACTATAGCATTGTACGTACAGTATAGCAATGTACAGTATCGTTTGTTACATTCCAGGTTTTTGAGAGCGCGCACACGCACACATGAGTGTATGCATATGTATATATATATATGTATATATATATATGTGTATACATAGAATACATGTTGGTGTTTGCATCGGTTTCGTAGACACAGCAGCTTCTGGCGCTTCAGCCAGTTTCAGCGTCCTTGCTGCGAGGTTCTCGCTTGGTTGTCTCAGCCACGGGAACCGTGGTTGCTGGACTTGAAGGCCTGCGATAGTCTGTCATTCAAATCACCTCAGCGCATCTCAGCATGAGGGAGCGTTCCGACATGAGTTGTGTCAGTGTTTTTGAACAATGCCTGCCGTGGGGCATACGGCTGCGAGAACAGAGCAAAGGCAGAGAAGGCAGTCTTGTGCAGACATGTTTCTCCAGTTATGCGGTCGCTTTGCAGTCTGGTTGTGGCTGCCCAACTCCTGGTTGGCAGAGCGGCGGTCTGGTCTAATCTAGTAACCGATACTTGTGGATACTTGTAGCGACTGGACTACGAAATCTACAAAGCCAATGTCATGACGGCTGGCAGCCCTAGCGCGAATGGCACGTTGCAACATGGAGCCACGGAAGCTGGAGCCGCACAAAGCATGATTTGGCATTAGTTGCAGCTCATGCCACGTTGGCAACAGCTTTCTGACGATTTTCGAGTGTTTGCGAGCCAGCCGTCACCATCACTTGCCATCCGAATTGAGGTATTCTGTCGTCTGCTGCTGGGTGGCGAGGTCAAAGCTACGGAAGCACTGGTGGACGCTCTGCGCAGACAAGTCAGAACTGCACGAATCTGTGCTTATGGACAATTGGCTTCTCCATGTGCATCTGCTAAGTTGCAAGTGACCAGGTTCATTCCGGCGTGCATCTGACTGTGGTAGCTTGCCCAGCTTCGCCAGCGGCCCAGTTTCAGGCGGTAGCAGTGCAAAATGCCCGAAGTTGGCAATAGTAGCTGAGAGCATCCGCGCAAAGTCTCCCGAACCCGTTACGAGCCAACGCAGCGTTCGGCCACTCTCCGGTTCAGTAGAGTTAGTCCGTTTTCCGGTGTCTTTAAAGCTCGTCAGACCCCGAGATCCGAGCTTAGGCTCGGGGAGGACGCACAGATTGTGCAGCTTCAAGGCCTGCTCACAGCTCTCTCTCTCTCTCTCTCTCTCTCTCTCTCTCTCTCTCTCTCTCTCTCCCTTATATATATATATAATATAATATACATGTGAATCCACATGTATATGCATATGTATGTTTTCACGCATGGGTAGATAGATCGATAAATATGCCTGCGTGCTGTCCTGCGAGTCTGCGCTGACATCTTACTGCACCATACTGCACCTCACCTTTGCTAGCAGGCTCAGACGAGCATACTCAGTGCATCTGGACAGCACAAGTTGTGGGGAAGGGCAATATTGACTATTGAAAAAGAGCAAGTTCAGACGAAGCAAATATCGTCTGGTGTGCAGTTCTGTGAACCGCGATAGTAATAGTCAAGTCCCAGGAGTCCTATCCTCACATGCGAAGCTTTTGTTTCCGGTTGCGGGTGCCATCGACTGTCGACTTGATTCGACTTGTGCGAGAGTGGGATCTTCAACCTGAGATATCAAGGCAACGTCGTGTTCTATGCCGTTGACTCCACGATGTTGGAGCTGGAAGGCTACACGGAGTGCCAACGCTTCAGGCACGGAGCTAGGTGATTGGGTGGCAGTGCAGACTGCCTGTTGAGGTGAAAGGCAACCCCCTCTCCAGCAGCCGAGCGCGGGTAAGAACCCGGGTTACTGCCATTGCCGTTCCCTAAATGCAACGAAGATGCCAGTTCGCCACCGGACCCGCAGCTAACCATCGCGGCGTTTCAAGAAACGTACCCATCTCGGCAAGAAGAGCTTTTTGACTCGGAGTACTCTTCAGATTATGCTTGTGATGGGCTCTGATCAAGCACCTGCAGCTTGAAAGACCACCTGCCCGTAGCAAGGTGCGATGCATGCTTCGCCCCTGCTCTCCGATGTGAGGTCCGGGACTACAAGTAGAACGTTTCCCGCCCAGCCATGAATCTCTGTGAGTTTCAGTGTCAGGCGCCGCAGCACGTTGTGGAGCTTGGGCTCTCGGCGACCAGCCGGCGCTTTCTGTGGAATAGCACCTGGGACTGTCTAGGACCGGCGACACAAACAGGGAAGCCCTCGTGTTTCTGAGATTCTGTTCGCGTGTGCTTTAGCTTTAGCGCGAATGCTCTTGAGTGCCATCGTTCAAAGTTGCAAAGCTCGAGGATCTGAGTATGTCGACCGGGGTGTCTCAGTGTGAAGCAGCAAAATGCTGCGAGCAACAGCCAAGGTGTTGTGCGGCTTGGAAGCAAGCCGTTGCAAATGTCGGTGACCAGAACCCCAGCACTGTCCAGCAGTCACTGTGCGTACAGCCACCAGGTCAGTCGTGCACAGCTGCATCCTTCCTGCCCCTCCAAGCTCGGCCCTCTCATCTTTGATTCGTGGGCATCCTGGATCCTGGGCTCAGGATTGTTCCTGACTTCCTGACGCGGGAGGTGTCTCAGTGGCAAAGCAGTGCAGAGAAGCATTGCAGGCTGGAGCAACCTTAGGTGCTTTTGCCAGCGTGTGCCGAATGAGTCTGTTCGTAAATGGAGAAGCAGTCATCTCTTTCCGTGGCGACTCAGCAAAGCGGCCCTGTAGAGCCAGCTAATTTACCCCCGGCACAGCCGAGCTCTGAGCACCAAGGAGTGTCATGTCCTCATGGATGCCGCTGACCGGGCCGCTGCTGTAGGCACCAGAGCTGGAAGCTTCTATGCCTACCAGGGCAACATGAACCGATTCCTGGCTGCAACTTGGAGTCTTTGTCATCGAAGCTTCCTGGCGCAATGTTTCTACAGACACGCACACATTCACAGTGAAATGCTGATGCCTTTTTTTGCTTTCAAGTCGGCCTGTGCTTTGCCGGTCAAAGCATGGTTTCCGATGCCACTCTCCGACGTGACGAGATCCTTGCTTCAGCTCGGCCGAGGCCAAGAGCCCTGTCAGGCCCAGTTTGCTCGGGCGGTGCTGGGAAAGCAGAAAATTTTGACGAAGCCTGGGGCAATCGCACGTCTTCTTCGAGAGCTGAAATCGGAGAACCGGGCAGATCTGGTGCTTTGCACCCTCTCCGAGGTAAGGAAAGGTGGCACGCCGATTCCTCATCATTTCGATACGGCCATAAGCGCATGCAGTTTGGCCACATGGTGGCAGACAGGCCTATCACTGTTGACTTCAATGCCGGTGGAAGAGGTCCCAGTGAACATTGTCAGTTGCAATACAGGCATAGGCTGTGCCGATCAATGGCATTTGGCTTTGGGGCTCTTCAGGTGGATGGGCACCAATCGGATTACCAAAGACTTCATCACCCACAACTCATGTATTGGTGCTTGTGCTCGGGACTTTGAGTGGCAGGTATCGGTGCAGCTGCTTCAAGTGATGCAGCTGCGCACTGTGTCGCCTGATATCATCAGTTTGAATTCGTGCATGAACTTTCCTGCCCGTGCCAGTCTGTGGCACTTGCCAGGGCAGCTTCTGAGAAGCATGCGTGAAGCCCGGATACTTCCCTCAGTCGTTACTTGCAGTTCGTCAATCGGCTGTTCAGACGGTCAGGGATGGCTGTCTGCCTTGCAGCTACTAGCAGGCATGCATCAGCTTGGGGTTAGACTGAACGCTGTGAGCATCAACTCCTGCATTGCATGCATCAGCTCGTGTTCCTCGGAGTGGCAAACGGCATTGCTGGTGTTCAAGACTGCGACAGGAGGTCGAGTCAGTCCAACAGGTGCCAGCTACAACACCTGCATCAGTGCTTTGCAAAGTAGCGGTAATTGGCAGCTGGCCTTGCACTTCTTGCACGTCATGGGCACGGCGGACATACCTGCGGGAGTGATCGCATACAGCTCGTGCATCAGCTGCTGCGAAGAAGCTGGACGGTGGCAACTTGCCTTGCAGCTGCTTCACTCCATGGAAGCGGCGTTCGTCAAACCCAATTTGATAAGCTTCAGTGCCTGCATCAGCTGCTGTGCAAAGGCGAACGAGTGGCAGAAGGCGCTACGTCTCCTGAGAGTCATGGTAGATGCTGGCACACGGCAAGACACAATCATTTACAATGCCTGCATCAGTGCCTGTGACATAGTTGGGCAGTGGCAGATTGCTCTCCACCTTTTGGAAGCCATGACCTCTGCGGCTGTGAGGCCTAATCTCATCAGCTGTAACTCTTGCCTCTGCTCGTTGGAGAGGGGCTTTCAGTGGCAGCAGTCACTGCTTCTTCTGGCCTCAATGCTGCGATCCAACATCGCACCTGATGTGGTCACCTACAACAGTTGTATCGGTGCCTGCGAAAAGTGTGGGCAGTGGGAGATGGCTCTCAACCTATTTCAGACAATGTCCAGAAGAAGAGTCCCGGCTGATGTGGTGAGCTGCAATGCATGTATCATCTCATTGGAGAAGAAGGAGCATTGGCAACTGGCACTGCAGTTTTTTGACATCATGTCGCAAGCTCTGCTCAGGCCCAATGCTGTCAGCTACTGTGAGTGGATCGTTTCCTTCGAACGATGTCACCAACCAGGACTCCTCCTGCGCATGTCGGATGCATTGCTCTCTTCAAGCATCAACTTGTTGACCCGGCTCAGCACCTAGAGCGCGGCTGTCCCGTTGTTCTCCCTGTTCGATCGAATTCAAGCAGCATGAACTCGCTAGACGTTTTGGGCACCTACTTCAAAGCTTTGCCGGACCGGCACCGTGCAAGACGAGCTAGTACCGACGACGGCGTGCACCATATTCGACCTGGCCGACAGGTTCCGCAATATGGATTTGCGCCGATACTCCTTGGACATGATCCTAACAGAACCGGCCATGACCATGAAAAAGCGTCCAGGCCTGAGCCCACAACTGGTGGAAGAGATTGTGGCTAGCGAGGCGCTCTGCATCGGCAGCGAGGATCTTCAGGATGGGTTGCGCGCGGGCTGATGGGGGGGGGTTCCGAAAATTAGGGGTACCTTAACCTTATTTTGGGGTTCTTGTAATAAGGATCATACTATATATTTAGGGTACTCTATTAGGGTTCCCAAATTTCGGTTCGGATATTTCGTATAGCATGCGAGTGATGGAGTGTGGGTTTCAGAGCTGTTGAGTTGACTGTGAGTGCATGGTCCTTGCTTGTCAATGCGGACATGCGAAGGGTGTACCATTCAGTCGCCCCAGCTGCTCGTGTGGCACTTCTTGCAGGCTTCGGAGTGTGTTATGAGCCCCCGGGTGCATGCCACCATGGCACTAAGGAGCGCAATATAGGGGCCGAAATAACTACCCACACCATCCTATACCTCCTGCTTATAATTATTGAAAAATGAACCACAAAACGCTATTCTAATTATTAAGGTCCCTACAGGAGGTTCATCGATTCAGAAGCGAGGGCAGATAAGGGCAGCTGGGCCACAGACCAGCTCAAGCCCAGCACGCACTCCAAGCCAAAAGCAAGGCCGGAATGAATCAAAGCCATATGCGACCTTGTCTTTGTAGCTTTTTGTACTTATGTATTCATTTTTACATAGTTCGCTCCCAACTCTCGAGGACTTGATCTGCCATTGGGATGAGGCCTCCTCCGAGGAAGAACGAGAGGTCCAACGGCTGCTGCAAGCCTACGCCGAGGGGCCAGCAACTTGGTCCTGGGGTTTAGGGCTTACCTTAACCCGGAATAACCTGCCTTTTTGAGGACTTATATAAGGAAATCATATTAAGGGACCTTAAAAAGATAGGTCATTCAGGGTTAAGGTAGGGGTGTAAGGCGTTTGGGTTTCAGGGGTTTAGGGTTTGGGGTTTAGTGTTTAGGGTTTAGGTGTCTGGGTTCTTGTTAAGGGATTAAGGACCATAATAGGGATCTATGAGAGCTCCTTTAAGGGTTGAAGGATTCCTTTAAGTTACCAAACAGGGATCTATAAGGGCTCCTTTGATTCATGTACACGGGTTCCTGTAATTAAGGGTTTAGGTTTTTGTTAAGTTATCAAAATAGGGATCTATAGTAAATAACAGGATTTCTTTAGTAAGGTAACTTAACTTAACTCCCTTAGCAAGAACCCAGGCAACGACGCACCGACGAGTGGCCAGCGGTGATGTGCTTTTCGAGCTCAAGGAGCCATTCTGAAGAATCAAGACCCTCCCTCCTTTAAGAAGTTCCGGATAAAGCATATAAAAAGTTCATACAATCTAAAGCTTCATGGGATCATGGAAAGCCATCAGTTACTCTCCTTGCCTCCAGAGGAAAGCTACTGGGGTCGTGGGCGTCAAGTTGCCTTACTTCTGGGACCTCCCGAGAAAGACTGGAGTGATGCGGTCTATGAGCCTGGCTTTCTGGAGGCACAGAGACTGTTCTGTTGGGCTGTCGTATTTTCGGGGTTTAGGGTTTAGGGGTTTAGGGTTCGAAGGGAGCTCTTAGTCGTTGTAAGATTATGTTGGCAGGCATTGGCCCGCAACGACAACTTTCACACCTACTCCATTGCAATACAAGATGGCTGGATCGTTTGGATGATGCCCTTCGTATCGCTCTACCTCACAGGCTTCTCCTTCAATGCCCGAGTGCTAATCGATGAAGTCCACTTCAAAGTTTTCTGCTCCGAAGATGGTATTGACAGGAAGCTATGTTTAGATTCCAAAGAGCATGGCAACATCGAAGAAGACGAGGATGTCTGCTGCGAGCACCGTCATGTGAAATGGCTGTTTCTCGGTCATCATCTTGGGTATGCAGGTCAGCTTTTGTTACTGTGCCATTGTGTTGTTGGAGAAGCGAGCTAGCAATTAAGCCCGAGGGGAAGCTCCCAATCATGATCCGAATCTGCAGTGTGATCATCATCTCCCTCTTCATCTCTGCTCCATAATCATCGCCAAATTCAGACATCATCATCACGAGCATGGTCATCACCATCCTCCTCATCACGTCTGGCTCCGGGAACATGTAAGGTGCTGCCCAATACAGATGTCAATTGTTCGAAAAGAGCAATTTTCCAGCTCTGGCAACTGGAATTATTGAAACAGTGTTACCAGGAAACGGAATCCCGCACGCAGGCAGAGGAATCCCGGAATCTACCCAACGAAGCGACTCCAAGGCCCTCGTGGTAAACTTTGTAAACATTGCAAGCCGCTCTCAGTGTGGTTTCAGGCTCCACCGCAAACCCTACAAAGAATTTTAAGCCTCAGGGTCAGCAGCCCAGGAAGCTTTTAGTCGTGGACGGGCGCTTCTCCACAGACTTCTGCGTGAGTGGCATTCTCCTCCAACCATTTGCGCGGTTTGAATTGTAAAAAAGCATATGATTGGTATGAGCATCAAGGGGACTCTGTGGGGATATTCTTGCTGCTCTCACAAATCCCTATGCATTATAGGCTTAGGCAAAGGACTTGACGTCAGTTTAATCAGCATATCTCTGGGCGGATGCTGTTGTTGCACGCAGGTATGAGAACCGTCCCCGTCGTCTCTCACCAAACTCTGACCCAACTCTCGCGGCTCAAGTCCTGAAAGGTTGAATTAGTTTCAAGACCCACATCATGTTACCCGCACTGTCTGTGAACGGTGCACTCCCAAGGATGGTACGAACTGCCAGCAACATACAGGAAACCAGCTCTGGAAGCTATTTGTGGTAATGAAGTTAGCAGGCCGCCGCTAGTCAGCTAACGCTCCGTGGGCATGTTGGAGTGGGATGGCTACAACTATGACCCGTTATGGGTGGGATTCCTGGTGACCTATTCGGAGGGGGACCACCGCTTGACGATCCTCTCCCTAATAGTAGCTTGATGGCATCGAACTTTCGTGTTTGCGAAATGCTCTTTTGGACAAACTGTTCGTTCAAGGCAAGTCTTATTTCATTCTCCATCTTTACCTTTCTGACATCGACGGCGATCAAAGACATCTGCCTCGAGAACCGCAGCTGCTTGATATGCATTAAAAGGTCAGCGTCGTAGAGTCTGCACAGTACCACAGTACAGTTCCACTGCCGACCTGAGAGCGACAGCGCGATACACGTGATGAGGCATGACTGCCTGTCTTGCCTTCCTGACCGTCGTGGTCAGCTTGGCCCTCCCATTTCTAGTAGGCTGGCATGCATGCTGCGGTGATCTTGTCTTTGGTCCGTATTCTTGATGGTCAGGCGGCCTCTATGGGGTGCTTCTGGTGAACTGCCCCTGCTACATTCAAATGGCGACGGCATGCAGACGATGGATTAGCAAGCCTGTTGCTGTCACAGAGAAAGCGGATGCAGCGGCTCAAAATGCTTTGCCGACACAGAACGACACAGTGTCACCCGCAGGAGGGGAAGATTCCGAAATGCAAGCCGAAGAGGAGATCTTCGAGATTATCTTATGGTCGTCAGTCCCCTCTGAAGAGGAGTTGGTATCCTCTCTTTAATGACCTCTCATTCGAGACTTGAAGAAGAGGCTTTCTACTCAATGGAGTAGCTTCTCTTCAGCTTCACCACGTGTCTGCTCTGCCGGAAAATTAATTCCGCCGAGCAAGCATCCCTTGACTGGCCAGTACTTGCTGCAGCTTTCATGATCTATGTACCTGACCCGATCCCGCGGATACCAGCTGGATCTGACTTAGTAGCAAGATATCCTTGCCAGCCGCCGGCAGTAGTTGCCGTGCCTTTGTTGGCCATCCAAGGATATCCAGTGCGAAAGCTGGATCTAGAAGCGCAAATGCTGTCCAGCTGCCCGGTCCGTTTTGAGGCTGACGTGTTTCAGGGTCTCAGGCATGTTGCAGCATTCTGTGAGTCGAGTTTCGACGTGAGGGATGATAAAAACCCCCGAGAGCAGTTTTTAAAGTAGATGCGCCCGAAAGGTGAGAGCAATCGGTTTCCTTGTAAAACGATAAGAGTAAAGTGAAACGATATATAACGAATATGTGATACATCCAACAGTTTCAATTTCATCCAAAGTATTGTAAAACGATAAGAGTAGAAAAGCGCTAACGCTGTTGAGGGACAAGCAGATGGGTACGGAATTTTCACGCATCCCCAAGTCAGGTTCCGTCTTCAAAGAAAGCCTCTCGGTAGCAATGAGATTGTGGGGCACGCGCTCTCCGGCAAGAACTCATGACCGAGCCGCCCGCATTGATGCTTTTTCATTCTCGATGTCGTAGGACCTCCCGAAAACCCTCGCCCACAATTTGACTTGGTGCTTCATCAGCTAGACCAACGAAAATACCAGTTTCAGGATTGGTTCCTCTTCTGGAGCGAGAGTGCCTCGTCAAAACGGTTCAATGTAGCAAGAATCTGAGAGTCAGGCACCGTAGGAAAGCTTTCAGTAAACCGAAGTTCGTGCTGCCTTGCAGACCATGAAACCTATGGAGCGCGTGATTGGTGTTGCCCTCCCACTCCGATGCGGGGACACATAGACTTGCATTTGCTGCAGAGTATCCGACGTGTAGAGCCTGTACTTCACTATGAGCATGGGCCCGCCGAATTTCTGCTTCGTGCGTGTTTTAGGCTGCCTGACGTTGTAGACGAGCTCTTTGGTCGCAGCGAGCGGCTTTGTGCTTGGGCCTTAACTCCATTCTCACGGAAGGGCCTTGTGCTTCTTCCGAAGTGTCGTGGGGAACAGGAGCTCCAGCCCTTCTTCTCGCCGGGCGAGCCGGCAGTGAATCGGCACCTTGAACTTTTTGTTCCATTGAGCGGTTCCTGACCGCCTAGCCTCAAATCGACTGAGGTACATGACCGGGGGTGGTATCGCGCCTCACATCGATAGAGTTGCTTGTCCTCATTGAAACGCACAGCGTGCAATGGCGTAAGCGAAATTACTCTCAACACATGAGAGATTGAGTTCAAGAGTTGAGGAGGCGATGACCCTGAACGTGGTGCTCTCAGAGCCCGGCGCCTTCACAGGTGGTGGTACGGCCTTCTGGCCCCAGGTGGGCTTTCCCTTCTCAGTTTTCCCCTTGCTTGGGTCCTGCCGGTGGAGCTCCCTGAAAACCTCGGCTCGCAGGTTGACGGCCAGAAGGCCGGAGAAGTCGAGGCAGGGAGCTCGCCTTAGCTCGACCCAGTTCGAAGATTGATATGATTCGACATGCGTTGCATTTCCAGCCTTCGTGTCAGACGGGCAGCGAGAAGTTCGACCTGTGCACCTTGGAAGGAACTTGCTATCGTGGCACTGTGAGACGGTGCCAGCCAACGTCTTGTAGCTTCGAGTTCTCAGCATGGTGTATACATGGGTTTGACACCCTGTCGTGTCTCAAGCGATAGTTAGAACCAGACGTTTCTGAAATGGCCCAAAATCGGCACAGATCCCGACACATCCCAAGGTCATGCAGCAGTTCTTCGGCCAAGGCAGGGCACTGCGATCCTTTTCAACGGCTGCTTGCCAAAACATCGCTGAGGCAACAGTTGTGCGCCCTTCCCAATGAATTTTTGGACATGGCTAATTTTTGCAGGGCTTCCATTGCCGCGTCATCAACTCACCCAGCGAAGCTGCATTCTGGCTTTCTGTCAGTCCACCTTGCCCACCTGTTGACAAAGGTCACATCACTCACGCTGGTCGTCCGGTGATTTCGGGAATACGCCATGCATATGTACCCAAGCTTGAATAGCATTTTTCATCGTCGTTCAGTAGGAGGGGAGCCTGCTAGAAGCCGCCAAAGCTTCTCACTGCCTACTAAAGTCAGCTCAGATCAGGTGGCCAGCTTCAACTTGGTCAGCCTTGATGGCGACTGAAGGAAAACAGGGAGCCGGAGCGACACCATGCAATGTGCGAAGAGGGAAGGGCAAGTTCGAAGTTACTCTTCCTCTAACTGGTTTCTGCATTTGCCTGTGTTTCCATCCTCAGCAAACTTCCAAGTATTCAACAACAGTGAACGAGTAATGGAATGCCGTTGTAAGAGCTAGCAGCAGCTCAGTCGTCAGTCGAACTCACTGAATTGTGGTGTTTTGCCATTCGATTGGAGGCGGCTTTGGCAGATCTTGTCACCACAAAGCTTGGTGATGAGGTGCGCAGCACATCCCACAGCCGGTGGTGCTTCAAAATCCTGTCATTTGCCTAACGTTGCTACGGTCTCGAGCTTCGGCACGCATGAGCGAGACTTGCAGATTTTCTGAGTTCCAGTGCCTGCTTGGCCACGAGATTCGCACAGAAGAGTCGCTGCTTTCACTTCAGACGGACTAGCGTTCAGCTCACGATTGTTCCAGGATGGGCTATCGCAAAGCGCTTTTGCAGAGTTGGTGATGCTCCTGCTGAAGGCATTGCGCACAGCTCAGTCACACTTCGTCGTGTTGAGATCCACGGTGGCTGTTTCGAGCATGCAGGTCTGTGTGCGGCAAAACGCTGCATCCAAAGCAGGAGCCATTTTTGGTGTGGAAGCTAGCACGGGATTGGAAATGATTCGTTTTTGGGTCTTATGCACCCGAAGCTGTTTCACTGGGGGTGCTGCCCGACGTTTATGCGTGCGAGATTGCAGACGAGAGAAGTGCTGCACATACAGACATGCAGGACTCGGACTAGATCCCAAAGAAGAGGAGGACCTGGCCTCAGAACGGCAGTGGGTGCGACTGTGCTGACGGGATGTGACACCTTGCTGCTCTGACTGAAAATCACGACCTTGCATGCTACGCATTCGACCCGGGGCCCAGCAAGGGCTCGAAGCAAGCGAACAGAATCCTCCTGTTCACAGGGTAATCCGCCGCCGAAAGCAGTGTTGGAGTTGCTCATCTTCGCGGCGCCCTGTGCCCAGAGCGCAACACACATGGCAAGGCTCATCGTAGCATGTGCGATTGCCCCAAGCGGTGGAACATGAGAAGTCGTCTCAGGTGGATTTGTGCAGCCATATGGCGCCTACCAGCGCAAGAGAGGACCAGGTGCATGCATTCTGTGTGTACGCAGGAAACGACTCTGTGCTGTCATCTCAGCAGTCAATTAAGATTCTTCTGAATCGACCGGCTTCCAAGTATTCGTGCGGAATCCGACCACGAGCTCCGGCGGTTCTATTCTATGCCACCTGGGAGAATCCCAGCTTCCAAGACTGCTTGATGTTTATGCGACGTATGCGTAGCACCAGTTTAGATTGCAGAGTACTTACATGGCTACTGCATCCACCGGCCTGCAAGGTCTTGTCACGATCTGTCAGCAACTGAAGCTCAGGGCTATTGGAACACTTATTGAAGCCATGCGAGCACTCCTGCAGCTTTAATCGTTCATTGGAAAGCTCTTGTGGCCCCTGGCGGCGTCAGCATCTGTAGCAAGCTCGGGAGACTCCAACGGCAGCTGCTGAGGAAGACTGTAGGACTGTAGGTGGGGACTCGATGCTTTGCACAATGAACTTGCAGGCTTGCCTACTTACAAGGCGACAAGACCGAGTCCGTCGCTGTGTTGGCGACGATGCTGAGGCCAGTCAAGACATAACCGTAGGTCCAGTCTTGATCTTAGCAGCATACTGAATGTCAGCGAATTCTCGCTGAACTAGACAGGCTGCCGAGCATTCCATGAAAGAGAGAAGCTATCATGCATCCGGGCGTCTGTGCCGTGTGGGCCAGCAAGTCGGATTTCGATTCCACAGCTGCAGAATTGTTGCAGGAGGATGAGCGATGTATCAACAACCCGTTTCCTCGAGAGATCTCTGAAAGCTCTTGGAGTGAGTAGGCTGACCACTCGAGATATTACTAGGGGACATGTCCAGACACCCCAGGGCATCACATCACATGTTGAGTGACCGTCATGCGAGGAACGTTGTTTGGCCCTCCGTAGTATCCTTTCCTCAAGGCCCTTGCAGTTTCTTGTTTGGATGCACGGCCCGAAGTTGCGGCTTCCGAGTTAATTGCCACAGAAGCTGGCAATGCTTCAACGGAGTGTATGTCAGTACTGGCCTCTTTGGCTTGCCCTGCTCCATGCAGCAACGGCTGCTTCTTATTGCAGTTCCTCTGATTCGGGTTCATGCATCGGGCAGTTGCAGAGCCTGAAGTGGAACTATCCCAGGGAAGACCCAGTCTTTGCAGGGCTGCTACCAAATTACAGCAACCTCGTAAGAGCGCCCTACCTGTGCGATTTGGACTTGGATGGACTCGTGGACCGTCTAGACGTCAACCAGTCCGGGAGCATCGTGTTCTCCCGACGCATTGCTAAGCATGCGCTCGCGCAACCTATTGTTCCTCGCAACTCTTTGGGAACATTGACATGGTGACATGTTACTTGTCCATGTAACTTGCGTTCTTTTTGACAAACTCCGTGGCCGTGACTCAGGTTCTGGCAGACGTCGGAGCAGTGGTCGACACCGACGTGACGAGATATGTCAGTCAGCTGCAAGCTGTCGATTGGGATGCGGATGGTGACCTAGACCTCTTCGTGTTCAACGCCGATGGACAAGGGAAGGCATTATATCTGGAGCAAGTGCCAGCCCCGAATCCCTCCAACTGGAGCTTCGTTCTCCGGATGGGGACCGCGAATCCCCTTAGGCCGGGTTTTGATTTGAAAGGCTTCATTCAGATCTCATCATGATAGGGTGTATGCAGTCGACGAGGATGAGATTGTAGGAGACCCTTTGGAGCCAAGTACAGTACACCTTTAAGAAGGACTGTTTCAGGGAACCTTTCAAGCCTCAACCAAACGAGTTCCCGGTGTCAGCTGAAGTTATTTTCCTGCGCAGATGCGCCGCAGGTCCGTGAGAAGCCAGGGACAGGTCCAAGTGATTGATTGGGACCTGGATGGGGACTTGGATGTCCTTTTTGCAGAAGGGCCTTGGTCCATTAGAGCCCCAAACTTGGATGATCTTGCGTACAAGGACGAGCCGGAGTTTGGATTTCTTGAGAACATGGCCGGTGAGCTAGTGGCAAGGGTCGGCAAAGACAACCCGCTGAACGGCTTGTCGAGCCCGGCCAGGGTCCTGGCAGTTCACGCAGTTGATTGGGACTCCGATGGGGACGTCGACCTTTTGTTTTGGGAGTTCTCAGGGTGGAAAAACTATGGGGCGTACAGCTGTGGTTTAGCCTATTACGAGAACTCTGCCAGCGGATCCTTCACGAGGAAGGAGCGCTTGCTTGAAGACGAGATGGTGAATGGCCCCACAAGCCTGCAAGCTATAGATTGGGATATGGATGGACTCTTAGATCTTCGCGTAGGGCCTTTTATGTTGAAGCGCAGTGTGCGGGGGACAATAGCCGAGCGACCAGCTCAACTTAATCCATTGGCTTCACTCGGATTGAGCTTTCATGGCTTGGCATTTGTGGACTGGGATGGCGACGGCTTGGTGGATGTCTTGGATGCAGGCAATGGGGTTCTCCGGTTTTTCCAAGCTCGTCAAGGCGAGAGCGCGCTTCCTTCACCTGAGAGTTTTCCACAGGCCGGGCCTGCAGAACAGAAGCTTGAACAGAAAGCTACAAGTGTGTTTGAAGTGAGCAGCTCCAGTTGTGAACAAACATGTTGGCACCCATGCGTTGAACAGAACCGTTGCAGTTGGCAGGATTCCGTAGAGGCCTGCATGTTGAAATCGAACTCTTGGGCCACGAAACGTCAGGTCCAGATCGACGACAACACCGTTATTGCTGCAGGAGACTGGGACGGCGATGGAGACGCCGACCTGCTTGCCCGGGACGCCAATGGGACGCTGCGCTACTACCAGCGGTTGGATGCGAGCTCCATTGGTTCACTTGCAGCGACTACTGAGGATGACAATCCGTTCCAGCATGTCAATGATACAGAAGTGAGACAGCTCCAAATGGCAGATTGGAATGGGGACGGGAGGACAGACCTGCTACTGCTTCGTCGGAAGAGATATTGGCATGAGGTGGTACTGTGGGAGCAGCTTGAGGGTGGTGGCCTTGTCCGCCGGGAAGCTGTTGTCTCGAGTGACTTTGGTAACCGTCGTGGCTGTCACTTTTCGCGGTCTTCCAACTATGACTGGGATGAGGCTCAAGCATTCAGTGTGGTTGACTATAACAGGGATGGTCGTCTTGACTTCATTGGAAAACGGAGGCACCAGTATTCACGAAGCCCACCAGGATCAGGCACTGGAGAGGTATTCTTGTGCGAGCGCACACCGAGTGGTACTTTGGGGGACAGAACGCAGCTGTTTTCCTATGAGAGCTTCAGATATCAGAATTTCATCCATGTTACGCCCTGGGATACGAGCCAAACCTTGAATTTTGTGTTGGATTCGGACATGTGGACACCGAGTTTCTGTGTGAGAGAGGGCGCGTGTTCTGGCAGCGGTGCCTGTGCCCCTCATGGTTGCCATTGTGCGACCGAGCACCATGGTTCAGCGGACTGCTCCCTGTGCACTCCCGGGTATTACGCAGCTTCCAGAGCCTTTGGCTTTGGAATTGACTGCCTTCGCTGTGCAGGTGACCAGCGAATCTGCGCAGCTCGTGGTTTTTGCAATGACGACCAAGCCGAGGGACGGAAAGCACGGGATGCAGGTTCCAATGCTACAGCAGTCTTGAAGCAGGGCAATGGATCTTGCACTTGCAGCGATGCTCACTTTCGAGGTACAGACTCCGCAGGCAGGACCACCTGCATGCTGGGCTCCTGCCCTGCAGGGATGCAGCTGGTGGCCAATGCCGACACGATGGTACACACTTGCGAGGCGTGCCCGAAAGGAACAGCGTCTGCGAATGGCGATCCCTGCCAGCAGTGCACTCCTGGTCGTGCGGCTGAACAACAAAGCAGTATGTGCTTGCCGTGTGAGGCTGGCCGCTTTGTTGCCTCATTTGCAGCCGCGGTCTGTTTGCCCTGTCCACCTGGATCGTTTTCGGATTCTGGCCAGCCTTCGTGCGTGGCCTGCTCGGCGGGTTCTGTAGCCGGCCCTGCCAGTAGCCAGTGTGCTCCATGCAAGCCGGGGCGTTACGCAGGTACGGCAACTGAATGTTCCCCCTGCCCTGCTGGGACGACCTCCTCTGAAGGACAGACTTCCTGCATTGCCTGCATGCCTGGCCGCGCCGTGCTCCCCAACGCTACAAAGTGCACTCCGTGCCAAGCTGGGTATTTCAGGAATGGGACCAAGACGGAGTGCTCCGCTTGCTTGCCAGGCTTCTCCTCGGATGAAGGACAGGCAAAATGCACTGCCTGTCCGGCGGGTTTTGTGGCTGGATCTGCTAGTAGCCAGTGCAATCCGTGCGAAGCCGGGCGGTTTGCAGCTGCCTCTGGAGCAGACTGTCTTCAGTGTGCGCCGGGCACTTTCTCAAATGCAGGACAGGCAAAATGCGCTGCCTGTCCGGCGGGTCTTGTCGCCGGATCTGCTGGTAGCCAGTGCAAGCCATGCGAAGCCGGGCGGTTTGCAGCTGCCTCTCGCGCAGAGTGCCTTCCGTGCGCTGCGGGCACCTTCTCGAGTGCAGGACAGTCCGAGTGCACCACTTGTGCGGTAGGCTTCGTTGCTGGGCCCGAAAGCAGCCAATGCCACCGTTGCGCTCACACGCTTGTCGTCATGACCTCAGATGGATCTCGGCAGGATTGCCATGCAGACTTGAATTCACTTGTCTTCCTCCTGCTGTTCATGGCCAGCGTGAGTGTTTGTGTTCACCTTGGCCTGAAGAGCTTGTCCTTTTATGCACTGGCTATCTCTGATGTGTCCACGAACAAGGGCGGCTCGGTGGTACTCACAACCCACCATCCACACAGAGTCCTGCGCTGGAGCTGGTCTCGGCCCGCAGTTCAACTTCGAGGAACGGGAGTCCCTGACCTCGACGCAGGAGCTTTCAGATTCAGCGCCAAGGCTAGTGATAGCAAGCACCTCATCCTCTCCGTCTGCGATCCCGAGCACGCGAGCCGCCTGGGCTCTCTCACCACCAGCTCCATGGGAACTCTCGTCCTCGGCTCCCTGAACTTCTGGCTCTATGCGGGGCTGCTGGGCGTCCCCTTCTCCCTTTGGCTCCTGCCGCTGTCGGCCCTTGCAGTCTGGTCGGCTTCAAAAGCTGGGCCCTTAGAGCTTAGAGCTTGGACTCCAAGACCCCGCCCGGAGCACAGATCAGCCATGTGCAGCCAAATCGTGGCCTCGGGTGGCTCACAACGAGTAAATGTATGTCTGCGTTGCGGGTTGTAGGAGGTTCGATGCGGTGTTCGATGAGCCCTTGGACCCAGGTTTCGGGGCTTGAGGGTTAAGCTCCGGGACCAAGGTCCAGCCTGCGATGGCAGGGGTTGTCACGATGTCTGCTGTGCTGATCTTCATGGCCTTGCGCCTTCTGAAGCAGCTGGCATCCCACACTCCGATTGCACAGGCCAGGACTCGTTGCGGTCGTAGGTTTTTTAGCTCTTGGGGTTTGAGAGCAACAGATCTGAGCAGAAAATTATGCATCTGCAAAAGTGACATTGAGATTTTTGCAGAACCACAATAGGGCCAGGTCATTCAAGATAATTAGCATCCAGCGTACCCGCACATGCAACGCATCAAGTCGGATGCCGCAATTTTTGTCAGACCTTTGCCAGACGATATCAGACGCAACGGTGTGTAATGACAATGATCCTCTGCAAGGGAGCTTTCTGAACAAACCCCTAAGCCCAATGACAAAGAAAGACAAGAGGCCCGACGGCGTTTCGCCCAGCAGCTGCTTGCAAGCCGCGTCCCGAAGCCCTGCGAGCGCGGCTCGTGGCGAGCGATGTGCCTCGGGTTTCGGTTTTTAGAGTGCTTCGGATCAAGGATAAAAAGTAAGGTGACTTAGGAATGGGGCTTTTTCGGATAAGTTGAGCTGCAGTGTACTAGAGGCTCAGAGGAGGCGCGCTGTCGTTCACCATGAAGCTTCGATACTCTGCGCCGGGGGTTCGTACTCTTTTCGCGTCTCCGTTTTGTACTAGATAGGCGAATGCTACTCTAATTGGACTTTGCAATGGTTTCATAGACTCTGCCCACTGTCCTTCACAGTTACTTTTGACACGACAACACCTAAAATCACTCCACCTCGAAGCAAATATGACCAGCTCGCATTCAAGAGGGCATTCGCCGAAACTTTCGCCAGCATCGTGGTACAGCAGGCCCGCATCCTGAAAACCGATCCCACCCCACCCGCCACCGATATTTTCACGGATGGCGCTTGCCCCAACCAATACAATGTCATCGTAGACAATCCGGCTGTTTGGGGATTCACCATAAACCACAACCAGGTCTGGATAGATTCCTGAGGCCAGGTTGGGGAAGGCTTAAATTTTTCTCTGGTTGGTTCCAACAAAACGGCCGAGCTCCAGGCCCCATTACAGGCCCTTGATTTCGTGGCACGCCGCAAAGAGCGTCACGACATCTCAAGCATTAACGTCTAAGTCTATACCGATTCGCAGTTGGCCTACGACTTTCTCCATGGCCTATTCTCCATGCCCTATCCATCCCCACAAAGCACCAGCACCTGCTGACACAAATTCGAGCCTTGATTGATGATCTGTTACCACAGATCAACATTGCCCTTATAGAAATTGCCCCAGCGTTCGAACAATTATTTCTTGAGGAACAGGCCGCGGCGCTACAGCTCAGCAAGCCTCTCTAAAAATTGCCCCATGCACTAAGCAGGATCAAACCCATACATAAGCGAGATCCCACAAACGACTCATCGACCGAATTGCGGCGATCCCACCAGATGATGACGATCTCCTCCAACAAATTCGTAAAGCCGTCAAACGTCGAGCCCAGAAAGATAAGAAACAACACTTATGTGACAATCTCCTGCACGATAGCAAAGGCCCTCCGTCAAACCAATGGTCCACCCTAAAATACTTTCGACAAGACTACGCTCCCCGAACTCAGGGCGTCAACGGCCAAATGTCTACTAAAGCCACCAAACCGGAAGTTTTGGCCAATCACTTGGAAACCAATGTTTGGAACCATTGCGACCTCCCCGCTCTCCCTGACTCTCTTTTTTTCCTCCAGCCGCCATCGACACCCTTTACGGAATCAGAACTCATGAACCCGCTCTCGGCTCCCGGCCCAGATCTGCTGCCCGCCGAGATTTGGAACTACACCCCACGCGAGGTCCGCAAGGCCTTAATTATCACATCTCAATAATTAGGTCCTTTACACAATCTATCTCGCCCAAATCATGGAAGGTGCAGCTATCGTCATGATTTTTAAGGGTAAGAAGAAGGACCCCACTTTAGCTATGAGGTACCGGCCGATTTCTTAATTAATAATGTATGTAAAACTAATGCCTGCCTTCTCCATGTCAGACTGAAGGAAGCGATCGATGACCGAATCTTCCCAGTCCAATTCGGATTTACATCCGGCAAATCTACATCCACCCCCTCTTTTGTGCTCCGACGCCACCACGAATCATTGTGTGCCCTTTTCCTGAACTGGTCTCAAGCGTTTTGATTCAGTTTCTCATGTGGCGCTGTGCAACGCATTGCGCCGAATTGGCATCCCAGACAAATTCATAAACCTTGTCCTATCGATTTACCAAGACTGTACGTTTCAAGTCAAGGCGTCGGGCTACTCCTCACCAGCAAGGTATCAGACAAGGTTGTCCTTGTCCACTATCTCCCTACCTCTTTGTTATCACCTTATCGGTGCTATTCCGTGATACCTATTGTGAAACCTATCATGCGTATGTGAAGACATATGGACCACGACCATCGGCCCTTACCAGCGGATTTTCCCCTCACAGACGTGGAGTATGAGGACGACACTGTTCTTTTATCTCGCACCAGATTGTCATTACACCGTCTTCTCCACACGCTTCAAGCCCACTTTTACATGAGGGGCATGTCCTTTCCCTTAACCACGATAAATGCCAATTGTTGGCCAGTAACGCAGATTCTCACATTTATTTGACCAACTCTAACTGTCATCCCTGCCTGTGCGATGTTTGCCAGGCTAAGGCAACTCTCTATCTCCAACAGGAACTACGCAGTGACCCAAAACCCCACGCAGACTATTTAGGAACAGTTGAAACCTATAACTCCTCAGCGAAGGAGAACGCTAAGAAGCGCTGCCCATAGGCTTCTCACACGGCTAAATGCCTCCACGACTTGTTAAAGCACTCTTTTATGATCACCACGAAGCGAAATTGCTAGCTGCTAGTACATTCCCAGATTGTCCTAGCCATCCAGCCCTATGGCTGGGAATCACAGATGTACCTCCAATCAAGCCTCACAAAACTCAACAAATTACACTATAAGGTCTTAAGAGAAATCTTCAACATTAAGAGCTCATTCTATCACAAAGGCCTCGAACCCTCGGAGGCGGATTGCTCGACTGAATATCTTTCGCAGCTTGCTTATGAATATGCCAAGAACTTTTATCTCCTTCACAACATATCATTTCTTCCAGAATTTCATATCTTGTCCATATCCTTAGACACGCCCACTCAATAGAAAAGATTTCTACGTTCCAAACAGCTCATGTATACAGGCAATTCCACAGAAAACGCCCAGGCCACCTCGAGTACATTGGGCCGAACGGACAATGACACAGGCGTATCAACGCCAACAGAGCTTGTCCTCTGACGCCCCTATCCCCCGTCCCCACCAAATACACCACGAAATGTTTCACCATCCGACGGAGAGAGAGAGAGAGAGAGAGAGAGAGAGAGAGAGAGAGAGAGAGAGGTGGCTGCTGCTCACCCTAGATGTTTCGGCAACACCGACCTTTGGCGGACCCTACAGCCGTTAGCTTCAAATTGGGAACTTGATCAGCTAAAAGGGCTGCTGACGAGTAGTCTCACTTGCGGATGTGCTCTGCATGATAGAGAGAAAATGGCTGAGTTCGTCATCACAGTCTTTATGGCTGTAGCCGAATGGATGTCCTACACTCGTTCGTCTCTCCCCCTGTCCCGATAAACACTATCGGGTGGGCTTTTAAGCCCGGGGGCCTTGACCGGTCCCTGTGCCCAGGAGAGAGAGCGAGAGAGAGAGAGAGAGAGAGAGAGAGAGAGAGAGCGAGGCTAAGACGCCTCCTATGCCCTGCAGAAGAAGAGAGACAGGCTTCCTTCGGTCGTGAAGGGCGCTCAGCAGTTAAACGAGTTTCCAACATTTAAACTCTGGAAAATGTTAAAGTATTTAGGACTGTCAGGCGCATCGAGCTCTTGCTCGAGTTCTACGAGTTTTTCAAAGCCTTCATCCAGGACTGCATGTCGTGGTGGGTTGTACAAGACAGATTAATCGCTAAAGCGGGACCGCGGAGCCGCAGGCGACACGCCGCAGAGCCCGTTTGTGATCGGGTGACAACAACTCCGCTTCGTACATGCATCCACGCGCTGTCATAAGTAAGTCCGATGAGCGCTTCCCTGTAGGATCGTTCGATGTACTACATCTGCTCCAACTTGGTGATTCCACTGACAGAGCCCGACAAGTTGTCCTATGCCGAGCTAGTGGGACCCAGTGAGACCGCGTGGTTCATTAGCCACTACTGGGGTATGGGCCTTCGGCACTTCGTCGAAGCCATCGTTTGCCATTCCAAGACAAAAGAAGCATCCGAGGCGGTTGCCAGCTATTGGATCTGCACCTTCAGCAACAATCAGTGGCAGGTTGTAGAGGAGCTGGGAAGCGGTGACTGGCAGGAATCCTCCTTTTTCAAAGCCTTGAGAGGCCCCAGCTGCAGGGGCACCGTCATGATCATCGACGAGGCCGCGTTGCCGCTGCAACGGGCTTGGTGCTTGTTTGAGGTGCTGCAGACAAACCTCCGGTCCACGGAAGACAGCAGCTTTCTGGGGTTCCGGCTATGCACGTCCACAGGCGTTCTGAATGAAGGCGGTGTTGGCACTGACCTTTGCATGACTATTGCGGGCAAGCTGGCGGCTTTGGATCTGCGCAACGCGCAGGCCAGGACAACAGGTCAACCGTTTTCTGAACTAAGCAGAGATGCGGGTATTTAGGATTCTTGTTCACTTCGAGCAGGCTTTAATTTATCCAACCGTTTTTGTAACGTGTTGGAACATAGCTCATACATCAGCATCTTCTAGACACTGTGGTCCCGAGCCTGCCATCCCAAACCTAACCCCTGCGCTGTTGAAGGCTTCAAATCCACATGACTTGCAGATGATCCAATCCTTGGTTTATGCCATGCCGGGTGGCTATGATGCCATGAATGCCTTCGCAACTCGTGTCTGAAGAAAGTCTGTTTTAAAAGTCTTTGCATTTCTTTGCTTCAAGATACAGCGAGCTGCCGCACCTTCCCTACACTCTTCTGAAGAGCGGCACAGAGGGACCTTAAAGAGGTGCACGCCAGTTCAGGTGCGTGCCTCCATCCGCGAGGCCCTCCTCTCCGTCAAGACCCGCTTCTCGGTTGGCCGAGTCGTTTCGAACAATACTAAAAGATACTACAAAATACTTCCCCTGTATTGAAGCTGGAGGCCCAAAGTCCCGCACGAGGCTTGGCGAGTGATTCCCCAGAACCAGCATACTGGTTTCATGCGGGTGTAGATTGCTCTAGAATCGCGATCCTCAACCTGAGCCTGTAGTACTGAGCTTTCTCCTTAAACTCTGTACGATCTAAGGGAATCTGTACATGCGTCTGCATAATCGGAATACAACCGGAGCACCCGAGCCTGAAGACCGCATGAGTTGAGGCTTTGAGGAGGATTTCAAGAAGATGCTGGATCGCTTGTAGACTTCTGGAAGCATACGTCCAGTGACTCGTACAATTTTTTTAGAATGGGGAGTCTCTCACCCGACAGTTTCGACGCCTTGGATGCTGTCTGGTTTTTCAAGCCGCAGCCATGGTGCTTGTGTTGTGCACGAAACGTCTCGGACTAGTGACCTCTCAGTGAGATGCTCTTTGCACTGACCGTTCCGCCCCATTGTTCCAAAACATGCTTCCTTGCGCATGCACGACCTATCTGTTGTCTTCAGGATAGACGCAAAAACTTGCTCTTCAAAGAACTGCTGCAGAGCCCTTGGGGCGGTTTGTGAGGTCGCGAGGGGTGCGTTGCGGATTTTGGAAACTGAGACGCCCTAGCAGAGGTGGGGTGGCAGTAGTGAGGTAGCAGTAGCACTAGCAACAGCGGTATTGGTAGCAGTGGCAGTAGCAGTGTAGTAGCTGGCGCAGAAGTCATGATAGCCGATCGTTTTCGCTGTAGCAGTCCAAGCAGTTTGGGAGCGGCAGCAGGCCGCTGATTCGGGTGTATTTTCAGAGAAAGCCGAGCCGATCGGTGGAATGATGGATCGTGCTCAGCCCTAAGTTCTCAATATTTTATGTGTCTTTGTTTGGTCCTCGTTTCCTTTTTATTTCAAACAGAAGAAGAGAAACAACAACGACAATTTGCCCAGCGAACCAATGTTTGCTTTTTACTGTCTGATGTCCTTGTTTCCTCTGTTTTCGAACATTTTTTTAGAAATAGCATCTCAGTCATTGTAAATGTTGCATCCATTTGCAGCCAACACACTATGATCCGCCTGGAACTTTGCAATGAGTCTCCCGAGACAGTCCCGAGACTCAGTGCGTTTTTTGGAGTGTTTTTCAAGCTGCTTGGCTCCAACAGACTAGGATCCAAGCAATGAGTTTGACTAGCAGTTGTTGTTATTTCCCTTTTTCTGCTTGAAATAGAAAAAAGAAACAAGGACCAACAACAAAAGCAATAAGCCCTAAGCTGCAGCCCTAAACCCCAAGCCGCGGCCCTAAGCCCTAAGCTGCAGCCCTAAGCCTTTGACCCTAAGCCCCAAGCCCCAAGCTTCCTCCTACCTCACCCCGAAACCTTGAGCCCTGAGCCCCAAGCTTCCCAAGCAGTCGCCGCGCCGCGGTAACCCTCACGTTTTTGTTTTGTGGCTGTCTCGGTAGTGCTAGTCGTCGTCTTTGTGGTCGCAGTAGTAGTAGTCGTCGTCGTCGTAGTAGTAGTAGTAGTACTATTACTATTACTAGTACTAGTACTAGTACATCCCGGAATCCCCTCAAACAAAGCTATTTTGAAACAGTGTTGTTGCCAAACCCTTGCCTCATGTTTTCCTTTTGTTCTATTCCAACAGCAACACCCAGAACTATCGCAGGTCCAAAAGCAGCCGGCTTCGAAACTCTGTTCTATATTGACACTCAAAGCAAATTCGAAGCAGCGTTTCTTCCAAATCCTTGTCTTGTGTTTTCTTTTTCTCTGTTCCAACACCAAAACCTTAACTATCGCAGGTCCCAAAGCAGCCCGTTTGGGAACACTGATCGGTATTGAATATGAGACGGCAAGACCATGTCACAAAGTTGTTCAAAGACTCACAGAATTCCAACCCCCCCAGAGCAGTTTCGAAATACGTTTGTTTCCAAAGACCTGGTCTTATAAAAACCACCCCTCCATGCGCAATTCAACACCTGCTGCACGCCTTCTTGATTGTTTAGGGTGAGCTTTTCCCCTGCATTGTCTTCGAGGCTGCCGGGCCTGGCGACTTCGTTTGACCTTCGCATGGTGCGCCCAGAGTCATCAGATTAAGCCATGCTGATACACGAGTTCACGCGACTATCTGACTTCGGAGTCGCCGTGGACATGCAGGCACCCTGTGCCACTTCCGAACCGCATGCCAGGTCCCGATGGAAGAACTGCCGGAACTGCCAGAGTCGTTGAAGGCAAGGTGCGGCGAGAACGAGCAAAGTCATCCTGCACCCTCGCTCACGGGAGCAGAAGCTTTTGAGTTGTCATGTGCATGTCGGGATGGCAAGGTTGGGCTAGCAGGGCCCACGATTTCTTTTCCGTCACGGGCCTAGTCATGCATGTGCTCTCGATGTGTCAAATCCTCCGACCAGGATGGCTGCCCTCCCAGCGTGCTCGATGAAATCACGCAGTTTCCATTTATTGACTTGCCGGATGCGTATCTTGACCTCGTCAAGGACTGGAAACGCATGTCAATGTGGTAGTGCACAGATAGGATACCGTGGGATGTCAAGTCAATGCTAGTCAACTGGCTTTGGAGACTCTGCTGGTGGCTTCCGCATCAGACCCGACGGGAAGCTGTTTGTCGTAACTGTACCTGTCGTTGAAATGCATTTGAGTCGAGCATGGCAAGAGCAGCATTGAATCTCTTTAGTAGGTCACGCGCCGCGTGAAGCGCGGCTATCATCAACGTTTCTGACACTAACGCAGACACATATATAGTGATCAAAGGCGAGTGAACGCGACTTATTGCTGGAAAGGACGTACGCAAGAAGCCATGGACTCAGACTCCCTAATTTATGTGTGTGCGCGCCGGAAGCAGGACCGTGACGACGACTCTGCTAGCGGTGCTTCCCATTCTAGCCCTGTAGAGGTGTCCTGTTAACAGTTGATGGTACTGTGACCCTTCGAACATTTGTCGTGTACATGTTTGCAGGGTCCGACATTGATCCGGGGTCTGGCTTGAGCTTTAGCAGCTGCCCTGAATTCGGAGCTGCAGTGCAGTGATGCACCGCTTTCTCTGCACTTCGCGACGCTGTTTGCGTCCTAGCAGATCACCGCGATCTGAAGTGGCGAGAAATCTGTTGGGCTTGAAAGGGCCCTTGGATCATTCGAAGGTGCAGCAGCTGATCTCCCCGCAGCTCGCCTCCTGGAGACGAACGCCGAATGCCATCACCATGGTCCTCAACGAGCTCAAGCTTGAAGGAAGAGCGGAGCTCATCTGTGCGGTGCTCTCTGCTGTCCAGGAGGACTGGCTGGTGGACCTCACCTGCCATCACTTCAACATCGGCATCAGCGCCGCAGTTCGGTCTACGGACTGGAAGCATGCACTAGGGTTGCTCTCCTCCATGTCCATTGCGAAGGTCCGGCCAAACGTGGTCAGCTTCACTGCTACAATCAGCGGATGTCAGAAGTCTGGGCACTGGCAAACGGCCCTCACGTTGTTTGATGTTCTTCTCGCAGGCAGGCTCCAACCCAACCTGGTCACATACAGTGCCGTCATCAACTCCTGCAGGCGAGGCGCACAGTGGGAGCGTGCCTTGCAGCTCTTTCATTCCTTGCCTGATAAGGAAATCCTGCCGGATCTGAAAAGCTATGGTGCAGTCATCAGCTGTTGCGAGAAGGCAGGCGAGTGGCAATTAGCCTTTGAACTCTACCAGTCCATGCCGGCGTCGAAGATTCTGCCCGATGTCGTCAGCCATAATTCGATGCTTAGCTCTCTGGAGAAGGCCGGACTCTGGCAGCTGGCTTTCGATCTGTTTGCTGCGATGCCTTTCGCAAAGATGCAGCCGGATGTGATCAGCTACAGTGCCATGATCAGTGCTTGTGAAAAGGCCGGTCAGTGGCAATTGGCTGTGTCTCTCTTCTCTGGTATGCTCACGGCTGACATCCCTGCGGACGTGATCAGCTACAGTGCCACCATCAGCGCTTGTGAGAAAGGGGAGCAGTGGGAGACTGCTTTGCAGCTCTTGTGGAGCATGGCACATGTTAAAGTCTGTCCGAACGTCATCAGCTACAGTGCAGCAATCAGTGCTTGTGAGAAGGGCGGCAAATGGCAACTTGCCCTGCATGTCTTTTCAGACATGCACAGAACTGCCGTGCTGCCAAACGTCATCAGTTGCAGTGCAACGATCACATCTTGTGAGCGCGGAGCTCGTTGGCAACTTGCCCTGAACATTTTTGACTCCATGCCCAGAATCAACATCGCGCATAACGTGATAAGTTACAATGCTGCGGTGAGTTCCTGTGAGAAGGGGCATCAGTGGCAGCTAGCACTGCAACTCTTCGACGAAATGCCCATGGTACAGATCTCCCCAGATGTCATTAGCTACACCTCAATAATTGCTTGTTGCGAACGCGGGGCTCGATGGCAGGTGGCTGTCAATCTTTTTGCAAGCTTGCCAACTGTCGGCATCTCTCCGAATGCCATCACATACAGTGCTGCAATAAGCTGTTGCGAAAAGGCTGCTAGATGGCAGCAAGCTTCCGAGCTTTTCGATGCGATGCTAAGCAACAAGATGGTGCCTGACACTGTCGGCTACAATGCCACTCTTACTTCGTGTGAGCGTGGCGGTCAGTTCAGGCAGGATTGGAAAAACTCGGAATTGCAAGCGTCCCTGCTTTCCATGATGCAGAATTACAATGCAACAGCCAGAGATGGCAAGAGCCAGCTGGAGTTGGAGTTAAGTAGACAGGATCGCCTGGGCCTCCGTGGGCAAAAGAGACGCATATTGGAAGCATCGGTTTGTTCGTGTGTTCAGGTTTCGTGTGTTCAACAGCTATAGCCAGCATTGAAAGTATTGTGGCCAAGGATCAGGTTCACTCGCGGACAATTTGCTTTCATTGTTGTTGTTGTTGCTATTCTGTTCGAATCCAATGTTTGCACCTCAAGGCGTTTCGGCTCTCCATCTGAATTGAATTGAGCGGGATGAAGTGGACGCTACTCCGGTCCTCCCTGTCGAAGCACACGGCTGGCCCGAAGCTGGGCAGTCACGGCTGGCGGTTTGCACCATTAACGAGCCAAAGTGGCTCACAGCCACTGCCGGGTTTACTGGAGTCCGAAAGGTTGCGGTGTCAGAAGAGCGCATCGCAGTACTTGCGAGAACTCCGATCTGAGAATCATCCAGAATTGATGTGTTCCGTGCTTGAGACGATGCTAGAGGCTACCCATCTTCGCCCCAGCGCCGCGCAGATATTCATGGGAATAAGTGCCTGCATGAGGGATCGTCTCTGGGAGCATGGCCTGGCATTGTTGAGGGCCATGCCGAAGGCCTCCATTGCAGCAGACGTCATGCACTACAATGCTACGGTCAGTGGTTGTGGCAAGGGAGAGTGGCAGGTGGGCCTCTTTCTTTTCGAGGAAATGTGCAGCAAGCAAGTTGCACCCAGTCTTGTGAGCTTCAACACAGCTATTGCTTGTTCTGGCAACTGGCAACTGGGAATACACCTACTGACAAGTGGAATCCCAACGTCTAGGATGCAGCCGGACGTCATCAGCTACAATGCAGCAATCGGCTGCTGCGGCGGGCACGGACAGTGGGAGGTGGCCTTGTGGCTTTTCTATGCCATGATGGACACAAGGCTGGACCCAACGATTTATAGCTACGGGGCTGCGATCAATGCCTTGGAGAAGGGCAGCCAGTGGCCACTTGCAGTTGGCCTACTACGCTCCATGCCAGGCAAGAACATCATGCCCAATCTCATCAGCTGCAGCGCAGTGATAAGTGCATGCCACAAAGGGGGACAGTGGCAGCTTGCACTGAAACTGTTTCAAGATGCACTGGAATCATCAATGGACCAGAACGTGGTTAGTTACAGTGCCGCAATCTCCTCGTGTGAAAAGGGATCTCTTTGGTCCCTTGCACTCGACATGCTCGGTTCTATGCAAAATGAAAAGATCACGCCGAACGTGATCAGCTACAGCTCTGCTATAAGCGCGTGCGACAAGGGGCAGCAGTGGCTCCAAGCCATGCGCCTCCTCGAAGGCATGCCCGTGGTACATATCACTCCTAATGTTGTCAGCTACAGCTCGGCCATGAGTGCTTGCGCCAAGAGCAGTGAGTGGCAACTCTCACTGCAGCTTCTGGATGATATGGCCATAACCTCTGCCAGGCCAGATGTCGTAAGCTACAGTATAATCATACACGGCTGCAGGAAGGCGCAACAATGGCAACTGGCTTCGTCGTTGATCGACAGTATGGCGGAATCCAATATAACTCCGGATGCTGTTGCCTACAATGGGACACTGGACTGCTTAGTCCGTGCCGGAAACCTTTACCACGACATTCCACACTCCGACCTGCATGCTTCATTGACTGATTTGCTCCGAGGGACGGCCTCAGGTGCGATTTCCCGTGTTGCTGCAGACATCTTCAGTGCAGCCCCGCGAGATCTCCGAAGAAATCGGCCGGAAGCCTCGAGTCGTATGAAGGGAGTCGGGAGAGCCACCAAAGCCATCGTCTTTTTTCCTAACTCGTTTCGCTCAGTAATTCTCGGGATTGCATCGATCTGAGATCCGTTATTTCATTCAGTCCTTTCAGACGATATGTTGCCCCCAATTTGGTCGAAGTAGCTGCGAGGGTTTCAGCGCCAGTGTGCCTTGAACCGCAAAGAACCAGGCAGCAACCGAAGCGACCCGAAATGTCACAGGCTCTCGCCGATCGCACTCAGGCTCGATGCAGGGCAACCTTTCAGTGCCAACACAAAGATCGGACGCGTGTTGCAAGAACGGCACGAAGGCATTAGAATTAATCACAATGGCCCCGATGTGATGGAAGGACCAGCCGGGTTTTGTGCAGTATTGTGCCCTTCATAGCAGGTTTGCGGATTTAATTTAGCCTCCCCCGGTGACCGGTCGGCTGCCAATGCAGCGCCATGGCTTGTCGTGGCCCAACTGCGAAGTGGTGACTTCCCAACGAATTCTCGCACCATTGCATGGCCGACGTGCGGCACTTTGGACCCAGGACATGCAGGCCAAGAAACGGTGCTTCCAGCTGGACATGCCGCCGTCGCCAGTGCGAAACGTCAGCGGTGATATAGGCGCCTTGGCGCGTGAGAGACGGTGGCAGGAGTTGTTGACACTGCTGCCTGCCATGTCAGCTCAGAGCCTTGATACATCGATAATCGCATACAACTCGACGATCGCATCTTTGGGCAGGAGCAGACATTGGGAGCATGCTCTGGTACTGTTTTCTGAGATGCCGGCAGCAGAAGTGACCCCAGATGTTGTTAGTTACAACGCCACCATAAGATCCATGTCCAGGAGTTCTCTGTGGCAACCTGCTCTCAGTATATTCGCCTCCATGAGAGGCTCTGGGCCTGCGCCAAATGTCAGAACTTTCAACTCCCTTATCAGCTGCTGTGAGGAGTCGGGGCTGTGGCAGCTGGCATCCCTGCTCCTGTGTCAGATGCTTCTGAGACAGATACTTCCAGATGTGATCAGCTATACGGCAGCTATGAAGACCTGTAAGTTGAGTGCCCAATGGTCCTTGGCCTTGCAGTTCTTCAACCAGACCCACGGCACCAGGCTCAAGCCTGATGTAATTAGCTATGGCACCGTCCTGAGCTGCTTCGAGAGCACTGGGCAGTGGCAACAAGCTCTGCAGCTCTTCAGCGTCATGCCCGCTCACGTGCTACCCGACATCATCGCATGCAGTTCCGCCATCAGCTGCTGTGAGAAGGGTGCACAGTGGGAATTCGCGATATCAATTGCCAGCATGCTGCCTCGGCGAAGCCTTTTGCCCAATGTCGTCACTTACAGTGCGGCCATCAGTGCATGTGAGAAAGGTGCGCAGTGGCAGTTGGCATTGCAGCTGCTGACCGATATGACGCTGCGACGGATCTCGCCGAACATCATCAGTTTCAACGCAACCTTGAGTGCTACAGAGAAAGCAGGCCAGTGGCAGCTGGCATGCAGGCTCTTGGGTCGCATGCCAAAGAGGCAGGTGACACCTGATGTTGTCACCTACAGTGCTGCAATCAGTTCTTGCGAGAAGGGTGGGCAGTGGCAGATGGCCTTGTTTCTCTTCGAAAGCATGTCAGACGCGAGCATCCGTCCAAATAGTTTCAGCTTCTCAGCTGCCATCAGCTCCTGTCAAAAGGGAGCTAGATGGGAGCTCGCTTTGCACCTCCTCAGAGTGATGCAAGCATCCCGAAGCTTCGATGAGCTATGAGGCCTCGAAGCTTCAGCCGTCGAAGGAGAGCCTTTGCTTGCCGCCGAAGCGCGGCGGTTCTGTGGTCGGAAGTGGAAGCCATGCCTTCCAAGAAAAAGAAAGGGCCGGACACCACCGGACAGGCATGGACAGGCAGGAGCGCTGGTGTTCTCATGTTCTTTGCATCCTCTGAGGCCCTGCACGGCTTGCAGAAAGGCGGGGTGGACACCCGATGTGCTTTTTCAGCAATCTCCTCCAAGCCTCCAAGCATCCCTGGCCTTGTTGCAAGCCAAGCCAGCTCCAGCAGCAAAGGAGTCCGAGAACCAAACGGGTGTTGAGCACGAAGTCCCGATAAAATGTCTTCAGGTACTCCTCAACCCTTAGCAGTGAACCGCCGAGACCCGCAAAGGCTGAGATCCATACATCCCAAATACTTCAAACCACCCTGTAAACGGTCACGCCGTCACACCCAAAGAGGTCATGAGGAAGTCTCCTTGAGGGACCAGATCTGCAAAACGGGCTTCAGAAAGCATCTCTGGTGATTAATGGTTATGGTTCCTTCATGATGATTTATGTCATCAGTAGCTTCTACTCTAGACCCTACCCCGTTTCAGTCTCTTTGAATCCCCGATCCTCTTTGTCAAGTGGTGTGTGTCCTTGTGCAGTTTCCGGCCGAGCCTGCATTGTGTCTCTTGTGCCTGGAGCTCAGTAGGTTGCAATTGACTTCAATTTTGCGCTCCAATTTAAGTGTCTGGAAAATAGTAAGTACGTCAGAAGTAGAGTTCTACTCAACAGATACTTGCCGAGTCCACTGATTCTTTCAGGAGGGCCTTAGGGGCCTGGATGTGGGATGTACGGTGTAATGACATGACGAAACCGCCATTCTTCAGTCAGTCTGTGCAGTTCCGAGACTGAGATGGAACCTGAGCATGGTCTTCAGCATTCTACATTTGTTGAGTGTGGGCTCAGCCTAGGAATCGCTGTGACATTCGTCGTTTCCAAGACGGACTGATAGCCATTGTGCTTGTGTGGTTCTGTTCGTCAGTGCCAGCTGGTGGCGGGAGGGTGCTTCTGAGCCTCCCCGACTGAGGTGGAGAGATCGTTTGCTTGGGCAGCCGTGTGCGCTACCCAGAAGTTTGGCCTGGAGCAGTCGCTGGCCTCGTGTGTCCGCAAGGCTTGTCGCGGGCAAAACGAGCGAGAGGCGCGCTGATTTCTCTGAAGTCCCAAAAATCACGGAGGGCTCATGTGAGAGAGAGAGAGAGAGAGAGAGAGCGAGACTCGTCCAAAAAGTGAGAGCTCGGCATTGGCTCGCATGCTCAGGGCCAGTGCACAGAGCACGCACGGAGATGTGCTTCCGGGCAAGGCCTGTTTTTGCTGCCGCCGGGACCTGAGGCATCGTCATCAAACCTTCAGAAGCAGAGAGGGCACATAACAGCTTCGGAATTGCGTTCAGATGTGGCTTACACAGGAAGTTGGCTGCGGTTGGTCTGGCTGCAAAACAAAGACACTAGCGACACATGCAGGCAGCGAACTGTGCACGTTGCTTGGACAACAGCATGGGAGATCTGGCTGTGCGAAGAATGATCCCAAAGTGACGGCGAGAGATTGCTAACCCTGCTCGCAGAGTGAAGCTTTGCGGACGAGTGTCGAGCTGGCTTCGTGTTGAGCGTTGCCTCTGCCCCGCTGCAGCTCGTGCGACAAATCCCGTTGTGACAGTCGATGATCCTGTACGGTCGCAGAGTGCATCAGGGTCACTGAAGGTCACGGCCAAGTTTGGTTTTCTACACTTATACCATGTCAGCTGCACGAGGTATTTGGCGCAGATTCTTGCAGTCAGTGCTCCAGACTGCTGTCTGTGGGATTGCCCGTGCGCCTGGCTCTGTTTCAACGCGGCTTCACAGTGGAATTTCTTTCGGAACTCGATAGACTTCTTGTGTCTGGTCAAGCTGGGCCCGAAAATGTTCGATTCTGGGCAGGTACGTTGACAGAAACGGTGAGCTGAATCCCCACCTGAAGCGGCCGTGCATGATGCACTTCAGGTGAGGCTCCTAAGTGTGGCATTTTTCTTGCCAAGGTCAGCTGGCTGTCCACGGCGGTCTAGCCATGTGATCAAGAAACACAAGCATGCCAATTTGTTGCTTCTTTGCTCCTTCCCTATAGACAGCGCGAGTTAGGAGTACACCTACCGCAGCATGCATGTACCGCAAACCTGCTTTGTTGCCGGAAAGTCGTCCCAGAGCCCCTGCATTCCTCGAAAGCTCCGAGGCTTGACCAGCAACGCCTGGCCAGTTTGCGACAAACCTTCACGAGGTCTTCCATACGACGGGAAATCTTCCTGTGCGCCTGCGCTTATCTGCAGCGGCGAATGAAACGTCACGTCGAGCACCTTGTGCCGGAGTGCAGGTACAACGAGAAGACCGGACAATACATTCCTCAAGCCCTCTGAGCCAAAGAGTATGCTGAGGGACTTGTGGCTCGAGACAAAAGAGTTCTGCCACGGCAAATCCATGCAAGTTCCTCGCGCAACCTGCCAACATTGGGCAGCAGCAAAACATTCGCATATTGATTGGGACGTTCGTGCGCCCCGAATGCTCGCTGCAGGCTTTTGCCACGAGGGAAAGATTTTTCTCAGCGCTCAGAGCGTTGTTGCCAGCGGCCATGGCAGAGACACCTGCGAGTTTGAAAAGCACGACCCGACCCCAGGCCTCTGTTTACATCATTACATATTTGTCTATCGAATTTAGCTCGATGTTCACATACGTATGTATGCAAGCATGTGTGTGCTTACGCATACTTGTATTCATGAATGCGACGAGAGTGCAAGTACCCTTGACAAATCGTACGGTGCATTTGTGTGAATGAGTGAACGGGTGTATGTGCAAAAGTACATGTAGACTCGTAATTAGACTGCATTGTTTCGTACATAATGACATAATGTTGACTCGAGTAAGAAGACCCCTCCCTCCCCACCTTCCCATGGATGTGAGCCCCAGCCCGTGGACACCCGAGAAGCTACTGTGACACACAGAAGCCAAGCTAGAGTTCCAATCTGGTTTTGCTTGAGCCGGCGGGTTCTTCTTTCAGCTCATTGGAGCTTTCGTGTAAGTAGGACCGTGGTTGCGTTTTTTCTGCTCCGGCCACTTGGTTTGTTCAAATACCGGCGGGGGGAGTGGGGGTTCTAAGTACGTTCTGGTGGATTCGCAGTTACGCTGGGGTTTCTTAATATTAGGTTGACATTACCTCGGATGCTGGCTCTTGTGTATCTGCAGTTCACATTCTGCAGACGAAATCCGCGTGCACATATGCATGCTCATCGTTCTTGCGCATGTATGTCGGCTTGCCAGCTTATGCATGCATGCATGCATGCATGTGTGTGTGTGTGTGTGTGTGCGTGTGCGCGTCTTGTGCAATGTAATTATGCAAGTTTTGCGCTGGTTAGCATCTTCTCTATAAAAGGCACCGTCAACCATAGAGCCGATGACCCATCCACAATGATGCAGCGGGCCACCGATTACAATTTGTATCTTGTATTTATAGTTTGTCAAATTAGTTACAGTCGTTTCCCATGCAAGCAGTTTTGCTTATTCAATCCGATCACTTGTCTTATTCGCCTTTCCGGCTCATTGCCTATGTTTTGATTGGGCATTTAGAGTGGCCTCTTTGGTTGGCCTACTAGTGACGCTCAAGGTAATCTTAAACCCTGTCTGACCCCAATAGTACAAGCTTCTGGAAGCATTGTGATGAAGCGCTACGTTAAGGCTTTGAGAAGGATTACGATAAAGGTTACTCTGAGGGTCTCTGTCTTTAGAGAATTGCCAGCCTGCAGTGAGAGGCAGACCTGGAACCACATCTTTGTCCAGAATGCGAGGCTGGATGTTCTAGTACTGCGAGTTGTAGTGTCGGGTGTCAATGAAGGCTGGAACTCTGCCGTGACAGATTCTCACTGGATCTAGTGAACATTGTCTTACTTTCAGCACTCGACGGATCTGAAGCCCTGTCTCAGGGTATGCCTGCAGCGCCCGAGGTGGATGGTTGGGAGGCACAGTGTGAATCAGCCGCAGAGTTGCTTTCCCTGTCTCATATAGCTACTACATAGTAACCGTGCATCACGACTCGCATCACGTTGGGAACCCATGTGTCAGAGAATCCTGAAAAATTCTGAGACCAACGATCCCGAAAGTGGGCAGGCGACGAAGCAAATCGGCCGGACCCTGGCATCACTGTGCGGAGGCGACGAGGGGACCTACCCGAAACCCTCACAGATTCACTTTTGACTCGGAACCCGACGTCGGTAAGGACTTCACTGACTTCACTCGCTCGCATGGTCTCAAGGCTACTGGCTACTGTTTCCGACGGTCAATTTCAATCTGGCCATCAGGTGGTGGTGAGACAGCAACTGCAGGGCTCCCGGCAGAGCTGCGCCCCACAACTGGGGAGAGTGTGTGTGCACATGTTTTCATTCCGGGTTTCACACTAATTGCATGATGCTGCCTTCCTGAGCTTCCTTGGGTTGAATATCGGCCTGCGAGGTTGCTACGGAGAACTTTCACGACTTGCACGCCCGGCTGATCTCCAACGAGAACGTGAAGTTTGCAATGTTCAAAAACAAGGCACAGAGCTGTCCACGGAGATGCTATTGAAATGAATGTCATTCCAAGAGATCTCTCGTTGCTTGCACCCGGAATGGGGATACTTGATACAAAACCGCATAGAAATGAAGCACGTGGTTGGGAGGGCGAGCTATGCGATCAACTCAACCCAACCTGGAATGGCCAATGTACGCAGAGAGTCAGGGAATAATGAAGATTCCATCAAGATTGCAGTGCATGTCCATGCAAACGCGCAGACATGCAGGCACGCACTCACGCATATGTACATATCTATATACATATTAATTGTTGTATATATACATATATACACACACATAGATAGATAGATGGATAGACACATATACTAGTATGTATATACACATATTAACTTTATGAAATACATTAATTACACAAGTCAGATGACGCATCCACAAGTCGAGCCGAAACAGGACCTGTCAGCCTAATATGCAACCACTTACAGAGGCATCAGTAAGAATAGCCATTCTGAATACCGCTCCTTTCTGAGCGACGAAAAACTCGTGCTTCTGGCAATTCAGTTACCTTAAACGGCAATGTTGCCTCTTGCGAGGTTTGCATCAGGACATACTGAGTTACTAGGCTCTACAAACAAATCTGAGTAAGAACCGATGGAGGGAGGCGCGCCACTTGTGTCCATCGGTATTAGCCTGCGAGTTCTCTGGCCCATATTCATGTTGTCTGCTTCGTCTGTATCGTCTCAGGTATTTCTGGAGGAATACAGCAGTTTATTCCTCTGCCACCAAAGTGGAATTGGCTAGATGAGCGCAAATTCCTGATTGCCCTATGGCGGTTGCACTGACATCAGCGCAGTGGTGTCCCTTCTCCTCAAGCCTTAACGAGAAGCTGCAGGAGGGACGGATGGCAACCCCATATCACCTGTTTGCAAGACTTCCGCAGGTAGCCTTGGTGGTCAACGTTGCAACTCAATGAGGCGCATCAAACCTGGGCGGTCTCGCGTCCAGACGGTCACTTGAGCCATCCAGCGGCCGACTTCACGTTGTGGCAGGTTTGACGAAGCAAAACTACGCTGAATTATCTGAGATTTGTGCCGAGCTGAAAGCTGAGCCCTTCGAAGTGCGGCCTGGCTGAGAAGACGCACGGATCCACTGTGCTCTGATCCGTACTTGGCAAGACGACTCAGTTGGATGTCCAGGCTGGCCTTCCCATGCAATCAGTTTGGAAAGCAGGAGAAGGTGCAGGGCAGAACAAAGGGGGCGGGCAGCTGACTTTCCCGCCTGTGCAGGGTTCCCCGGAGCAGATTTCAAACTTCGTCGCAGGCATTCCCCTCAAGGCTCCATGCCCAACATTCATTGGCACAGTTTCGACCTTGCAAGGTAAGCTGTCGGATGCAAACTACACCCTCTTCGAGAAGGCCATTGATTTTGAACACACGCACGCAGCATCACATGTCAGCCGAGAAAAGAGCTCAAGCCAGTCATCAGAAGTGGGGCCAAGGTGCACGTGAACGGCCCCCATACTCATCCGGTCTTCCACTTTTGCAGGCAGGGTCTTCAAGCCTAGTCATTCCCGAACCGACTAGTGTGTGCAGGGGCTTGATATTTTTTTAGGGGTTCGGCTGGTTTCACGAACATGCACAGGCACATGAGCATGCACCGCACCCGCCCCGCCAAGCCTTAATCTATCCACTTCTTTTTCCATAGTGACCGGGGCCAATACAAGAGCGCTAGGTTGGAGGGATAGCGACCTGACCAGCCTAGCAAGCAGTTCGAAAGCCCCATGGCAGGTACAATGCAGGAGGCACTCGACTTGGAGCATCGCGCATGCGCCCCATCCCATGGAACTTCGCCCCGGGCTCGTGAGACGTCAGATTGCTGCAATCATGTCACCTGGCTTTACCAACCCCGAATCCCAGCAGTAAGGCGAAGTTCCTCATTGACAAAGAGGGACGCGTCGTCGAGTTCTACAACCCCAAGTGCCAGCCTCACTGCCGCGATTCGATGAGCCCAGGAAGTCCCGAAACCTCTGTGAGCCTTCAGGATTCCGCCCTCGGAGATCCTGCCTGACATTAAGGCAGTTCTCGCAGGCACGAAGCAGGCCAGCTCCAAGTCACTGTCTACCGTATTTCAAATCGATAAAAAGAGATGGAAATTGCGATGAAGCTTGTGCTAGTCGCTCAGGGCTCACCGTCGCAGCGCCCCACAGTCGGTTCCGCTGGGGACTTGTGCAGGGTTCAGGTGCGCGAGCAAGGCATCACAGCCTAATTCCCCTGCCCAGGATGCTCCTGAGGGCTTCTTGATCAGTAGGCGGGTCCCGATTGCCGTGTGCCCATGGGCTGCTTCCGATCACGTTTTGCTCTGACATGCATGCTTCATGATTCATTATGACTTGTAGCATGCCGTCTTGAGAACATCCGCTTGAAGGTAAAGCGAAGTCCACTGCGCTCGGCGTTGACGTTTTCTCATGCAGTGCGACGGCTTGTCGCACCGACAAGGCCTGCTTTGAAAGGCACCATCCGCACACTGCTGCTAACTACCAATCCGGCAAAGGTATGTCGTGTTGCAGCCGAAGTAATTAGAGATTTGGATACGTGTCTCTTCTGCTAGCGGTGCTCCTCATTGCAGTTGCCTCTGCTTGCCACTGATCAAGCCACAGTCTCACCGGATTCTAAATTTTCAAGTGCAAATACTGCAAGGGCTGTGCACTCTCTATTGCAAGTGCTCCGCTTTGAGAGCAGGTTCCTCACTGGATTAGCATGCGAATGAGTGACTCTATGAGCGAAGGTATGCTCCTGTCATATGTCTGAACCTCTCCAAGTGTATCCGACGTCGTGTGCAGCTTCGGAATCTTTCGCTCTGAGTCACGAGCGGCTTGCGTCCAGTGTGGATCGGTTCGATGCGGGCGGCGGTGGGAGTGGGCATCCCATTCTCGCTGTCTTTGGTTGCTAGCGTGGCTACCTGGTGTGTCCTCAAAGTGGGGTCCTGCAGGGGCAACCATGGACTTCTTTCAGCGGCGAGTTGTTGGCCGTCAATGCTTGATTGACGTGCTGAGCTACAGGCGTGGCAGGAAACATGTTGATGGAGATGCACTAGCGGGTTGGGTCCCATGCTGCTCTGCATGCCATGATTGTCGTTAGCAGAGCAGACGGCTGCACTTCTCCGGTGCCTTGTAGCTTCTTTCGGCAATATGCAGCGGATCGTCAGGAAATTGCGAGCTGCCCTACACCCTAAGCCCTCCTCCCTCTTGTTTACTGCTACTAGTACTAGTACTAGTACTAGTACTAGTACTAGTACTAGTACTAGTACTAGTACTAGTACTAGTACTCCTACTACTACTACTACTACTACTACTACTACCACTACTACTACTACTACTACTACTACTACTACTACTACTACTACTGCTACTATCCCTACTCGTACAGCTACCACGGTAGTAGCAACAGCAGCAGCAACACAAGTAGGAAATGTGGCAGGAAGCAGCTGCGAAACTAGTGATCCAAAAGCCTGCCAAGAGAGAAAAAGTTGACCACTGCGCATTTCATGGCGGATGTGGCTGCAGATCTGGCTTTTGAGCAGGCCCTGAGCAGTTGGGCAGACTGCAAGTGGCTTCGAATTCCCTAGCGAGTAGTATGTGCCACTTGAACCGCTTGCTAACAGCAGCAAGCAGCGAATTGATCTCGCAGTGTTTTGTCTGTCCATCTTCGTCGTGACAGTCCGTGACGGCGGCGTCAATCACGAGGTTAATGTGTTATGCCGAGCCGAGAAATCCCGGAAATGTGTTCCCGCTCCGTAACCGAGCTGCAATTCCCGGCCACATCATGTGATGGGAACTATGCTACGACCTGTCTGTGCTTTGCTCACAAAATACCGTTTCAGCCTCTTTTACACAAGACTCTCTTGAGGCGTTGCGTCACAGCACACGACAGCAGGGATCTCCGTGATGTCTCAAGCAATCTCCTCTTCGCCGCTAGAGCCGAGCCAACCACCCACCATTGCCCGGAGCTCTTGGCTTCTGCCAGAGCCTGCGGGGTCATCAGCATGACTACGAATCTGGAATCTGGACGTGGTCCTTGGTGAAAGAAGAGAGCAACTATCAGGCACTTTTCAAGCTACCCCCGAAGGATCGTAACTGCTTTCAGCTACGTCTTCCTCTTTCAGCGGCCTGTCTGCCCTGCAAAACTTGGTTTCTGCAAAGTGTGTCGATCATTCGGAACGCTTTGAAACCCATCCTGTCCAACAGCAGAAGCCAAGACAAAGATGCTGCAGCGGACTGTGCCAGGCTCGTCGTGCTGCGTGGCTCACTGGAAGAGGTCGGGCTAACTTTCTGTCGCAAACAGGTTCTCGTGTAGACGCCAAGCAACCGCCCTTGTGGTGGTCGTTCCTATTCGTGGTTCCTTCGCCGTCGGTGTCGTGCTTGGCGCAACCGTGCCAACATGTAGGTTGATGACATTTAGCAACTTTAGCATGCAGGGCAGCTGGACACCAATCACTTCTCGCTGCAGCCGGCAGGACATTTTCCGAGTGTCCGAAGAAGAGAATCCACGCGAGAAGGAGCTCTCAAACGCACCCGGATTGCAAGCAGTCGCAATGATAGTCTACCCGGGCAATCGCACGTCGCGGGAATATGAAAGGGCACTTGCCTGCAGAGTACCAAATCTAAGGAGATCGACTCCTGGAAGCAGAAAGCTGGCACGGGAGAGCGACTGCCACTTCGCAGCAGAATACAGTTGACGACGATCTGACAATCGGACGATGCAGGTTGGCACTTACGACTTAAGCATGCCCTGTCTTTGGACAGTTCTGGGTTCTTCAGCCATGAGAAGTTTTTCTTCCTTCTTTGGCTCAGGCCATGGCATGGACTTCGAGTTGTTGCTGCGCTGACTACAACACCCCGACGTATTTCGCAAATCGAACCAGCTTTGGACCGCTCGCTGCGTGCACGCTTCGAATCCAAGATAGATGCCCACCTACAACCAGGAGTCAGAGACACATTCTGGGTGATGCTTGGCAGGACAGCCTGCTAGCACAAACATGGCCCTTGGATTTGGTCTACCTTTTCGTGCCGCAGGTGGGCGCTGTGGGAGTAGGCAGGCACCAGACTGGTATCATTCTGAAAACACTGGTAAGTTGCATGGAACCTGAGATCCTTGAAGCGGTACATCTTGCTCTCCTTCGTCCAGCTGCAATTCTCAGGTTTTCAAGCGAGAGAACACTACGTATACGCGCCTTGGCTTAGCAGCTTCGGTAGAAAGGTGATCGGTCTTTCACGGCAAGCTCGAAAGCAGGCACGAAAGAAATCTGAAGCTCGCAACAGTGATGCGTTGCAGTTGCTCTGTCTTCCGAGGATTCCTGCTTGGCTTGTGTCGAAGCTTGCCGACCCGCGTCTGCGCTTGATCCGCTGCGAGGAGAGTTCTTCGCGGGAAGCTGCGGACACTTGTTGAAGTTAAGGTCAATGCCTTTCAATGTTAGACAACTTAACTAGACTGCACTTTTTCGATTGGTCCTAGAGCGAGGTTTGCCCTTGCCATGTAGTGCAAGCAACTCCTGAACCGTGCTTGCAAAGAAACTTCTTCTTGCAGGACTGGGGCCCAGCAACCCACATGATGGCACCCTGTCTGCAGCCTTTCTTTGTTCGGACAGAAGGAGATGAACAAGATGTCATAGAACGGATGAAAGGAACAGATCTTGCACCTAGCCAGAGCGCTCTGTTCGCCTATCCGACTAGACTACCCATTTGCGGGAGCATTGCCCAGGAGGTTCTCCAAGCCGAGCGAGATCCAGAGACTGCCATTCTTCAGGCCATGGTGGAGGATACTTTTGACGTGCGAGCGCCAGCATCTCATGGCGAGGTGGACGACGATCAAAGCTACGGCCCACATCTGCTGGAGGGGCAAACTAGTTCTGCTGCAATGGTGACAACCACAAGAGATTGGTTTTGCATGCGCAGAGGAGACGCTGCTCCACGTGTCTGGACCAGCACCCGGTCGCGCCGTAGGCGCTGCCACGCAGCCCGGGGCTTGGCCTCACTTGGCTTCTCTTTCGTGTGAGCGCAGAGCTCTCAGGCATGCGCACTTACACCTCAGCGGCGTCGTCTTGGAAGGCAAGCTCTCGACCACCTTGGCATGAGCGAGCCCAGCGTGCTGGTGCTGTTACGTGTTGTTGCCAGCTCATTTTGCGAGAAGGTGGTATGGGTAGGTGCTTCTAGCGCCTCTTTCAGACCTCCAGGCTACATGATATGAAGTGCCATTTTGCCTTTCTCTTACCACATGCTGTAGAACAGAGATGTAGCAAAGCATGCATCAGACTTGCGGAAGGTGTCCATGGCGTGCTTTTTCGCCGCAAGTTCTTCGACGAAAGCGTCTTTGACTACACTGGCTTCTCAAAGCATTGTCAGGCGGTGTGGTGGCAAGTCAGCAGCTGAAGCCGCCTACATTCATGTAATTTCGAGGGGCTGCCACACGGTTGCTGAATTGCAGCAGAGCTGCGTTCCTTGTGCAGCTGCACGACGACCTCTGGCTTTCGGCGCACCTGGCAAGAAAGGCCCTCATTGAGCACTGTCACTGTACGCAGGTGCAAGCCGCAATCCGTTGCCGGTTTTGACATTGGCATCATGTGCAGGCGCATGTCCGGGAGGCGCTGTCCTCGCGCTTCGGCACGAAGCCCCTGCCCTTCGGATTCGGAAAGGACGGAGTGAGCTTCATCATGTTTCTATCAACCTATTACATCGTGCGTCCTTGCTATGAATGCTGCAGGATGCCCTTTACAGGGGTGGCGCCGGCAGCGACAACACCAAGAACTTTTTTCTTTGTCCCTCGTCTGGTTCAGACGTACAGACCTCTTTCCTAGTAGAGTCGTAGAGTCAGCAGTAGCAGGGTCTTCGCCTGCCATTTGCCCGACCCGCCCAAGGCTCGGCGTCTTTGCTGCAGGCATTCCCTGACCTTTGGGATCAGAAGGCCCTTGAAGCCGAGCTGATGACGGTACTTGTCCCTGCTCCCGGCCAGTACCGCGTGGTCGTGGCCGCGCCGCTGGGCCGCGGGACCTCCGAACGTGAGCTGCGACGCCTGGTGGGCGCCGGCGCCCAGGCCACGAGCGGACGAGCCGGTGGGCATCAGTGTATCTTTCTGGACTCATTGCCACCCACGGCAGAGCATGCACACACAGTCCAAAACTCTTGAGTTTGCACTTTCATCGTTGCAAAACACATCCTTGTCATGGGATGAAGGCTACCAGCACTAACAGTCACTATCTGTGTGGAGTTTCTGCCTAGTCGAGCTGGCCCTGGATCTGACCTTCGATCCGTGAAGGCGCTGTACTTGCTCGGCGAGGCAGTGGACTGCCCCTCCAAAGTGCCTTGCAGTGCTGCAGAGGTTCCATCGAGCTGACAGGTTGCACCCAAGCGCATCGTGACGAGCCATCGAGCATTCAGGGTCCACGGAGGCCCGGGCAGCATTGCCACAGGGAGCCTGCATCGGAGGGAAGCGCTGGGAAGTTAAGAGTCTTATCAAGCTGGAAGACGGACAGGCAGGTCAGTGCTTAAGCTTGCAGATCTAAGCAACTTGCCCGGCTAACAACAGGTGTTCACCGCCAGCTTGGAACATTTGCGTCCTCTTTCGAGGCCGGAAGCATTGTGCTAAAGCTGATGCTGAATGCAAATTGTTGATTCGCAGAGGTTGCGAGGCAAGGTATGCGATAAGAAGCCATCACTGTGACGTCTGCCCTTTCCTCGAGCCTTTGAAACTCTTCGCCACCGAATACCTGAAAAGCATGGTTATCAGCGCATGAGCACCTGGTTTCACGTGGTGGCAATGCCCGATGCACGTTCTGAAGTCTGGCGGCCTATCACGTGTTGCATGAACCCCCGACGGCAGGTGACGATGAAAAGCTGCCAGGCAAGCTGCAACCTTGTGGAGGCCTCGTCACGGAATTCGTGGACCGTTCGTGTTCAAACATGTAGCCTTTCGAAAACAAGAAGTGTTGCACACCCTCCTTTCACCCATGTCGGGTATTCATTCTCCAGCATGGTGCAGCCTGCAAAGCGGGAAGGCTTTGAGCGCAGCCCTCGAGTTTGAGGAGGAGATTCAAGCGACGATCATACGAGAAGCGCTTAGAGACAATTGTGAGTCATGGGGTAGCCTGACGTGCCGGGCCGACCCAGAGTGAGAGCACCAGGGAGAGCTGCCTGCACTTGCAGGATCCGACGACGCTGGTTATTCTCTCCCCTGCTGCAGTTCCTGGTCCTCTTGAATTCCGTTCCATGGTGCACTCCTCAGTTGGCATAATCACAGCCCGGAGGAACGAGCAAGTGATTGTGCACACTGGTCAGGTCCAATGGCATGTGAGCTGCACCCGCAAAGCCAAGCCGAGTCGAGAGCTTTGCCGCCGAGAGGACGGAAGCCAGTCCTTCCGAAGGCTGGGATCAGCTCGCCTGTTTCCTGGGTGTTACTCGTAGTTTTAGATGCTTTCTGTTCCTGCGCTGTGCCTGAAGGTTGGCTGCATATCCCGCTGACCGCATTCAAGGCAACTTCAGATTGAGCTTCCTATTCGCGATGTGACGATGCAAACCAGTCGTCCGTGCAAAGATGAAGGCTCCATTTTTATGCCCAAGTTCAGCCAGCATTTCTACGTCCACCGGCATGCAGGATTGGATCGGTTCCCATGGTATTACACTGCAAGATATAGGATAAGCAGACCGAGATGCGCAGGCATAGGACTCTAGGATGGTCTGCAGCAAGAAGCAAACGACGGCCAGCCAACCGATCAGGAGCCCTCCGAGACATGGACGGGCCCTGGAGGGAGAGTCCCACGTTCCATGACTGCAAGGAAGTCGCTCGGCGCTTCGCGACAAAAAGCCCCAGCCTGGCTCAGCCTGACAGGCTCAGGGCCAAGTTGGATCTTATCCACGGGCAAGGGCTGGAGGAGCCACGAGAGATCGCTTCCATCGCCCAAGCACCCATCGCTTTTGTCAGCGGTTGCAGGATCCTGTGGTCAAGGCCTTCCTGGCCGAAGGCGAGGGACTGCCTCGTCGCGTGGCCGGCCTCTGAGTGATCCTTACTCGTAGAAGCGCCCAGCGGACGCGCCCTTCCGAGCCCCGAGCTTTTGCTCTTCAGGTCGTGGTAGTGGCCGCCCCGGCCCCCGCACTTCGGCTCGCGGCACGCGCGGGGCGACTGCGAGGCGCAACAGCGCGCCCCTAGACCCCTTACCTTGCAGATCGGTGGCTGCTTAGCTGTCTGTGTTTCTGTGAAGGTGCCCAGCGAATCGTCGTTGCCCTCAGAGCTGCTTGGCTGTCAAGTGCAGGGTCCATCCCGGACTCGAGGTCAAGTCCAGAGAGAGAGAGAGCCAAGCCAAATTTCAACCCGTAACACGGACTCTGCCCCGGCGGAACGAAGGAAGAGCTAAGCCACATAGTCCAGCCGTCCTACACGAACAAACGCGAACCCGACAGAAGCCACACAGACAGCCGACAGACGGGCGTGCCTCCACACGGAGGCTTGCCCCTAGGAAGAAAGAGCCCAGCCACCCAAAATGCCCTGCAAGCAAGCGAGCAAGCAAAAGAGCCAAGCCAGCTAAGCATATGTACATGAAGACGTCTGTATATGAGTAGTTACGGATCGACGATGCCATAGCAGTTGTGTTAAACATACACAGATACATCGCCTTTGCATATTTCACTGCGCCGGTCTGTACCATAGAGATCTTTACTCATACAAGTACGTGATGTCAACAGCTACTTGCGCTGCCCCTTCTTTCGCTGCTTTCTCTCGCCGTCGAGGCCCGATCCGGCGCCAGGCGCTGCAGTGTGGGATCTTGGGCAGCGCAGTTCAGGCACGGTTGTCAAGAGCTGAGCCCACGCAAAGGGCATTCGGGCCCGCGTGACTATTGCTTGATTTTCATGTTTTTTTTGCTCCAGACTTTGACAGCACGCTGAACATGCGAGATATTGATATTACGAAGGCATCTTGTCATTCTTTTAGGTCCCCCAGGTTAGACGACTGGGCCGCGTTTCAGCATGGCCCCTGCGCCTCGTGACTAGCCCACTCCCGCAATGCGCCAACTTCTGGTAGCAGCAAAGCTAGTTGCGCTATGTTTTTATTTTTTCTGTTTGGGAGGCTCCGCATAGCCTGCATCGATCGCAAGCGCCTGCGCTCTGCTGAGTTTCCGGCAAATATTCTCACATGCACGAGGCTGCATTGCCAAGGATGCGGCATGGGTACAGGGCAAATGCGTTTACTTGGACGGAACTTCTGGAGTTTGATTGCCGAAAACTTGCAGAGCGCTCTAAGGTTTCATCCGCTGCTCGCAGTGCTTGACTTGGAGAAGCTTCCCGAGACGCAGATCTTTCTTAGAGGTACACACTCCGCCATGATAAGTCACGCATTGGCTTGCTGGGGCGAGCCGTGTCTGTGCAGTGGAAGGTTTTCGGCGCAAAGTTCCGCCGCTGTCGGACTTTCTCCAGGCTTTGCAATTTAAGATCCGACCAACGCAGCACCGAATGCCGAACATATTCCCATGCTCCAAGTTCTTTTGTGGCATATGAAAATTGTGATGCGATTGGATCGTTTACAAAGGTAGGAGGAGGAAGCCATGAAGTTGTGCGGTCATGCTCAGACCTGACATGTTGGAGGCTTCAGATCTCTGGGCGGGTGTGGCTGGACATTAATTCAGACACGAGCAACACGCAACACGTTTTCGGACAATATGCTGTCGTACTCGGACATTCATGTGTGGGCTTGGTAGAAGCTGAGGCTGTCATTGCCAGCCGCGCCTATCTTTACGGCGAGCTCTTTGGCACGTCAACTGTAACATCAGCATGAGTCCAATTTCAGGGTCGGCATGGCTTCTAGCAGATTCTAGCCAATTCTAGCTGAGTTTTTGTCGACTGACTCCTGTTGCATGCAAAACCACATAGAGCAAATCCACACAAAGAGGCTGGTGAAAAGCTGAAGGGTCCCGCTGTGTTGCGCTGAAAGATGTGCTGTGCCAGCTGCTGCAAGATCCAAGCACAGATCAGACTTGCAAAGCCGTGCGGATTTAGGCATGGCGGCCCCATTCCGGTCACATCGCTCGGAGCTTTGTACCGCAGAGGCTTTTTTGATGAGCTTCCCGGATTGAACTTGGTCTTTTCTTTTACTTCAGTGCTCGAAGATGGTGCTGGCTGTCTTGCGAAGATGAGGCGGATCATTGAAGACTTGCATGGTCCTTGTGCCCACGAGCCCGACGCTTGACCAGCTTTGGCTGTCCTCGGCAATCCTCGGCATCATGTCGAGCAGACTCCGGCAACCTACGCTCTTTTCCCAAGGATCTCGTGGTGGCCAGCCACGTCGCCCTCAATGGGGTGCCGACCGAGGTGGGCAGCTCAAAGCGAGCATAGAAACACAAATACCGTTCGCGCAATATCCACGTTGCCCTGGATGTCAACATGGCCCCAGGCTTGAGGCTTCCATCGGGGTGTGCAGAGCATGAGGGGCGCAGCCCTAGCTTTACACACAACGAACACACTGCAGTGCGGTGCCCGTGCTGGCCGGGACGAAACTGGGGGAAACTTAAAGGAGTGTCGAGTTTAGGTTCGGGCACGGAGACCGTTTGCCGGAACACAGGCAAATTCTGTCGTGGTGTTGTGCAGCATGCGGACGGAAATTCTTCTCCACGAAGCTGGAGTTTCTCCTAGGCCCTGCAGTCTCTGTCCAGTCTTTTGTCGTGAGCTCCGCGCCTTCTTCTTGAGGTGCTGGGCCTGGGCAGCTCCTCGCCTGTGCCCAGCTTGCGCCGGTCGACGGAGCCATGAGATCTCACGCAATGCACGCATGTAGGAGATGTACGCGTACGCGTGTAGGGTGGGGTGGAGTTTGGTTGGGCTTTTGCTTTTAGTGCATTTGACAAGTGAGGAGTGCTGGTCAGAACTGATCGAACGCCACCCGTGGCTTTGGACTTCCTTACGGCCCAGGAGGCTTGTCAGGGGCGAAGCCCCCTCCGATTTGACATACTCTGCACGACCTGCAACTGCAGGGCGATTCTGCATGTGGCGTTGATGGATGGCACGGACGACTTCTTGCTGGGCTTGACCCTGCGCCGGCAGCTGAAACATCCGGAATCCGGAACGCAGCTGATTGCACCCGACTGTGTGTACCTGTTGCCTTCGAGGCTACGCCATCTCGCAGACTCGGCGCCCCGACGAGGCGGGGCCCGGATCCTTTGAGCGGAAGAGACTTCGGCACTTCTCATTGCTTGCCGCATGTTGCCTCGGGCTCAAAGGACTCGAGCAACCAAGACACTGCCACCATCACAAACAGGCTGCCGATGCCCAGATGCCTGAAAAGGCGGCGCTGTCGAAGCCGCCATCAGCCTACAACAAGGCCATCACGGCATCTGGAAAGACTGCACGATGGCAAGCAGCCATCGAGATACTTGCTGGCATGCCCGATAAGAAGACTATGCCCAACATCATCACATACAACGCTGCCATGAATGCTTGTGGCAGGTGCAGTCAATGGCAACATGTGATCTGCCTGTTTTCAGACATACGGAGATCAGAATGGATGCCAGACAACATTAGCTACGGTGGGGCCATAAGCTCTTGTGCCAGGGCTCAGCAGTGGACACGGGCAATCCAGCTTCTAGCAGACATGTGCGCGACGCGTGTTCAGCCGAATGAGATAAACCTTAGTAGTGCCATTACAGCTTGTGAAAAGGGTGGACAGTGGACTATGGCTCTCGTGCTTTTTGCCAGCATGTCTGAAGCCGGGATGAAGCCAGACGTGATTTCCTACAACAGTGTCATTAGTGCAAGTGAGAAAGCAGGAGAATGGCAGCAGGCGCTGTGCCTTTTGGCCAGTTTGCACAATGCAGATTTGTGCCCTGATCTCATTACGTTTTGCAGCTTGATCAGCGCATGCGCCAAAGGCAGACAATGGCAATATTCACTTTACCTGTTGGCATGCCTTCCGTCCGCCAGGCTGTATGCAGATCAGATTGCATACAGTTCTGCTATCAGTGCCTGCGAGAAAAAGTGGGATGTTGCTCTTCATCTCCTTGACAAAATGCGCCAAGCGACTGTAATTCCAAACGAATTCAGCTACAGCAGTTTGGTTAGTGCCTATGAGAAAGGGGGACAGTGGCAGCGCGCAGTGCAGGTGCTGACACACATGTCCATCGAGAAGGCTCGAGCTAACGAGGTTACATACAACAGTGCCATCAGTGCTTGTGAAAAAGCGGGACATTGGCAAGGGGCCCTGTCTCTTTTAATCGACATGTCGGCGATGAAGCTCATTCCCGATGAGATCAGTTTCAACAGTGCAATCAGTGCGTGCGAGAGAAGCGGCGCTTGGCAGATTGCATTGCAACTCATGCGCCTACTTAGAAAGTGCATGCTGCTGCCAGACCAAGTCACCTACGGCAGCGCCATAAGCGCCTGCGAAGCGAGACTGCGCTGGCAGGTTGTAGGACAGCTGTTGCTGGAGATGTCGGAAGCCAGAGTCTGGCCAAATCAGATCATACAAAACTCTGCCATCACCTGCTGCAGCAGGGCAGGCAAGTGGAGCGAAGCTTTTACCTTGCTTCAACAAATGCCCGAGGCCAAACTTCGGCAGGATGAAATTAGCTTCAATGCCGTTGTGGCTGCTTGCGAACTGGGCAAGCAGTATGCTCTGGCCATTGAGCTGACTTTTTCCATGACCAGAATCAGCTGGTCTCGCATGTGTCGGTGGGCGAGCCTGCGTCGGGCACGGCAGTCAAAGGCTCGAGGTCTCTCCTGATTTCCCGTGCTCTGGTTTGAGAGACGTAGAGTTCGTGCTGCGTACAGACTTGATGCTAAAGCCCAAGCATAGTCTCGTGACCCACCAAAGAGAACTTTGCGACATTTTCCGGAGAGGTGCTAAATTATTCCTTCCGACCGGATCCTGCGTTCTGGGTTGGCCATCCCCCTGTAAGCGAGGGTTGAGGGGTCGGATTGTCCTCCGTTCGGGAATGAGACTGCTTGATTACGAGAGCTCCCCCAGTGTAGCTGATCTGGATGGGTGGGAAAGTTGAGGCTTGAATGCTGAATTATTGGAGAAACGAGGCACCAATGATGCTCATGATGCCGGGTTGGGTGCAATGTCGGTCAATCGAAATCATGTTCGGCTACCGTGATTCCTTCAAATTCAAAGCTACGATGAGTATTGCGATCCCGAGTATATTGTGATGTGCGATCAGTGTGGTGAGACTTGTAGCAGTCGCTGCATTGCCGTTGCAGGCGTTGATGCACTTTCCGGTAGCCTCATTCCATCATACAAAGTTTTCTGGTGTTTTGTGCATACCGCTGCCGTGGGCATGTGACATAAGCGCAGGTGGTGCTGCTGACTGCTGGGCAGTCGAACTTCGAGGTCACAGTCCCTTCCAAATAGATGGCTTCAGCTAAATGCCCTAAGCCCTAAGCATGGCACAAAGCGGATGCTTTCACATGCGACATATGTCCTGATGAGAAGCCCCTTGCCTGCGGAGTTGGCAGGGCTCTGACCATCAAGCCGCTCGCTAGTTGCGCATCTTGTTTCAGGACTCGGGCGAAGTGGACACCCAGGTCGGGAAATCATGACCACCAGAAAACGTGTCCGGAATCGACAGTAGCAGCACCTTGAGGTGCGTCACGGTGCTTCAGTTCGCATCGAGGGAAGTCGATGTGTGGTGGTCTCTCGTTCGAACCTTGGTGGAGGGATCCAAGTCGAATCTGTCCAGCGTGGCTTTGCAGTAGGTCATGGTCGAAGACTGCCTGTCACTCTTCACCAGTTCCTTGCGACCTTGGCGGGCAAGGCCGGCTCGGATGTCTTCCGACGCACTCCTCTCTTTGCCACCCCCAGAGTTTGTAAATCAAAAGATTTCAGGTCGGATCCGTTCTGCACACTCCTGAAGGCCGCGGTCCGACATTGCATGGTGCTTACGGCTTCGGACTAGCTCGCTGAGTGTTAGAAGCAAGCCCGTCAATCTAAAATGTGTCATAGCATGGAACTCGTTGACCCCTGCCCAAGGTCAATTCTCCGCTGCTCCGGGGATAGCTGCAACTCGGCAACAACAAGTTGACACTTTGCTGATGCGCGACATAACGTAGCCGGTCGGGAATTCGCAACAAAAATCGCGTTTCAAGGCAGACCGAAGCCGCATTTGGTGGGGCCCCGAGGTGAATCATCTTTGGACAGACGGGAGGATGTGAAGAAAAGACTTGTCGAGTTCATTTAAATAAGGGGGCCGCGTTCTACAGGGAGCTGGAGCCCTCAACGGCAATGATTTTCTGCTCCGCCGAACGGCTGATCAACGAGAGGCAGGGCGCGAAAGCGTCGGCCATGCAGAAGTCAGAAGCCTCGGCCCAGCTGTGCTCAGGCTCGTGGAGGAGAATGTGGCCTGTCTAGACTCGTGCGCCCCACACTGCTCGCCGCAGAACTGGTGGCTCGGCTGCTGTGCAGGCAGTTACGAAACAAGACGATGAGTATGCTGAGTATAGAGCAGCATCCAATGCTGTTTGAGAAGCCTGATTAAATAGATTAGGTTTGCTCCGCTATTCTGCACGTCCCGGACTCGACTGAGGTGCGGGCAAGCGAGCACTCGAGAAGACGGTGCCCGGAACTTGGGACTTGTGCTGTCTCGCAAGAGTGGAGACATCTTCCGGTACATGTCTCTTCGGTCTTGCATGTCGAGACGAGGTGAGGTGGTTATTGAAAAACGAGCATAGCGAATGTGGCTAAGGCACTATATGATCTGAGCATCACGCGGGCAGCCGGATACATAGACCATGTGGCCAGATGAAGAGGTTCAAAAGCAATGCGGTATGCCGAACCTGTTCGGCTGCAGTTGTGCCAGATGGGATAAGGCTTTCTTGCTGTGTAGGCTATCAACTCAAATCTTTTGGGAGATTCTGAAGTACCTCGAACCAGCAGGCGAGTTGCACTGAACCATAGCATGCTTAGAAGGCCCGGAGAAGCTTACAAAAGCGGCACCAGCCTTAAGCAGAGCAGCATCCAAAGCGAGCACAGCCCAACACAGTTCTCTGAGCAAGCAGAAACTTTATTCGGCTGGGGCATGCTAGGATTCTTTGTAGGATGAAGCCATCTGCCGATGATGAGGCCAGATCTCGAGAACAGATGCTATAGCCAGCGTGTATGATCCTGTGCAGCGATATGCCATCCCCATGCAGGTCGTGTGTGGGATCGTGGTTGCAGTGGTGTTGCGAGCGCTGCCAAAAAGGCTTGGTATGCTGCCAGTTCAGTACCTTGCCATGAATCCAAGCGAAGCTACAGTGCTCTGGATGCTTAGAGGGCCCCCGAAAGCGACTGTTGCAGACAGCTTCTGGGTTCTGGCAGAGCCTGTCAGTGCTGACTGCGATCTTGGCCGGTTGCGGTTTGCACGTCTGTTTGTCATTCGGACTTGGTTTCGCGTTGGCATTGAAGTGACCGGATTTTGAGACTGAGAGCTGAGCGACAGGCTGGTGCCTGCACGAAGTTTCATGTCCGCGAGCTTCCAGATCGCCTTCCTGCCCTGCGTGCGAAGGGGTTGGGCCCCACACACAAAACGCGCACCGGGGCGGTTCGCGCCAGGCACAGTCTCTCATCGATGCCTGGCTGGCGGCGCTCCTCGGCTGTAAGCATTGTAGAACTCTATGGCCACGTTAAGCCACATTTTAGCCGATGCCAGCATAATGTGCATCACTGCTACAGTAAGGCATGCTGCCACGCTCAGTGCCACTACTAGCGTGCCGGGCTTGGAAGCAGTTCCTAGCGCGGCCACTCCAAGTCGGGACATCTGGAGCCGCAGAACACCCAGTGCTCCGGCGAGGCTGATGCCTTGAAAAGCCGACTGCAAAGTTTGGCTTGAGCCTTAGCAGAGTGCCCGGAGTGTGCATCAGAGGAACCAAACAGCCAAACGGAAGCCTCCAAGTGAATTCTGGATGAGTCAATAAGGTCGGTGCGACCTGCACCAATGCTTGGTGGGATGACGTTGGCTTCTCAGGTTGAAATTTTCGAGATCCTGTTATCCAGTGACATCTTGCGGTTACAAAAAGAGGCGTTTCTGGAAAACTTGTGCCTGTTCATGTTCAGGGTTCAGGAGGCTGTCGGCGGTCGTTGCTCTTGTCGGATACGTAAGGCAGGATTTCGCGAGCACGAGTACTGTTAACAGTCTGTTAAAGACCCGATGAGGCCTCGGAGCGCTTGGAGGCTCCGTGCTCGCTTGGGATGTGAGCGCACTGCCATTTGCTGCAGAGCGCAGGGTGGAAGCCCGACTTTGCCGCTGTTCGTCCCCCGAGAAGACATGGCAGCCAAGACCGAAGTATGGTTGAGCGGTGGTACCGAGGCAAAGGAAGCTGGCAGAGGTACTGACACGCGGCCGGCACCTCGATCCTCCACCAGTGCTTTGCTGCATCCGACGCAGAAGAATCCGAAACTTGTCTTAGGTCGCCATGGCTTGCGCAGCATCAGTCCGGCGACCTCCTCGGCTCGATTCGCAGCTAAGATTTCGAGCGCCGTCTGCAGCAGGTGCCGCAAGCCGAAGGTGCGACAGGAGGGGAGGCCTGGGGCCCACTGGGCCACTCTGGGTCACTCTGGGCCACTGGGCTGGAGGATTCTGAGTCCGAGCTCCCTCTCTTTGCGAGGCCTGGCCAGAGCGAGGAGCCGCCTGGGTGCTGGCGGCTCTGGAGGCACAGCGAATCGAGCCGACGTTCTTTTTTAAAGGAGCCACTTCCGCTTCAGAGGATGTCGTGGGCTCCGTTGCTTCACACTCGGCCCGAAAGGCGGCCACGGCCTCGCGTGGCAAAGCTTTCGCACACACACTCTTGCTTTGCACTTCGCATCTCCTCGCTCTGTGCCGCACGAGGCTGCAGCAGCAGGACCAGGGCGCCCGTCCACCGCGGGATCACGACCGGGCACTGCGCGCGAACCTCGCACCGGGCTACGACTGCTGTTCCTGCCGTGACTCAGAACGAGGCAGCGCCCGGCCACGGGCACTCAAGGCTCGTGTTCAGTGCTATCTGTGACCCCTTGCAGTGCTATGACGTCCTGAGAGGGCGCCACCAGTTCCAGCCGCCTGTGCGACCTCAAGAAGGCCGCTCGAGTACAGCTCGTGAGGCCGTGAGGCCTTCGATTTGTGCCCAGGTACGGTGCCTTCCAAACAGACGGTGGATGCCCTGGGTCTGGGTTGCGGCGGCCATGCAACTGGAAGCACTCCCTGCTCTGAAAGGAACGTCTACGACTCCTCGGCATCAAGCATTTTGTCTTGGCCTCGGCAGGATGTGTGATCGGCGGTGGGTTTGCATTTGTCATTCCTTTGCGGCACAGGTTGCTGCGGCGAAAGCAGATGACGATCTGCAGGACAACTTTGCAGGTTTAGCATTCGGTTACTCGGTTGCTGGATTGGCGTTGTTAATCTTGCCTCAGTTTTTATCTCGTTCCTGTGGCTGTTGGCTTGACTGCGTCGCTTTGCTGGTTGGCTGATTCCCCAACGATGATGTGGTCAGTGCTTCGGCCGTGAGCGGATATCTAGAGTTTCTGACCATCTTAGTCACATGGCCTTGAATTGCAGAACTGCCAACTGGTGGCTACCTGCCTAGCAGACGCCGGAAGCTCATTCAAAGCGCGGTACAGCCTGTCGGCTGCTATCAAACTAACATGGGTTGCACGACTTGTAGAACGGTTCATGACGATTGAGGCATGGAATTTGGCAAACCATGCCCGGTCAGTTCAGTTGGCTTTATACTCGTTTCGCTCAGGATTGAAGCCTCAGGACGTTTAGGATCAAGCCAAGGGTTCTGAAGCATTCCCCTAGCTCTCTGACTCAGAGGTTGCTATGGGCCTGGCACCGCACCTGGAGAGTGATGATCTCATGGTGCCCTCCCCTTCATGCCATGCCTCTTGGCTTGCGAACGCTGGCTTCACTTGATTTGCAGCCAAACAATGACAAAGCGGAATCATCGTTGTGTCGCTATCCTCACGGGCACATCAGCAGGCTGAATGGCATATGACCTTGGTCAGTTTCTCTGTTGCACCTAACAAGTTGCCACTTCTATCTGCAGGCCAGCATGTACTGCATACTTTTGACCAGGTAGTTTCATAAATGGCAATGCATGGCTGATTGCTGCTAGTCGCCACTAGTCACCTTCACCGTTACATGTTGCTTGGTGGCTGACAACGTCTGCTTGACCGCTGCCTTTTGAGCATCAAGAGAAAGACTCGTTCTTGTTCCGATCGATTTGAGGCGTTCGCCGGTCTTTTGCTGTTTATTGTCACTACAGCGATCCCGCCTTCCATGAGCATAGTGTGATCAGCAGTAGCATCAGGAAGATCTGCTGACAGTTCCTGTCAGGTCACTTGGCGAATGCACCGACATCGAGGCGTCCCATCCTGGAAGCGGGCAAAAGCGGAGGACTGGCTAGCCCGCAGTTTCCGAGAGTGGAGAGCAAAAGGCATGCATCCATTTCTGGGCACTGTTTTTCGCACATGTAATTACGTGGCTAGTCCGTGACAAGTCCGCAGCGAGGGCGACATCCGCGTGCGCGACCCGGGCTTTCGCTGGCAGCCAAAGGTGGTGACCGAAGTCGAAGCCGAGGCCCAACGAGAAAAAGAAAGCTGCCTTGAAAGCTCTTCGAAGACCTGGCTAGTCGAAGAAGAAGGGAAGTCCGCAGAAAGAAGACTGCTCATGAATCGCTGGCCAGGAAACCCATGCAGCAGAGGCGACAGCCTCATTGCGCTTCGCACGGCAACCACCCCCTGGGCGCAGCGAGCTGCGACGGACCATCGCGGCTGCGAAGCACATATGACGCGAGGTGTCGCATTTCACATTACAGGGAGTTTTTGCCAAACAGGTCGCTTCGGTAGTTTCTATCGGCCACAATGCGAATTTGATCGCATGCGATGCAGACTGCATGGGCTTTTGGGGCGAGAGCCGAAAGCTTCAGGGTGTGTGGTTCAGCAGGGGCAACTCAGTGCTGAGGCATTGGAGCGCCTTGCATTCGAGAACATGAAGATCTCGTGGTGGGATGGAACCGAGCCTTTGTCTAAACTCAGCGTACACCAACGATCTGTGCAACTCATTGGAGATTTTGCTGCTGAAGACCCCGGTGTCACAACGCTCTTCCTATGCTTGATCTGCACCAAGCATGGCATGAGCATGTCAGACTGACATGCCTTGATCATCTCTGACCCTGCGATCTTCCCCTGTCGATAAGCTTCGGCCCATGAGTGATGCCCTTGTGACTCTGACCATGCTCAGGTCCCTTTGAAGGAGGGCAGGATCTCAGATCCCATGGATTCCCGAACAGAGGCAGAGAGCCGGCATTTGGAGTTGTCAGATCTGGAGTAATTACGGAAATACATCGGGTACCGCTTATCCTGTCATGCGACCCTCATGAGACGCAGGCTTATAATCAGTGTTGTACTACCAGCTGCAAAACGTTGGCACGTGCAAAAAGTCCGAATCACTCAGCCATCCGCAAACTGCAAAGAGACTCAACTTATGAACTGGCAAGCTACGAAATCATATCCAGAAATGACGTAGATGTAAAGAGCTTGAAATTGCTACAGCTGCTACATGTTACCGAAAGGGTTCTCCAGATTCTGTATAGCCAACGACTATAAATGCCAGCTAGATTCGTATTCTGGTCCATGTCTCACTCGTTCAGGCCCCTCCAATCTACATAGTATAGTTGCAGTCTCCACATATCCGGGTCCGGCTCCCTACTATATCTCGACTGCGCGCAGGTTGAAATCTTTTTTTGTTGGAGCGCATACGAATCCTTGCTTTCTATATAAACCATGCGGGATCGGCCCGTTAGCATGTTGATGAAGCCTCTTGACACACAAGAGTATGAATGCTTGCATCTTCAAGCCCCCATATGTTTTCCAACCACCTTTCTAGCACCTGATGCAATCCATACATGCGTACGTTCATACCTGAGTACACTCATTTGTACATACATACATACATACACATGCAACAACTCCCCGTTCTCAGTATGTAGATCAGTAGTAGTAGTAGTAGTAGTAGTAGTCGTCGTCGTCGTCTTAGTAGTCGTAGAAGTAGTAGTAGCAGTAGAAGAAGTAGTAGTAGTAGTACTAGTGGTAGTCGTGGTAGTAGTAGTAGTAGTAGTAGTAGTAGTAGTAGTAGTAGTAGTAGTCGTAGTGGTAGCAGTAGCAGTAGCAGTAGCGGTAGCAGCAGCAAAAGCAAAAGCAATACATACCCGGAGCTTTGAGCATGGAAGGACTCGAACTTGGACTCCCCATCCAGTGACCGAGTCCGGGAGCAGTCGGAGGTGGGCATCGGACTACTGTTCAAGGGGTCTTGGCTTGGCAGATGTCTAGAAGCAGCTTGAGACAAACCAACTTCTGCTCGGTTGATTCACATCTCGACAAATGTGTTGGTGGGAAGTATGGGGTCTGCCTTCATGTACAGGCATACCTAGTGCAGGTGCCTGCGATGGCAGCGGAGGAAGAGGAGGTTCGAGGAAGTGAGGGCTATGTTCTAAACCGAGCAGAGCACCTGCTGAAGCACCTTGGACAGCAGGAAAGCCATGGCGATGCAGGTTTTTGTTTGCTCGTTGCGACGTTCAGGTGTCTCATGGATGGGGAGTCGGGATCAAACCAGGGGGAGACAGAGACCCTCGGCAGTCAAAGACATGGCATATGTTTCAGCTGGCATTTGTTCCCAGCTTTTTGGACGTCACAGCTTTGGGCGCAGCCTACAGCCTCAGTAACTTCTTTCTGTCAGGATGCCAGGCGGAGATCAGAGTTTCAGGACCCTGAGCCGGCACGTCCAGGACCAGGCACCCTGATACTCCCATAGTCATGAAGCGAGGAGACAAAAGACATACGTACATACCAAGAAAAAAGAAAATCCATATATAGATATGTATATGTATGTATGAGTGTCTAATGGTTCTAACGTGTATGCGTGTAATCAACATGTGCAGCATAGTCGGTGTACACAGAGAACTGTTTGCCGTAGGTCAGCATGGGGTTGGGGGCTGGACTTTCCTGCGCACAGGACAGCCGGCAGTTTGTCCAACAGGCAACCTCCCTGCCAGGAGTATGTGAAGGCACAGCTCGGCTAGCATACCAGCAGGAGTAGTAATTCATCTCAGAAGTCCGTTGCCTGCCTCCGCCTTGGCTCGGCAGGCCCACTGCAGTTCGACTCCGGCCTTCCACCCCCCAGGCGCATTATCCACCGAGTGCCTTGAATGCACATGATGCATCCATGCAGTCTGCCGAAAATCTTAGTGAAGTTCGCGACATCGCTGGCACGAAGCATGCTGTGCCGAGGTTTGATTCGCAGGAGCTTCCTGAGCAGATATTCTTCGTTTGCCTTATATTATAGGCATAGACGCCCAGCTCTACCTCGAGCAGAGTCTGCGCCGGTGCTTGTCTCGAAAGCCGAGACCTGTCCTGCTGTACCGACATACAGAGAGACGGAACTCAGTGAGCGCCAAGTTCTCCCTGCCCGTCCTTCAAGTTTACAGGCGCTAGGAGCAACATAGTCCGTATCACACCTGAGGACACCCAAATGTTGACGGGCAGCCATGCATGTAGAATACTTGACACACACATGCTCTGCAGTTCACGAAAGTGCCCTAGGATGTTATCTTCTGCAACTGCAGAGCTGTGTTACCACCGGGTGGTGTTACCACCTGATGCATGCTTGCTGGGGGCCGACCGGAAGAAGATGAACATTTCCATTTGTCGAAATGGTAGTCCTGACCGTGGCTTCACCGGTACTGACCACTAAGTCACAGAAAGCTCAGCTAAATTTGACTTCAAGAAGCTGCCGAACTCTCTGGCACAATGAACATGCATCTTCTTCCTGCTGGCCGTCAGTCCTGGGTGCGCTCCTCATGGTGGCGGTGGGACATATGTATGTTGCATGCAGTACTATTGGAAGGTACAGGAGGGTTGCCTTGATGCACTTAACATGGGAGCACACACGTCACAACATGCTGGCGAAGATCCAAATTTCCAGCAGTTATGTGCACTTATCGGGCAAGTTTGGGAACTGGTTCATAAACCCCGAACACCCCAAGCACTTCAGCGACGATTTCCAAACTTGCCTTTCGCTACTGCATGCTACTCCTGCTTTCTCATGTCTAGGGTGTAGTAGAGACATTAGTGATGACAGCCATGGCAGTGTTAGCGAGCATGTGCATTAAGAGAAGAAAAATATCATAGCGATGGGAGCTCTCTGGAGTGGCTTCATCCTAGCAAAGGTGACGATGCCCTGAACGCTTTTACCTTTTCATCACACAAGATAAGAGCACCACGGAGCTCTGGTCATGCTGGCCAGGTTCCATGATGGCACTATGGAAGTCCCCCGTCCTCACGGTGTCGTGACAGAGTCAGGTTTTGTCTTTCATCGGCTAACCCAATCTGCCGCCCAGTAGGGATTGGAAGTTCCCCACCATTTTCGTTTCTATGTCCTTAGATGAGACGACCATGTCAAGTGACTTCCAGTCGAGGATGGGGATTCCGTCACTTCTCGTAGGCTAGACCTGCTCTGACCGCAGGGTATCGCAAAAAACACAATCGCGTGCTTCGCAAGCTTCCGAGCACGAATGCAATTAAGAGCAGTGCTGGCGTTCTCGAGGATGCCTTTGATTATGGTCCGCCAGTGGCTCCAAATGCTAGAGCTGGACAAGATAAGTTTCTGCTTAACTGCCTGTGATGTCTTGCGATAGTGTTTGTTTGACGCTAGCTCGTAAGAAGCTTTCAGAGTCGAGCTGCAGAGGTCGCATATTGGATCCTACATGGTGACTTAAGGATCTAACGATGTGGATCGTTTCGCCATTGTGGGATGCTGAAAGTAGAGACGTCACGAGGTGCATTGTAACTGGAATCGCGCAGGCACAGCCAGAGTACCGGGAGCGCTTGGTGGCTTGGGCTGCTCAGGTGCTCTGCCACAAAGTCTTCGACTTGTAGGAACAGGCCCAGGTAATGCATGACTCGGCCAGGAATGTCAGGGGCAAAAAGATCCGTCCGCCATTCAGCAAGCCATCCTGCAGGCACGGATGGAACATACGCGATCCGCTTGTGGAGCTAGAATCTAGAGCTCTGGAGGCCATGAAGGTCACCCCTGCAGCAACTTCATCGAGAGGCCCAGCAGAGAAAAGAGGGCAGTCGTCCACTTCCGCGGATCATCGAGAAGGATAGTGACACTTGTATCGTGGCATGATACAAGGCCAGATGTCGACCAAAGTCTGCTCCTGAGCATGCCAGCTGCTCTTGATTGGAAGCGTGTATTGTGCGGCAGCATCGTAGCTTAGCACCGTCGCTCGTGGTTGCGCCATATCCAACTTTGTTCCAGAAAGTCAGCGTCTCGAAGTGAAAGGGCCGCAGCCCGAAGGCGCACTTCCGCTGGCACTCCGCCAAGGTCCCGAGCGCCGCCAAGCCTTCACAGCCTTCAGGCAACAGATTCGACAGTTTGCTATTTCATGCTATTTCGATAAAAGCAATTTGCCGACTGACAACTTCAAGCGTCCTCGAGAAGACTGCAACTGTTACAAAGTCCCTGCGCGACTGTGTGTGGCATGCTGTTTGCAAGGCACACTTCTCGAAAGCAGGGACAGGCTGAACAACCTTTGTGCAGCGCGTAGGGGTCATGATTTAGGCCATCATGGCGCACATTTTAGCAAGAGGTGGGGGTATTATATACTACATATACTGTTGCTGTTGAGAAAAGCAGCAGAGCAGCTGCTCGCGCCTCTGGAGCTTCAAGGGGGATAGTGTGCAACAACGCGTGTGGAAGCAAAGTTAAATTAAATGGGACCGCGGGAGTGAAACTACTCACCATGTCCCAAGCCTCGTTGCATCTGTCTGCTTCTGCGCTACGTTTTGGAAACAACGAGCTTTTGAACGGCATACAAGCATGCGCAGGTCCGGTGCGGGGCAGCTGGCTGCCCAAGGCCCAACGTGTTCATGTAACCGCAGACTGTGACATGGATGACCCCGTTGTGTAAGCAAAAGACTTGTATTTGTCGTTGAACGGTTGCGGTGCGCCATGCAACCCATCATCTATAGGTCTTCGTGCGGGAGTTCAATGCAGAAGGTGACGAGGAGCGCTTCGTGCAAGAAAGTTCACGTAATTTGCCGACCATACCACCATGCCGTCCGAGTAGCGAATTTTTGCATGCCTGCATCTACCCCAAAACCTGTCGCGGTCAAGCCTGCCGTTTCAGGTGGAGCACGTGGAGCCAGACTCTGGTGACGATGTCTTCACGGGAGGCCGCCTTTCTCGTAGAAGAACTTGGACTCGGAGTTCCAGCTGTGCCCAAGGCTTCAGGCAAGGGACCCTTGCGCTCCGTGGTTAGAATCAGAGGGTATCCCGAGAGACATGTTACTTGCACTTTGCACTTGTTTTGCAAGTGTTGCTGGTGATGCCTTTGTATAACGCACGCGAACATACAGAACACATTGCTGCAGGAACCGCGATTGCATGACTGCAGCGGCACAAGGCTGCAAGGGTTGAGCCGATGGCTGCATGGCGGCTGCAAATGTCGGTGCCCGCAAGAAGAAAAAGCTGATGCCGCCTCCAATCGGCCGAAGCTTGGGATTCAGAGCGCATGACTTCTTTAATCCCTTGTAACGTGATGGTTGAACAGTCCGACTATGGTGTTCCTGCAACGTGTACTTTGACGGTGATAGAGTTTTTGCATCGGTTTAGGCACCTGGAGACCCCCCCCGCGATGCTGGGTAGGAAGACTTTCGAGGTCCAGGGCATTTCAGATTGGTCTTCTTCATGAGTTCACTGCATCTGTGATGAATTGCATGGTGAGTGAGTGAGTGCACCCAGACGGCGCAGCTTATTCCATTCAAGGTACGTCTCGGGGAAGAAGCAGCTATCTTGCTCACTTGCTCTGCTCTCTGGCCATCATGGCGAGGCAGATGTTGGGTCCAATCCTGCGTCAGGCCTTGGGCCACTACTTAGAGGTTGACGAGCACGAGCTTGACATTTCCGGACAGCTGTCCTTGACGGCGGTGAAGCTGCGCAAACAACGGGCCGGGCCAGCTTCAGTTTCTGGACATGTCGGCAGCATCTCGGCACGATGGTCCTGGTCCGAGCTCTTGAGGCAGCCGGTAGTCGTCAATCTCACTGACGTCAACATCCAGATATGTCTGACAGAGTCGGAAGAATCCGAAAAATCAAGTCAGGCTATGCTGGCAGAGCCTGGATTCTTCGGCAGGCTGAAGCGTCGGCTCGTGGATCAGCTGGACCTCACCATCGCCAACTGCCAAGTTAGCTTCACAGGACTCGAAGCGGTGGCTGGTGCTTCATTCAAAAAATTGTCGGTTGCTGCCGTCGAAGCCGGTGAGCAGGCCGTACAGCTCCAAGAGCTCGAGTTATATCTCGGACCAGCCGACACTCCACATTCCATAGACGCCGTGGATTCCACACACGGCACGTACTTGCCTCCGCCTGCGCCTGTGTTTCTGCGGGCCTCGCCGTCTGGGCGTGCGCTGCGTTTTGCGGGACAGCGCTTCGTAGACCTGCGTGGCCTGGATTTGCAGATTGACTTTCAGGCAGTCCATGTTCACTGGACGCATACGCAGCTCGCAGGCCTCTCCACTTTGCTCCGCAACTTCCGGGACCTGAGAGATTTCAAGGACTGTGATTCCGATGAGTTCGTCGACATCGTCGATTCCGGTGAGACACGGCAGCCTCGGCAATCCTGGTCCGCTTGGTTGAGGTCTTGGGGACAGGAAGGACTTGAAGAATGCAAGCAAAGCAATCAAACAGAAGCAGAGACCTGGGAGCTTCCGATGAATCTGAGAAAGTCCATGGAAGAATCTCCCGTGGGCAAAGAAGACTTTTCTTTTTCTTTGACCATCCCGTCTGTCGTCATAGCGTTTGACGATTCTTTGGAAGTCGATCTCAGCGGCCACATGGCTTTCCACCTTCATGAGCACGACTTTTGGAGCATTGACATGCATCTGACCCGATTTGACCTGTTGGAGTGTCTGGGGGCCGAGGGCAAAGTTCGAATTGGTGGGATGGCGGGCGCGAGTAATTTTGCCATTAAAGCAGACTCGTTTCAGAAGATGCTGTCAGTGCAGAGTCCAGAACTGGATCTTCGAGTCACGCCTTCGCTGTTGCGCTTTGGCCTCTGGGCACAGGCCGGGGCCCAGGCCCTATCCAGTGAAACTTACGAAGCTTCGACCTCCGACATGCTTGACTGGCGCGTTTCCCTGCACATGCCGCTGTCCATTGAAATTGGGAAGCCCTGGCATTCCCGCATGCTTCTCTTAGAAGCCGTGCTTGTGTATCATGAAGGTGGTGACTGCTCCATGCGATCAAAGCTCCTTCTTGATGGGGAGGATGTGATTGAGGAGTTCGATTTGCGCCTTCGAAGCTCAGACAAACTGTTGGCAACAACAGAGCTCATATGCGGTCACTGTGACATTCGAGATTTTGTGAGTATCACGCGGCTTTTCAAGACTATCTGCAACTTTACAGGTGCACCACACTTGCAGACGGGACCGCCCACCGACATTGAGATCGAGCTGCAAGTCCCAACCATCAAACTAAACTTGTCTGACGAGGACATAGACCTTGACTGTGAATTTCTCTGCCACGGTGTTGCGATAGGCTTCATGCAGCAAAGCGCTGTCGGGATCCGGGCGGATGATGTTGGCATAACTGTAGCAGCAGCTGGGAAAGAACGTGGCAGCCTGACTGTTGTCAAACCCGTGGTCAGCGCGAGCTTTCTGGAGGGCTTTGAAGCTCAGATAGACTGTGAGCTATACTGTCGTGATCCTGAGTCTGAGGAACGCGCTGTTTGCTGTCCCTCGTTGAAGTGCATCTTTCTCGAGCGCATGCAGCGTGAACAGAGGGCTGTCACTCTGGAGTGCTATTTACAGTTGATAAGCTTGAACACAACGGAAGCCTTTCTTCAAAGTTGTCGAGTCGCAATGGAATATGCATACGACCATGCCCAAGCTGCCTTCTTTATCGAGCCTGTCTTCCTGGAAGAAAGGCCCTTTGGACTATCGGTCGAGGCCACAGAGACGGTTGCGACCGCGAACGGTCCAGTGCGGTGGCTTGCAGGGAGCGCTGTGCGCGGGATGGAGCCACCGGTGACTGCTCTTCTTCAAGACCTACAGAACCGACCGCTGCCTGTGGTAGTGCTTTTTGAAAGACCTTCTCAGATCCGTTGCTTCACGGTTCACGTGCATCCTTTCGTTTTAAACGCGGCAGACTTCTCGGTGCAGCGTGGAGTTCGGGCAAGACTGGAAAAAACAGACATCCATTTCAAAGATTTCCAGCAGAGCATGGAAGCATCTTGGACTGGGCTCATGCAGAAGCTGGCCAAACATTACCTGGCCCAAGCCGCCGCCTCTTTGCCGAAGCTCTTCTGCAACGCGTCGATTGCAGGGCTGAGCCTCTTCGACGGGACAATCTCTTCGGCTGGCACTTCGCTAGCCTTTCTGCGTTTCGGTGGCGCGGCTGTTCCTCAAGGAGCACTGGCCGGCACTTTGGCAAAGGCAGTCGCTTCTGCAACCAGCTCGTCTCTGGAGAAGGGCCGAAAGCTGCGGGGCAGTGACAGCTATCAGTTTGGTGATCTTACGCGTGGCTTGGTCTCGCTGTCCTGGGAGCGTGGAGTGGGGGGTTCGGTTTCAACAGCTGCAGAACACGCTTACGAAACAAGAGCAGTCTCGTCCACAGTCGGGGCTTCTGTAGGCGGGGTGCTACTTGCACCCCTCGGCCCAGCAGGCGTTACTGCTGGAATGATGGGTGGAGCCGCTGCCGGGCGCCGGACCTCTGAGAGCGCTGGGCGCCGTGCCTCTGCGCTTCAACAGTCGATCTGTCAGACCCTTGCCGAAGGAAGGGAGGTTCGCGAGTCCGCCTCGGCAGAACACGAGGAAAGCCGAAGCAGCGGAGGTGGCTATCGATTTGGTGACTTCACTCGTGGCCTCGTGCGAGCAGGGCGTGAGGCAAGGGGAGGAGAAAGTTACAAGCTGGGTGATCTTACCAGGGGCGCTTGGTCCAAGATGAAGCGCTAGACGGAATAATCATCGCACAATTAGGGCGCAAGGTCGCTCGCATCGTACAGTGTACAGGCGACTTATGCAAGACATCAATTCGAGCACAGATATTTAATGGATTAAAGACTTCACATATAGCATATACAACTCTATATATTGTTAAAATGAAATTGAGTTATTTCGAATATAAGATAATGGATCTTTATATAGAAAATTTATAGTTGATACAGAAAATAGATAGGCTGATAATATTTTGATTTATCTTAATACGAATTTGATTATGGTTATTATCATTATAATATTTTCATTTTATTCTATTTTATAAATAAATAAATATTCTGAAATATTCTTCAGTAGGTTTATAAAGTTAGAGATAGTCGGTTTCTACTTAATATGAAAGAAGG